ATATCTAGATATGTTCAAGTCGTAGAAAGAAACGAAAAATGGCATCTTGACGAGCGAAAAAAGCTCTACAAACTATGTGAAAATCGTTTTTCGCTTCATATGACCCTTAAGCTAGATTCTTTGATTCTGTTGCGTGTTCATGTCACATGTTCGTTTGTCGCACTGTTGTGTTGTGTTGTGTTGTTGTGTTTTGCGTTGTGTTTTTTCTTTCCAGGAAATGTGCGTCACTGTCATGGTGTTATGTCATGTTCCACAGTGTTCTTTTGTTTATTTACCAATATCATGTTATCCAAGTTAGAATAATTAGTCTTACTGATTTGATAATAGAGATAACATCAAGGAAGGAGTATCTCTTGTGTGCTGTCTATTTGGGGCTTAGGCCCGTTGGCCTAGCCCAATTAGTTCGCTTGCAAAATCACCGCCATAAGGAGAACCCGTATCGTTGCACAAACAAAACTCTACAACTTTTGTTATGCTTGCCAGATATTCAAAGGTAATGGTGGAATACATATATGATTAGCAGTACTCTGCTATCTTTATTACGTTTTCACAGGGCCGTCGGAAGCGGGGGGCTGGGGGTCGGGCTTGGGGGCTGCCGCCCAATATTTCCTTTATAACAGTATACTGAATAGACAGCAATACAATGGGCAGCCCTCCCCTAATATGAATTTCGTTGCGACGGTGTTGTTTCACCATCAATGCTTGAAAGCCGCTACTAGTACGTGGCTTCATTAGCTTCCTCTGATGAATCTTTTATCGCCAGTTCTTAACCATTTCCAGGCAATTCACCTTGTGTTCCAAACCCCTGCCAAAATGGCAGATGTGTTCATATTGGCGGCACTGATTTTCGATGCAGTTGTGATCCAGGATACACTGGGGCTAAATGTGAACAAGGTTTGAAAAGCCGTTTTCATACTATTTACTTATATTCTTCAAAATTTGTTCGATTCAATTTTTAAAGAATTGTTCACCTTAAGTAGAGAACATTTCGCATGCATTTGTAGGAGGACACTTGATATTTTCTGCATAATGAAAATTAATAGAATCATTTTTTGGGGGGGGGGGGTGGAGTCATGTAAGGAAAAGGAGCATCTCAGTGAGCTGTAAAACGGCATTTTACCTCTGTTTTGATGCGATTAAGATGTGCGAGAAACAAACTAAGGACTATTTACTAATACGGTTCTGATAAGACGAAATGATTGAAAATTCCTGTTGTCAAAGAACGCCTTTGAAAAATCTTGTTCCTAATAGCAAGAATTCCACCCCCCTCACCTCCCCAAAGCGAAAAAGTTTTAGCTTAATAGCCATAAATTTTTTTGGACTATCCGGCAGATGTACAGCTCTAAAATTTTTACTAGCCCTATTATAAAACTCTGTTATCTTTTCTTTTAAAGATGTCAATGAATGCAACAACGACCCTTGCCGTAACAGTGGAACCTGTGAAAATACAATAGGTTCATTCAAATGTACTTGCATATTTCCTTATGTCGGTGAACTTTGTGACCTAAAACTACCTGAATAGTTTTGCCGACAGGTAACAGTAGCAGTTCTTTGGTAATATCATATAGAGAATTACTGGGGGCATCATCTGTCACCTCCCTCCCCTATACACCTGGCGTTTGAAGATGACACAAGATCGTCGGATAAAATTGAATGACATATTATATTTTTAAAGATATGCGTTGATTCTTAATCTCATTTAGCATTCTCACACTATAAATTCAGGTCAGCAGCCAAGTAATAATTTACTTTTGCTGGCCTTGTTAAATGCTGCAAAACAAGTCACAAACAGTCGGATGATGTAGACTGGAGGACTTCAGCTTGATTTCATTTCACGTAATTCTCCATTTCGTTCTTACAGTTTCAAGTTTCTAGCTTTACTCCTATGGCACATGACTTCTCTATGTTGATCAACAAGGAAATACGACACGATGGAAAATGTAGATCTGATTTTGCATGTAAAATTAATACATCTCGCAATAATTATACATGCTTTTTATGCGTTTTTGTTTCCTTTGACCAGGTGATCAATAAACGAAACTTGAAAACTTCAGAGGATGTATTTCAGGGCTGCCAAATCGAATATATAATAAAGGCTAGCGGGGTGACCAACTCAGGCAAAAATGCGCATTGAAGCCCAACTAAAAGACTTTCCCAAAAATACACTGAGCAAGCGTCTATACTGAGCAAGTTATACTGTCTAGTCTTGCTTTTTAGCTTTTAAATTTGTCTGTCAAGTTTGCTCAATGGCCTCAAAATTTTTTCTGAAAGGCTAAAAATGACCAAATTTAAGTAGTAGACCAGAAGTAAATTTTTCAGGCAATTCCGCTGAAAAAGGCAAAAATTTGAAAGTTTAGCCAAAAAGATCGATCTTGCAACTCTTATGTATGTTACTGAAATAAAAAAACAAAGTAACCTTTTGTTAAACATATTGTTCTCGTTAAAAGTTCTTTATACTGTACTCCGTTTCTATATCTTTCACTTTCAGCTTCATTGTCCAACAATGATCTACTTGCAACGTATACTGCTTAATCAGTGATAGAAACTAGTGATAGAAATAACTACAGTATAAAATGACAGAAGCATAGCTTTATTTAAAAGCGTAATGGGAATGAAAAGCAACTTTAGCAGTAAACAGCTACAACATAAAAGGGGTGAGTCTAGAGAAAATCTGACTGAGTTCCAGGCGAAGGCTATGGTCTTACAGATAATGGTATTATTTATGGTATAAAATTATTATAAAGACAATGTTGATATTGACATTCATATTTATTATATATTTATGTCCTTTGGTTCCATGGAGGTGCTATCCACTCACTTAATCTAGATTTAAGATTTCTTTCTTACATGAACAACACCTGCTTTCTAAATTTCTTTTCAATGATCAAAACTTGCAACCCCATCTTCCTTCCCCTCTCATTTGGAGAGTTTCCCCTCGAACAGTTTTTACACATAATTAAGAGGTTCTTGTCACGTTTTTGTCATCTCAGCAACAACTAACTTTTCTTAAAAAATAACTGACTTGAACATTTATTCGCAAACAAAAGATAATTAAATGCTAAGAACTCTTTCATTTAGCAATACATGAAAACGAGACTGAAACTAAATTGTCCAATCAAATTAAAGAAAACTACTTCTGTAACATCATCACCCTTTTGTTTTTTCTTAGATGTTTGCATTTTGTTTGCATTTAGTGTCAAAATAGAGTCGGATTACTTTTAAATTGAGCACAAATTTATTGTTTTGCCTCCGTAGACACCAGCAAATTCATCAATATATGGTATGGTGTTATCATTCCGTCTAAGGATAGGTAGCCTCTGCACAGGAGCGCTGCTAGAAAACTTTCTTACGGGAGTGTCAACGGTCAGGTGGCCGAATAGGAGATTTTTCAATTAAATCAAATGAAGGCATACTCTGATGTCGAAAATAGAAGGGACCGTCTCCCCCGTTCACTAAATTTGACTTTGTGATTCTTGAAAAAATTTCCTCCTGTAAGTGTGGATAAAAATTTGATATTTTTTATTTATTTTGAAGGTCAAAGTTTGAAGGTCTCTTTTTTAAAACCCTTCGTTCATTCCCCATTCCTGAATAATAGCTTAAAGGACAAGTGACACACTTTTCACCCTATCTTTTCTTTTCATTAACTTATAGATCATCATTTAGAAGTAAGTTTTTCCTGGTTTAGAACAAACAATTTTAATCAGGGGGCGCAGGGGGCGCGATTTTGCTTTTTATCACGTGACCCTATGACGTACATTGTGATAACTCGGAATTTTCCTGTCATTAATAGAGAGTTTACGAAACACGACGCGACAGGTCCAGACGAACTGAATTCGTTCAGAAGCGTGTTGTAAACGTTAATATTGCACTGCATACCAGTAGCAGCAATAACAAATTATCACAATCTACGTCACGATGTCACGTGATTCATTTCCCGCCATAATTTGAAAAGGGTTTTTTGAGTAGGAAAATGAAATCAGAAAGGAAAAGTATTTTAACAACACTCTCATACAGCATTTAACTTTGAGTTAAAAGAAGAAAAAAAATCGGCGCCAAAAGCGTGGCACTTGTCCTTTAATTATAGCAGTCAGAAGCAACATAAAGGCAAAAAGTCAAGCATTGGCATATACCCTTTGACAACATGATTATCTCAACGATAGGATAGGCTAATGGGATAGGCTATCGGGATAAGCTGTTGGGATAAGCTATTGGGATAAGCTATTGGGATAAGCTGTTGGGATAGGCTATTTGGATGGGCTTTTGTATTAAAAAATTTCTTTGATATAACAAACCGTCCTTTATTCAATCATTAAACTAAATAAAACCATTTTTACTAAGGTAGGTTTAAATCTTGCTAGCTTGAAGATTTTTCTGACACGTGTAATAAACAGCTACTACCATAGGCACGATGGCTGTCGCAGAAGATAGGGAAATTTTCGAACTTTGATGCTTCCAATTTGCTAGGAAATGCACTCACCAGAGCAATTACAGCAAATGCAACCTTACATTTAGAATTAATTTCCATTGGCGGGACGTTATTTGACAGTTCTAATCGATAATCTGGTAATCATCTCGTCATTCGCTTACCCAGCCCTGAAATATTGAAATGTGGAGCTTTGGTCTCACTGATTTCAGTTTGCCAATTAACAGTGGAAATATTTTCGTGCCGAGGAACGAAGAGGATCAAATCGAAATGAAAATGAAAACAATCCGTTGACTATCATTGACTTTTTTATTTTTGCCACAACCAAGTTTGCCGAGCAAATTGCCCAATCTGCCGATCATTAACTCTTGGAAGGTGTCATACCCCCCTCCCCCTACAACCAATCGTAGCACCACCCCTTGCCCCGGCGATCAAAGACTGATGTTTCAAGACAAAGGTAATGAATGCTCGTTGCTCCAATTAGTTTTGAAAAATTAACGATATTTTCTGATTTTATTAATAACCTGCTAGGAAACTGCGAGGGTCGCGAAAAATAACAAGGAAATTCTCTCTCTAACGGAAGTTGCCATTTCGTTATCAATAAAAAACAGAAACAATAGGCGACCAATCGACAACTGCCTATTGTACAGCTATCTTGCAAATATGGTATCTTTTCCGAGTTCCAGGTGCTGTTCTGACAGAATTCCACCCGTGTTTCAAACCAGAAATTCACTTTCTTATTTTTCTCACTTTCGAGGAATTAATCTTTTGTTTTCGAATTCTAGGATTGACTTCCTTCCCAATCAGGGCTAGTGATACGTTGTCCTCCGCAGCGTCTGGGAAATCATTTCTAAATCTGGTTTGCCTGGGTTACCAAGGAACTCACTCTGAATTGGCCCCTGGCTGTATTTTGAACGCTTTCTAAAATGTATCCATTTTTGGCCTTGCATTGACATCACGTTGCTTTGAATTTATAATGGACACCAGTGAAAATGCTTTTGTGAATGAATAAGAATGTCCTAGGTAATGTGGAAACTGAAAATTTATCATTTTATATTCGAGCAATGCAAGGTTCTACTGCACCTATCTTAGCGTGGTAATGCGAGCATTCATTATTGATGCATATATTGATGCAGTTTCTTCAGACCATAACATTTTTCCCCGCTGTTTTTTAGCATCTCTAGATACCTCATTGTAGGCCTTTTCAAAATCAATGAGCTTCCTAGATTGTTTTATCATTTCCCTGTTTAATTTTTGACCACTTCAGTGTATAATACTTCAAGATTATCTGACGCATTGCTTCCTTGTACAATGTCGGTCTGTCTAACTGCATAACATAAAGTCCAATTAAAATTTTCTCTTTCCCTCAAAATACCTATACAGACGATCCAATCACAAAACAGAGCTCTTCCTAGATAAAAAGAAATTTTTGTTGGTAACTTCATTAAAAGCTTAAACTTTCTTTCTCTCATTCCCTCTCAATTTCACTTTATCATGAGGTAACCGCAAGTACCTGCAAATACTTTTGAGTTGAAGATGACGATAGGTCTATTCTATAGATATCAAAGAAAAGGATAGGGGCTTGATAAGGATAGAAAAGCTTATTGAACCGCACCACTGAAATTCCAACTTTGCACTTATTCATTTTTAAAAAAACTCTAGTTTTTAAATTAGCTTATAAAAGTTGGTGTTGGTAAAAGGAGGGATTTGTAGATAGATCATGAAACTTTCGAGGTTTTATTAATGGATGTGATGAAAAAATTGTTTTTGGAAATTGACAGGGTGCCTCACCCCAGCTCAACGGCAGGCTTATGTTTCCCCACAAAATGTGTATTACCCCCTACAGTAAAGAATTTCCCAACCATGCAATACCTCCTGCACAAATACTTACTTTAGCGTACCATTATGTAACACAGCCTCATTAATATTAAGCACATTGTAGTGGTGGCAAAACCCTAAAATATTAATTAAACAGTATTCAATATGAAGCAGAATTCAGACATCTGCTATCTCATAATCACAAGGAAGGAGCTAGGATGCACTTTTGGAGGCTGGAGGAGAATAACTTTTATAAATTATTTATGACTACTTTCCTTGTTAGTTTTTTAATTTCCTTAAAAGTTTTCTATTAAGAATATTACCTGCGGTTACGTATTTGGTTTTCGATGATCCAATGATTTTTCAATGTAAAGCGAATATCTGCAAGTAGGAAGGAAGGAGACAAATGAAGTGATGGGGAGGCTCGAAACATGGTAAGGATTTTGATATTATTTCTATAAATCGAAAACTCAAGCTAGACCTTTCAAACAAACTCCAGGCTGCTATATAAAATAAGTTTTTCATTGAGTTTTAAAATAATTCATCTTTGATAATGTTGTCATTGCAATGTTAATATAAATGTTACGAAGCTCAGGAAGGTGATCATAACTTGCATCAAGTATAGGGCTGATGCTTTACCTGCAGTCTTTAGTGCTTGATGTGCTTCAATCCAAGCAAACTACTTTCATCATTATCAGATTCTCTCCTAAGAACTACCACAGAAGGAGAAGTAGATGTTTTGAGGTAGCAGGGATTGAGCTCCCTTTCTGTTAACTATCCATAGTAAAATTATTTAGATCAATAACTTACTCTTTTAAATTTTTTATCTTTTAAATAGCGCTATTCATTTCACTCAGAAATTTAACAAGCCTATGAATATTTTAGAACTTTCTTTATCCGTAAAATTACAAAAATTACGCATCTTTGGTTCCAAAAGCCTGGTATTAGCAATTAAGATATAATGTAAATGAAGCCTTGAATTCAAGGCATTTAAAGCCTCCAAGCAAATATAATTAAATTCATTGCTCGTTTAATTTAAACTTTGTTCTTGTAGGTTCTTTTTGCCATATGCTCTTGCATTGCAAAATGTATTGTTTTCCTATGGCCACATTTTGCGATTAAATTGCAAGATAGAAGCAAATTTTGTCATTAAAAAAGTTGGTTACAGCGTAAACAGTAACCCCATCGCGAAATATAGGCACGTTGATACAAGACAGTGCCGGGAATATTGTCTTCGTAACCCGGCTTGCAAAGCTATAAATACGAGAGTCAAACACAATCGTGCAGATCTCTGCTACCTTTATGACAAATCCAGTTCAGATGTAATGGACTTTGTAGCGTTTGATGAAGCCATCCATTGGGACTACTACACTACGAATTACTCAAACCATTTGGTGAGTATTTATTATAAATGTTCATTGTCATATTTCTGTTGTTTTCGCTGCTGTATAAATAGCTAAAGAACAAAAAAGTTCATGTTTGTTGAGGATGTCTCTCTTTTTAAGACCATGATAGCTTTTATCACATTACTGACTTCCAATCATTTTTCAACCAACATCGTTCAAATTCTGCTGGTACCCCTCATGCTTTCTCTTTGTAGATAAAGAAGCCATGGTTTGTAAATACGGTCTTCATGAGCATAGGCCATGTTTACAAGACAGCGATTATGTCAATGATATCTTCGAGTTTACTTAGAATTGTCTTAGCCTAGCAATAGACCATGTTCCTCATTACCTGCTATACCAGCTAGCTCGAAATGCATCTTGGTATTTTTAAATCCGCGAGACTGTTTGGTACATTCTGCCGTATTTTCTATGATTGGCTTGATAATTTGAGCAAAGAGGGGGGAATAATGAAAGAACTTTATACGATTGCCATCTTTTTTGTCTTTTAAGATCGGTTCAAACTGTAAAAAGCATGGCAAAAATAAATGCAACAAGCACCAGCTGTGTATTGATACTTGTGAATGCCCTGGTTACCGATGCTACGACTGTCACAATGCCCCAACAGGCTATCATTGTAAGTTACATCCACAAAGTTACATTGCGTTCAAAGTCAACTCTTCAAGTCAGTGGCAGAAATTCATTTTTCAGTTGAGGGAGGGGTCAATGCCACAGAAAAACAAGCAAATTCGCCGACAAATTACATGATTTACCGACAAAAGCGTGTCTTAACTGACAATCTAGCAAAATCTGGGGGCACTTACCCCTCCCCCCACACCCTGGAAGTTCCGCCATTGCTTCAAGTTGACTTCCAGTAATTTCTCTGCTTTTATCTTTCGACCAAAACATTCCTATCTTCCACTTTTAAGTAACTATACAAGACTTAATAGAGTTTTAGCTTCGCAGTTGATTTTGTCTGGGAAAGCAAAGCGTGTTGAGTGAATTCATATCATTACCTTCTTTAAGCTGTCATACATAAATGTAATTATGGTTGTCATATACATATACTGAAGCCATTTTGATAAATCACAATTTGCTACTTTTTTGGTCTGTTCATAAGGAGCTATTAAGACCTAATATTTACTATTTTTCTATTCAATTCAAGTTTCATTACATTTTGTGAAAATTTACCAATAGTAACTGTAATTTTTAAAGAAGGATTATACACAGTTCTTATCCAAGGGCAAGTTTTCTCTAAATACATATGTTTCCCTGTTGTAAAATAAGACTCTATCAACATGTTGTTGTAGTTGTCCTTCAGGTCGTTCGACCCCTGGTGATGTTATGAACCTGACGTCTCCATTCAGCTCTATTTTTTTAGTGCCTTTGTTGAGCTGATAAACATTTCTTGTTGTCATCGTCTTAATGTTGTCAAACCACTTTGTTGCAGGTCTTCCTCTACCTTTTTTCCCTTCAATTTTTCCTTGCATCATCAGTTTTTCCAAACTGTTGTCTGCTCTATTTATGTGGTCATAATAGGTTAATTGCCTCTTTCTCATGGTGTTGAATAATGATCTTTCTGTTTTTTTTGGCCTAGTACCCATTCATTCGTTCTTCTAGATGTCCACGGCACCTTTAAGAGTCTTCTCCATACCCAAAGTTCAAAGGCTTCAATCTTTTGCATTTCTGCTTTATTTAATTTCTTCTATCAACATGAATACTATATAATGCATAAATTATTTCGTTTTATTATTTTTGACACATAAATGCGATAACAAGAATGCAATCAAATATAAACGTTCTTTTTATGGTGTTACAAGGTAACTGGCATTGAAATGGTTTGTCATGCACAGGCAACTGATAAAGGGATGGAAAACAGGTACCTCGTAAGCTTTTTCATTGTTCATTCCAGTTGTCGCATTGTCACAGCCAGGCTCGTAGAGAGCTCGGTAAGGAGCAGGCTATAAGGCTCTAAAGGATAAATTTATAAACCCTACAATAACTGTAGTCAAAGACGGGAGAAGGATTTTAAAGTTGGAGGGCCAATATTTTGGGAAGATGAGCTATGTTGCAGAAAAAGAGCAAAATTCAAATATTTTTTTAGCGTGAGCATCTAAGAAGGGCTAATTTCCCAACATTTGGGGGCACCTGACTCTGGTTCGACGTTCCTGTTTCGGACGTCTTTGACTGTATCACTCCCATTGACTTATTTGTGACGGAAGATATAATAAGATATAATGCTTTGTGGTAAGGTATCTGTCAGGTTTTGTTGCGTTATTTTGCAATCAAATATTTTTCATTGCTGTTTAGGTGATAGGTGAATTGCCAAAAAGTTTCAAATTTATATTGTTTTAGCAGGCCTAGTTCTAATTTTAAAGTCAGTAGTTATTTTGAAATTGTCATGTTGTGTTGGCGATTGTTATCTATTTCATTGTGAAAAAATTAATTCCAAGAGTTGTCTCCTAAGATAAAGATTACAGAATTAACGCTTTCAAACAATTAAGCAAGAACACATTGCAAGGTAAGACTAAATTCATATTTCATGCAGACTGAGACTGTTCTAGTAAACCCGCCCTTCAAACGATAACTATTGAAGCAAATATTTTTCAGTTTGATATGCAAGAAAACAATTTCTCATTTTATTTCCTTTTAGCCATCAAACTTGCAAAAACAATGGTCCTTGCCAGTGTTGTTCGTCAATATTAAACGTTTGCTTTAGGCAGTGTAGCAACTAGCGCTGTTAAATATCGATCGATTTATGAGAAATTCGCTTATCGAATAAGCGAAAATGTTGCGGATATCAAATAGATGTGAGTTAATATTAATTCGTACATTTGATGAATGCCGGTCTGTTAATCTAGTCTAGTTAACAGTTTTGATCTTTAATTGCAAAGTCTGCTTCAGACCTTTTTGATAAAGTTGATATTCTAAGAACTGTCGCTTGATAACGTAATTAATTTCCGAATTCAAAGCTATGACATGCAAAAAGCCAGATTTGATTGTCCATAAAATTTTCCACCACTTGTGTCATATTTTACTGATTATCATAACATGTTGCTTTTCTTCGTTTGAATACACTAAAATGCGGCGAATAGGTAAGGCATAGGGCCTAAACTACACGATGATGCATTTTTCGACAAAAGATGAAAAAAATATGTTGCAGTCTCGTAATTGTCCCTCGTAATTGTGCATTGCAAAGATTAAGGGATAATGTTAGTGGCATAGCAGAAGGATATAGGGTGAAGATGGTCATGGGAAGCAGAATGAAAAGCAAAATAGAATAAGAAGAAGAACGTACATTCTAATTATCGATTTGAATACGGTTTACTTGAAACCTGCGGTTCTTGGCGATAAATCTAGAACAAAAAAATCTGAGTGCAAGACCTGGTTTAATTTCAAAGTTTTAGTCTCTGAACCTAATACATCAAGTGCTTTTAGAAGAGCTTATTTACTTTAGGTGGAAGATTTTATCTGGGATACAGAAGAGACGGGATGTGAGTAACGCTGGGGAAAAACCCAAGGACTAGGACTCTGCTGGACTTACTTTGCACTCAATTTCTGACAAAATGTTGCATTATGAAGCAATCATTGCATTTTCCTTTTAGTTGAATGCTCTGTAAGTTGATTTAGACTCCATGAAATAGCGAAGAAAACCCCAGAAACAGAACTGCAGAGGCTGAAAATTTTAGAGGATATAATTATACTTTAATAAAGTTTTCAGGAACACACAAAAGTGTACTGGGGACATTTTAACTTTTATGAATTTATAATTGATCAAAGATCAAGTAAATTCCAGCAACTGTTGCGAATGCAAGTCTTACAAACTGATCATTAAACATGAAATTGAAATATCATCAATAACAAATGTTGTAATGAATGTCTAAAGAAAGGCAAGGAATTGGATGAAAGTTAGCTTTAGCTGTGCACATGAAAATACTAGATACTCCGCTAAAGAGAGAAAAATAGAAATAACAACATAAGACAAAAGAATAAGTCTCAAAAAATGTCATTTATCAGTAGCTTAATGCACAAAATACTTTTTTTACGTAACTTCTAAAAATTATTGAAAATTGGTTTAATTATCAAATGCAGTTTGGTTGCATAACAAGGATGTTAAAACGCTTTGCTTTCACCCAATTAAATATCTATTAAAATGCTAATTTGCTATCTCTGCGATAAGTAATATCTGCTTTTTTGACAACTCGCTTTCATTCTCTTGCACGTCAAAGCTCAATTCAGATTCAGATGCCGCGTACGGGGACAAAATTTGACCCACGGGTGTTGCTGGCAATTCTAACAGGACTTACAGTAGCTATTAAAGGGGCTGTGACAAGGTTTTGTAAATAAACCAAATACACGGGACATTGTGGGCCACGTCGAAAACGTGGAAAACTCGGAAAACGCGGAACATTCGGAACACGCGGAACATTCGGAATACGCGGAACACGCGGAAAAGTGAAATTTTGCTTTCAGCTTCTAGAATGCAAATACATAAACAAAGCAACAGTGTTCTTTCAAAAATGGAAAATAAGAACTTGTTTTTAAAGAAATGAGACTTCTGCTTTTTTCGCAGTAGTAGATTGTGGCAGCTTCTTAATCCTTATGAATACATTGTATTCATAACACAGCTTTGAATGGCGTTAGTTGCTCTTGCAGCCACAAAATCTGTGATAAACTTTATTAAAGGCTTAATAAATCAGTATATACCTCTTTTGTCATCAAATTAGCAAATATAATTGATTATTAACTCTATCGACCTATCGACCTATCACAGTTCTATCCGCATTATCAAAGGTCTTTGAACGGCTTCTATATGCTCAGATGGTTGACTTCGCGGAATCGTTCTTAGTTCCCTACTTATGTGGTTTTCGGAAAGGTTTCAACACACAGCATGCGCTGTTGAGATTTATGGATATTTGTAAGAATTCTCTAGATAAAAAAGGGGTGGTTGGTGTCTTGCTAATGGATCTCTCAAAAGCGTTTGATTGCATAGACCATGAGCTATTAATTGCGAAATTAAATGCCTATGGTCTTTGTAAAGATGCTCAATCATTGATTTATAATTACCTGTCCGGTAGAAGACAAAGGGTAAAATTAAATGGTTCATTCAGCACTTGGCGAGAAACCTTTGCAGGTGTACCACAAGGATCAGTCCTTGGGCCTCTTCTCTTTAATTTATATATTAATGATTTATTCTTAATGGTAACTGATACTGCAGTATGTAACTTTGCTGATGATACTACGATTTTTGCAGCTGACTGTCAATTAGATAAAGTTTTAGAACGGCTAGAAACTGATGCTCTTATTTTATCAAAATGGTTTCCAGAAAACTTTATGAAATTGAATGCAGGGAAATGTCATCTTCTTACTTTTGGAACAAATCAAGATGACTTTAAGATCAAAATCGGTGAGGCCATTGTTGAAGAAAGCTCTGAAGAAAAACTGCTAGGGGTGATAATAGATAAAAATCTTAATTTCAAAAGTCACGTCTCAAATTTATGCAAAAGAGCCAGCCAAAAACTGCATGCTCTTGCTAGAGTTTCGCCATTTATGGGCTCTGATAAACTGCGTCTCCTAATGAACAGCTTCATAAAAGCTCAGTTTAGTTACTGCCCCCTAATTTGGATGTTCCATGACAGATGTCTGAATGCTAAAGTAAATAAAATCCACGAAAGAGCACTCAGAATTGTTTATAAAGACAGTCATGCTGACTACGAAGCATTGCTGACTTTGGATAATGCAGTATCAATTCACCAACGCAATCTACAGTACTTGATGATAGAAATATACAAAACCAAACATAACCTGAACCCTAGTTTCATGAGTGAGATTTTTGAAACAAGAAATGTACATTATGATTTGCGAACTAAAAATAATCTTTGCATCCCAAAAGCCAGGACAACTTCTTATGGTATAGAAACTGTGAGATATTTAGGTCAAAAACTGTGGCAAACACTACCTCACAGTATAAGAGAGTCCCAATCATTGGCAACATTTAAAAAAGAAATAAGAGCACACCCTATAGAATGCGACTGTAGATTGTGTAAAAAATTTATTGCTGGGTTAGGTTTTATTTAGAACATTATACCTTAAACCTTTTTAATATTGTATCATATATTTTTATTTCATACTAACTCTTATTAGATAGTTGGCCTTAATTAGCTTCTTTATAGCTATCAACCGTTCATTTAGTACGCCAACTTTAAACAAATTATTTATTATTATTTATATATTATTATTAAAGGTTTCCGCGTTTTCCGCGTTTTCGATTTTCACCCTCGTCTAAATCGAAAAAGCAGAAAACGCGGAATTCTCATTCCTTTAAAAATAGGTTCTTACATTTCAATTCTTGGAAGAGCTCTGTTGCTTTGTTTATATAATTACATTCTAGTGGCTTAAAGCAAAATTTAACTTTTCCGCGTGTTCCGCGTGTTCCGCGTGTTCTGCGTGTTCTGCGTGTTCTGCGTGTTCCGCGTTTTCGACCTGGCCGACATTGTGCGTTTTTCCACATTGGAATAATGGCAGATGTTGCTCCGGTGCTTTAATATGTTCGATAAATTGTATTTTAAGAGTGTGTTTACCGAAAATGGAAAGGACAATTACTATATTTCCACACTTGTACTGACTATCTACACGAAATGTGTAAAGCAATTGGTCTAGGCCAAGAAAAAGAAGCTTCATTCAATCAATGGCGAAGATATTTCGTTTCTCTTGGTGAATTTAGATGGTATTAGACACTTTACAACAAAATGATCACTCCAAAATTGTCCTGCACCCTTCAATTGTCCTGCATCCATCATAATTCGCACCGGTAAGGTAGGTTTTTTGGTGTCGTTTCGGCCCATTTCTGTAAACTGCTCCCTTCGAGTTGCTGTATCAAGGCTGTAAAAGTAGCCTTTGTTTTTTGCATCGCCATCCTCTATCCAAAGAAACATGGTAATAAGATTGAAGAAAGATCCTTTATTATTCGTTTTTCATAAAACACACAAAAATGCAAAAACTTCGCACGATGAGCACGGATACAAAACACTGACTTCTTCCATATTGATTTTCCTATTGAACACCGCTTGTTTCACCCAAACAACTTTCGCTCAACTGGCGTGTTGCCACGCGGGATGTCCCTTGTGACACAGCCCCTTTAATTATCAGTGCTGAGTGTTCAAAAGTATCGGATGCAGTGAATATAATAAAGATCATCCCCTTTGATACTAGCATACTTTGCACGGAGAAATTATCACGCGGAACACAAACTGTGCAAATCTTACAGAACATCCTACGGTAATTTTTGCAAGATTTGTTCGGAAAAGCCTAAAACTTAAAAGTTTCGTTTTATATGTCACGCGCTAATACTGTAATAAGGAACTCTCTCTTTCGCGCGAAATATCCACCGCGCAACAATCTCCCTCTTGAGCCTATATCCACCAACATCAGGTTATCAAATAATATTTGTCTACATCTCTTTGAACTCATTTGATTTTATCTGCCTTTTTCGGCATTAACATTCAAAACAGTCTAAACAATAGAAGTTTGAAAACGTGCTTTTTGGATGTGTTTACTTTTTGAATAAGTGGTTTAAACCCCAAGGTATCAATTTTGCAGACAGATTCACTTTAAATGATGACACCAGAAACAATTTTTCATCTTTTTACAAGAAAATTCAATGAGCCAATATTTTGAAGCAGCCGAATGTTTACATACTACTAAGATCCTGAATTGCAAACTTTTCGCGATGATACCTATAGAGCCACCTGCAATCATATTCAACGGCATCTCAGTTTCAATTCAGCTTTCTGGAAATATCGCAGCACTTCTGTAGTTTGGTAAAAGGAAGGAAATTTCGTTTTCTGGCTATGTCATCAATAGTTTGATTAGATTCGTCACCTTCTAATTCTTGTGTTCCTTGGCTACAATTGGTTTTGCCAATATTTCAACCGTGGAATGAGTTACACGAGCAGCTGTTACGTTTGAAATGTAAAGCATCCATTTCTTAAGATTGCACACACTTCAAGGTTTCCGTCTATGAAATATTTGCTTCCTGCTGAAAGAAAATCTGGACCTGGTTGAATTACTACTTGCAAAATGAAGCAGTGTTTCCAAATTTGCTGTATCATACTTCTTACATTATGTTTATTTGGTACTGCCGCATCCTATTCTCTCAATATTACATTTTGGCAGAACAAACCATACTTGTTTATGGAGTCGGGACAGGTGCAAGGTACATTCAAAAGATTAATGGCTGGATTTAAGTCAAAAGAATGCGAGCCAGACGGATTCCAAATCAATTATGTGGATGAGAAAAAGACTTTCTCGGATCTTTTGGAGTCTTTAAACTCAAACACTTCTCATTTTGGGGAATATAATGATACAATAATTGCTTACTTGCCTGTCTTACCCACAACAAGCATTGATCATGCCTTGTATCATAATCATGATATGTATACAATACTTCAGAGTCCTGGATATACACTGGTTGTAAATTCGTTGATGCTGACAAAAATGTACAGAATCATCGTATTTGGTTTTTTTGAAAGTGCTACGTTGTTGATTACACTGACTTGCAGTACGTTAGTCTTTGGCGGTATTGTATGGTTCTTGGTAAGTCATTACGAAGATGTTACTAGAAAAAGTAAATAAATATCTCCTTGTAGATCTATAAGTGTATAAATGTAGGTTCTTTCATCAAATATTTGAAACAAAATAGTAGAAAGCAGTATATGAAGCCGATGTTTCCAGCTTCACTGATTTTCTCATTATGTTTTTGCAAACCACCCTCTTCTCAACAATTATTACATTAACAGGAACGAAAGCAGGGCTCAAACGATACAGACTTTGCATACCATTTTGTACCAGGACTCTGGGATGGATTTTGGTGGGCTGCAGTCACTGGAACAACAGTTGGGTAAGATATTCATGGACTTTAAATGAGGCATCCAAAGAATAGCAAGATGCAAAAAGGGACAACTTTAGGCAACTTATGATAGCATTTGAATTTGAAATCATCGTGTTTTTGCATTTCTTATAAGGACAGTTAGTATGATAATATTTAAAATTGTAAACGGCATCGCGATTTAGTAGGAGGGGTATAGAGGATAATATAAACATTCTTAATTTATGCTTTATGATTCCTTTCCCCCTGAGAGATTCTCTTCTTTTCCAAGAAATAGTTATTGGTTCTTTTCCAAGAAATAGTTATCTATTCCGTCTTTCAGCATCCATGTCCTGTACATGCAATAGCCCTATTCTCAGTTCTATTGAATGCAAATAGCCCAGGTCATGCTTTTACTAGGTCTGCCTGGTTTTACCTACAAAGATAGTTTTCCAATTGTTGAGATATTTTTTCTTAAACTTTATAGGTATGGTGACAAAACACCAAAAACTCCAGCTGGTAAAGCTGTAGGTCTGGTGTGGTTAATAACAAGTTGCATTATTCTGGCGGCATTTGGTGCCATCATGACGAGTTCTGTCACTACGGAAACAATTTCGATAGCTGGGAAAAAAGTACGATAATTTTTTCTAGTATTGCCATTTAACCTTTTTATAAATGGTGTGTTTTATTCATTGCAAGACAATAAGGTGTTTTTGTTTTCTATATTTGTTTTGCTTTGAAAAACCTAAAGCATCTATAAAGGTCAATTCTTGGATCATCAATCCTGCCAAGGCCAAAGGGTTGAAGGACACACCGTTTAAATCTGGCAATGTGGGCCCTGGCGATTGTTACTAACGATGCTCGTTGGTAGACCGTAGGCTGCCAATTTTCACTTATTGCAGATATCACCTCCGTCCCCCTTTCTCCATTTTTTGCTCATAGTGTTGAAATCCTTTAGTTTGCTAACAGAGTTCTTTCAATAACATGGAGATGCAGGATGTAGACCCTCAAACTATCTTTATAAGCCAAGGCTGGAAACAGTGGCGTCGCGTGACCAACCATTCTCGCTTGGGGGTGTAAGGCCTGGTTCAAACGTCGCGCTTCTCATGTGCCGAACCTAACTCGAGAATTAAGTACATGAGGGGCGCGATGTTGAATCAATTTGGTACGGCAGATTTAGTTAGGAGCGGCAGACTAGTTTGGATCGGCAGAGCTTGTCGAGCTGCACGGCTCCAGCACGGCACGGTTTCAAGCGTCGAACTTGTCATGTACCGAACTCAATGCATAATTATATTTAATTTATTTTCCTTCACAGAATTCATTTTTTTCTTGGAGGGCGCATGCGTTTCAAACAACTATTTGAGATTGTGCGCCTTAACCAAGATACTTCATGTAACAATCCTAAAACCCATATGGCGCGACATGATTAAGTTCGACGTTTGAAACGGGAGTCGCGCTAAATATGTTCAAGTGTCGCTCCAAACAGAGTTAGGTTCGGCACATGAGAAGTGCGACGTTTGAACCAGGCCTAAGAGATGCAAAACCATGTTTTACCGACAGATATTATTTTGTTACATTAATATTTAGTTACTGGAAATAGCTCTTGCTGGTACTGCCCGCAAACAATTAGTTCCTTGATAATGATTGTTTTGAAAATTTAGGTCAGGATATTCGAAAAGACACCATCTTGGGTTTTCACAATTTTATAAGAACAGCTGCTCTAGTTGATGCTAAACTATTCTTTTTATCAAGAATTTTTGGTGTTCAGTTTGCCTTTGATTTAAGTCCAACGCCCTTTTGAAAATCATGAAGTTTTTCGAAGGTTTTACATTTATTTTTCGTTTTCGTGAAGTAAACAATGACGTCTGAAAATGGACACGTGATAGAACGGATACAGCTAAAATCGATTGCGATAAAGGATTCGTACAGCGATGTACAGGCGATAATCACGACAATCATAACTTTTGCTCCTATGGTCTCGAGTTTTTGGGAGAAAGGTGTGGCATTCGACTGGTTTTGATTCCCAAAACTTCGAATCAAAACTTCCATCCATTGCGGAGAACCGAGCTGTGATGCAGCACCGTTTTCGTGCCAAAAAACCGAAGGCCTTTAACAGAGTCTTGGCAGAGCAACGCTCCGAAGATAATTCCCTTCCGCACAAAGAGGTGGCGGTTAACGACATCCTCGACAAAGCCGATTGATTGACAATGAAATTGATTGACAGTTGTCATGGCAGCAAAAAAATGACAAAATCTGCTGACAAAGTGCTGACAACATGAACTGAAGCTTCCATATGCTACTTATACGCGGGGCAGACTATAAGCCCTTCACTCGCGCGCTATCGCGCGCGAGCTGCGGGCAATAAATTCAATCCTACCGACGAATTCTCTGAAAGTTAGGGGTTGTACACCCTCCACACCCCCGCACGCTACGCCCCTGACTGGAAATCAATGCAATTGCCAGATTAAAGATGAAAAGCATCTTGTTCTAAAATATCTTATTTTTGCAGATCGCCGCTTTATATTGGCACAAACTACTTCTCACCATGTCCCCTCCTTGCCCCTATCACTGCCACTAATGCCATATGCCAACATAATTTGGTTCCAGAAAATTGCTTTGAGTGGAGATAAATTTGCTATTGAAAACATGCTAATGTTTCTTAATGGGGGTATTTATCTTACCATTTACCATTTCAGATTGCATACCTAAACAATACATACTGTTCAGAAGCTATCAAAGAAAATGCAGGAATTCCAGTGGGTAAGTGTAGCTCATGAATATGCAGGGTTTATTTTGCAAGCCATCGTACTAGTGTGCTGAAGGAGGTGGGGGTGCACAGAAGTCATTTGCCGAAAAGTTGGTGAATTATCCTTTCTTTGCCGACTGGTTTGAGAATTCTTCGACAAAGCAGTGGCGGAAATTATGGGGGTTTGGGGGGCTCGGGCCCCCCCAATCAGCGACGTCGTCGGAAAATTCGGGCTTTCGTCGGTTAATTGACAACCTAACGTGTCGAAATTACTCCAAGAAATCGTTCTGAAAAGGAATTTTAAGCTAATCTAAGGGGCGTAATTCCCAAATTTTCTGCTCGCTTCGCTCGCAGGTGATCCCGGTTTCCTTTTTTACCCCAGGTGCCTTTATAACCTCTCGGTACCCTTTTTGGAAAATTTGAACATAGCATAGCTGATAAAATATTAGCCATTACCAAAAAATCAATCAAACAATATATGACCAAAATCAAAACTGCTTGTGAGTTGTGTATTTAATTTCAATTCCGTAAAGATCAGCCAAAATTTCTATCGGGTTCTTCTGAACAAAAATTATTTTCAAACGAATTTCTCACTGACGAAAACAAGATAAAATGCATAAAATGAACGTACGACTTGTCAAAAGTGTTATCGGTCTACCTCTTGTATCATCAATTGTCTTAGATGAGATATCAATCTTGATATCAAAAATCATAAATGGATTGTTCTTCTTGCTACTTAATTATGGCGTGGTCAGCAAAGATTTCTAAATAGTCCCGTCAAAAAATCAACTATTTTTATCAAAATGTGCAGTTTCTTTGAAATTATACATGGTCCGTGATGTTATCTTGTCGGAAAATCGTAGGCCTGCCCCCCCCCCCCAAATGAAAGCCTGAATTTCCGCCACTGCGACAAAGCACCCCTAGATGGCTAAAACGGGCTCATTTTTTTAAATGGAAGTAGCGGGCGTAACGTACATACCTCGATTTAACAATTTTGGGAAGAAAATTAATGCTTTCAAATTCATGACCCAGTGCAATCTATTCTTTAAAGCCTATTAAGGGAATTCTCTATTGCAAGAACGTTGTTTTTTTAATAAATTTCTTGTTCTCAAAAAGAAAATGGCGCTAGATAGAAATGGGTGGTAATATATTTTCTAGGTTTAGACAAGCTGAAAGGTGGAACATATCTTGACCTTAAATGTTTTTGTTCTCTCTTGTAAAGTAATAAAATCTACATCACGGAATAGAGAATACAATAGGGAGACTATATAATAAGCCTAGAATGAATTTGTGAGAAGACGAGAGTAGGAAGGATAGTAAAGAGAAGTGGTATATCGGACTATCTGGCTACATTTTTCAAAAATTCAATATCTTATCAAACAACAATTCTCATACATTTAGTTACAAAGACTGTGGAAGAGGCATTGGAATTGGCAAGAACAATTAAATTGTTTGGAGCTTTGATAGATACCCACTATATTTCAAGCAGACAGGATGAGCTTTTTGAAAAAGGCATACTCATAGATCAGAGGTTTCACAAAGAAAAACTTGATATCAGAATGTGGTCAAAGAAGATACCCAGCGCAAAAATGAACAAATGCTTTCAGGAATTTTTCAATTTTCTTAACAATTCTTTGTCGCAGATGCCACATATAGAGCCACGTCTCAAGGTGCGTGCAAGTTCTGTTTATGGCCATTTCCATATAGCAATAAATTTCAATCTCATCTTCAGTCAATTAGTTTCATAACATTTGATAACAATTTACAATCACTTTTCATGGTGATCGAAACGGAGCTCATATCGCGGGGGATAGAGAATGGGGGTTCTTGCTGCCTATTGTATTCAGTACATTTAATAAAGAAATTAAAATACAGTTTGACAATTATTGGGGGCTCCAGCACCGCAGCCCCCTGCTTCTGACGGCCTTGCTTTTATAATCGAGTTGGTAATATTTGTTCGTGCGTCTGCATCCAGCACGAAGAGGCAGGCAATATATTAAAAAAGACAATTTCATGTTATTAGACTTTCATGTTTAATGCTCAATTCTTGCTTAGGAATGAACAAATTTTTTGCTGGTTATTCGTTATCTATCAAAGCTTTCTTGGGACAACAAAAGATAGGAAACCATGATGACATCATCGCGAAACTGTGATTATTATTATTATTGTGGTCATGGTTAGGAATTCTTTTATAACTTTTTAGGCCCCTCTCAGCTCGGGGCCTGTGGCACTCTTGGTGTGCCTGCCAATCATGAGCTGAAGCAGAGTCAACAAGCTGATTTGTTTAGTACAGTTTGATTCCTATCTTTATTTGAGGCTATTTCATACCAGCATCAATTTTCATAACCTTCAAAGAACTTGATATAGGGCTTTGATACTAAATTTCTTTTTCAGAATAACAGACACTGGACTTTAAAAGAAAGAATTGGTGCGGCGGGACATGGCCTGTTGGTAGTATATTGCCTCATTGCAGGCCTCGTTTTCTTATGGCTGTTAATTGGCCTGATAGACCATCTTAGAGCAAAGAGGAAACAGAGATTGAAGAAGGGTATTTGGCTGTTTGTTACCCTTTCTCTCAAACTCTCTTTCTCTTTAAGAATATGTTGATTTCCAAGAATTAATTGAAGGTTGAGTAAATGTGTTTCGTCCATTGACTAACATTTTCCCCGAATCTAAACATTCCTTCTTCCTTTAATACATAATTAATGTTGATAGCAAAAACTTCCATGCAATTTTCATTTATGTAGCTCTCATATCAATATAACTAACTCTTCAGAAAGCCAACATTGCAAGGGAGAGGGAGAAATGAAACTAGAAATTGAAGTTTTTATTCAAGGCCTTTGACAGTGGTTCTACATAAAAAGAGGAATAGGAAGCAACAAAGCAGTCAGATTAATAAATATAATGTATCCATGATACATAGGCATTGTAGCACCACCGGGGGAGGTGGGTATGGTTATTGACATGCCAACAAGCGCTCGGCAGGATCGATTTTGTACTGTGTCTAAATTCTATAAAAATTTAAGGGGTCATAATTTGGCAATGTATTTTTTGTGATGTAATTCTATGATTTTGAAACTGCATCACCTGATGGTCTGTGACACAGGCTACCTTTACGTAACCAAATGCTAGTAAGATTGGCCTTCACTGTCGGTGTAAGGGCCTTGTATGGCAGTGAAAGATGAGTGGTGTAAAATTTTTGCTTTGCATCCCTCCACCCTCAGAGCCTAGTGACTTGTTCCACCACTGTTCTACTCAAAAACCTACAATTAATGACGCAATTTGTAAAGCAACAATGTCAATGGCCAAAACTGATTCCTAATAAAGAGGAGAATAAAATCAATACGCGAATTTTGCGATTTCGTTGAACTCAAGGGCAATTTTAAATATATACTCGTCATTTTATAACAAAACTATCAGGAACAAAGAGCTTGTACGGGAAATGAAGATAGCGATGTGGCGGCGCTAAGGGGGTTATGGGAAGGGGATAATTACCCCCTCCCACTTTTGTCAGAGCGTGGTCCACATATTTCTTTTAAAAATCGATTTAATAATTCTAGGTAGGGGTGGGTCATATTTATGCCTAAGGAAAATTCACCTGGTACAAAACATTAATAAGAGGCAAAAGGGCGTGGTCCCACTGGCCTAGCCCTTATTTCAAATCAGTAAGCTCAAATCAGTAAATTTTTATCTCGCTTTTTATCTTTAGTGGATTGTAAAAAGGCTGAGAATGGTAAAAACCCTGAAATGAACGCAGATTTGATTTATCAGAAGCTTGAAAACATCAGTAACGAGCTTGCAGATGTTAAGACATGGGTCAAAAACATGGAACAGAGACAATCTGAATTGAAGCAGGACGGGGAGAAAAATGAATTCAAGATTCACACGTCATCATCCATGTGCTTTGGTGACAGTAACATGAAGAACGAGCAAGAAGAGAACTGTACTCAAGTAGACGAACACAAACTTTAAGGTTTCTCTGGTAGAAGAAGCTAGCATAAACTCTTCTGTTATTCGGATTTATCACGTTTTGTTTCCTTCGCTACTTTTTAGATTCACACATGGCGTGCTAAGCACTTTAAAAAATGAAATGTAATATTTGAAATTTTAATTGTCTTTATACTTTTTATTTGAAAGCCTGTATCCTTTTGGCAGCCACTGGAAGGGGAACTGCTTTAAAAGATAAATGTTTTGTTCATTTCAATTATTGTCTTTTTCAGATGGCAAAGATATTGCAAATCTTTTTCTTTCGCTTAGAAACATTTAGTGCCATTCGTCTAAAGCACAAAAGGTGTTTTTAAAAAAGTTGTTGCTATATTTTTTTTTTCTCGTCCAACTAGGAAAATGGTGTTAGAGCAAAAGAAATATTTAGCACGATTAGTCTGAAAGTAAAGGAAAAACAGTTTAATAATGGGGGAAGGATATATTCTTATGTGGCATTTTGCCATATTTATTATGCTGTTAACTTGTAGCTTTTATGTTCTGTTTTATTTCATACAAATACGTCACCGACTCGAAAGCTCTTTAGATTTTTTTCATATGTCCGTGAGCACTTTTTCATTACCTTTGATGTAATTATCAACAACCTAAATGTATCTTGATGATTTTTTTTAAATATATCATCTTTATGTCCATACAAATTTGCAATTTATTGCTTAATAGATATGTGTATATATATGAAATGAAATAAAAATAAAAATGAAATGAGAGAAACGGCGACAGCAAATGTTGCGGCAGTGAGGCAGGGCACCGTCAGACAAAAAACGACAATGGAGGGGTAAGGAACATGTTAGCACGCACAGCAGCCTCTTTTACTGGAAATAGAAAGCAACCCTGGTGTAATCTTATGTTTATGTTTATCAACTTATCTTTATAAGCTTATGTTTATTGCTGAAGATCAAGAAGATGATATTCGGGGAGCTGTTGATCAAGATTTCAAGATTTGGTTGCAAAAAAGGCCAAGTTGATGAAACAGTAAACGCTTGAGCAGTGGTGTGGTGGATGGGGGAGCGCGTCTTGACACCAAAGTGGTTCTTGTGGGATGTCGGGGGGGGGGGGGGGGGGGGGGGGGGCTCAGGCTGTCTTGTTAAAATTCAGAGAGAATATGGGGGCGTAATTGTGGAATTTCTAGTACCGTTAGGGCTGGAATTGCGATTATTTTTTCAGGCATGATTGCATGATTCAGCATGGATATCTGGTACCCCCTATTAGGAGTAAAGTTAGAAAAAGGGAAACGAGAAGTAAACGACGAAGAAGAAAATTTTATAATTAATTACAGTAATACCAGGCATATTCAAATGCATGCAACGAATTCGCATAGAGAGTACGATATTTTAAGCAAAGTATTTCGTTATCCATCATTTTTTTTGCGCTTAAGCAAAGATTCCCACGACGCTCGAAGCAATGCCAGTGGGGTTTGCAGTGCTGCATAGTTTCATGTCACTTGGTAAAAAACGTGCATTTCACAAACAATAGAACAAGGAGACAAACGAAGTCAATTCAAAGATGAGGATGCCTGGCTTATTGGGTGACGTGGCCTTTAGAAGGTAAGTGATTTAATTCAAAGATTTTGAATTCAAACTAAACAATATATGATTATACAGTTATAACTAACAATGTATGAATTACTTTACTGGCAGTGGCGTGGTTTCCGGGGGCGGCTTGTAGGAAGCTACTATACCCTTGAATTCTTCATGAGTTGGTCGGTAAGTGATTATGGTCAATTGGTTGGTGAAATGGCTCCAAAATTCTTCTTTATCTATGTCTGCGTAAGTAAGTTTGGTGATGTATGACGCACTCAATCGCAAAATAATTGCATATCACGATCACCATTCAACGATCGCGCCATGGATAAAATCGCAGAAATAATGTATTGGACAATAAGCTAGTTAGAAGGGGGGGGGGGCATCGTTATAATTAAAACACATTGTTTTGATTATCATTACTTAATATCATTATTGTGGAATCGAATGACATGACTACTCCTTGATTATCTCTCCAAGCTGCATCATTGGCGTTTACTGTATTTATCACTTTGATCTTTGACCAATCAAATGTTGGTCAACACACAGCTCCCAGAATATCATCTTCTTAAGGAATCAGCATCGTCATCTTTATAGATTACATCAGGGTCACTTTCTTTTTTCCATTTTATGGAAATTGATTTCGGAAAACGCCCCATTTTGTTAACGTGTTTGGGAAAGCTATGGCTTTTTTACGCGGCAATGTTTGGCAAATCAAACACAAGAACTGTCATATGTAGCTTTTTCTGGCTTTTTCTCGCTTTTTCTTATTCCCCAGCTGTCTATTTCCTTCACAATTCCTTTATTGTTAATATTCTGAATTGTATAAGGCGAGGAAGCTCTACGTGTAAAAACTGATTTCCCAAAGTTGTAAGCAAATATCTAAAAATAATAAACAGTATTAAAAATGTTCAACCCAAGTCGGTTCACCTTGAAGCAAAATTTGCAAATTCCCGACGAGTATTTCAGAATCCAGTTTTTTTAAGGATTGAAGCATCTAGTTTTCATTTTATCAGGAATGTCTAAAGAACGTGAAGGACTTTTCTATATAAACCCTAAAGCGAGGGGAAACAGTAAAACATTCTGTAGGGGAACAGACGAGAGTAGAAAAATTTTGCGACCGCGCCCTATGCATTTCAGAATATTCCTTACAGTCGTTTGCTTGCAATCTTCAAAATGTCTTAATTTTGTCTAAAATATCACACCCCCCCCCTCCCTACCTCTTGAGGTACTAATTTCATTGGAGATTTTCACTTTTCTCAGACAACAAATTACTGAGAATTGGGGGGGGGGGGTGGCCGCCCCCTTGCCCCTCCCACGCTACGCAACTGCACTCGCCCATTCACTCATTCATACAGAAAGTACTGGTTTAAGGGCAATGTATGTACTATATAGCCGGCCCGTTGAGGAATATCAAATAGCTATCTAATAGCAGTTCTTGACTTTTTTAACAAAAACTTCACTACTTGGACTTGGAGATTTTTTATCATGACAGTACTCTGCATGTAGCTTCTTTGTTGGTTGAGGCATCAGCACTTGAATCTCTGAATACATTTATCTGCAATAAAAATCCAAGACTTTTGCTTGCAGCAATCACTTTCATGCAACCACGCTATGAGCAATGCTAATTCAAATTTCACGCATGCATGTCTTTCGCGCATACACGCATTTTAAAATTTTTCTTCGCCAATTCTCGCATCAAAACTGCGCTGATCACGCAATCACACCAAGATACCTGGTAAATCTCATTAATATTCATACCTGATCAAGGATAAAAAATATTCCAGTAACTGTTGCGAATACAAATCGCACAAACTGATCATAAAACATGAAATTGCTATATCATCAAATTGGATGAAAGTTAGCTTTGCACATGAAGATACTAGATATCCAGCTAAAGAGAGAAAAATAGGTAATAGCAACATAAGGCAAGGGGCTCAAGAAAAAAGTTCTTCTCATCCTAATCAAAACTGAGAATTTGCATCGAGAAATGTTACATGATTTGTACCCCTTGAATGGGCAGCGTCCTGCGATTTAATAGCGGCATAGGCGACACAATTTGACCTATAGGTGTTGTTGACAATTCTAACAAGCACTACAGTAGCTATTTATTATAGAAGAGCCACCACGAGGGTATTGATCAGTGCTGAATATTCAAAAGCATCGGAATGGGCAGGTTTAACAATACGCTTTGATACTAGCATACAACACACGGTATACAAGCCGTACCGTACAAATCTTATAGAGCATCCTACGATTTTCCTTACGACATTTGTCCGGGGCATCCTAACAGTTAAGAGGTTTCACTTTATATGTTACGCGAAATTTGTGTATAACTTTTATACGCGAAATATCCGCCGCGCGACAATCTCTACCATGAACCTCCATCAAAGTCAGGTTATTAAATATTCACTCCATCAAAATCAGGTTATTGAATAAGATTTGTCTACAATTAAGACTCATCTCTTTCAACTCATTTGGATTTATCCATGTTAACTTCACATTAAAACCAAATCTAGGCAATAGAAGTTTGAAAACGTGCCTTTTGGATGCGTTTGCTTTTCGAATGAATGGTATAGACCCCAAGGTATCAATTTAGCAAACAGATTTACTTTGAACTTCAAAAATTTGATGAGCCAATAGTTTGAAGCGGTCGAGTTTTTATTTACTACTGAGATCCTGAATTGCAAACTTTTCGCGATGATACCTATAGAGCCACCCGCAATCAAATTCAAAGCATTTTAGTTTCAATTCAGCTTTCTGGAATTATCGCAGCATTTCAAATGAAGTTCGGCAGCTTAATGTTATAAAGGATACTTTGTTCTCTGGCAATGTTATCATATAGTTGATTAATTAGATTCTTCGCCTTTTTATCATTGTGTTCTTTTGCTACCATTGACTAAATTGTTTTACCAATATTTCAACTGTGGAATGAGTTACATGAACATTTGAAATGTAAAGCACTCATTTCGTAACATTGCTCAAGGTTTCCGTCTACGAAATATTTGCTTCCTGCTGAAAGAAATTCTGGACCTGGTTGAATTACTACTTGCAAAATGAAGCAGTGTTTCCAAATTTGCTGTATCATACTTCTTACGTTATGTTTATTTGGTACTGCCGCATCCTATTCTCTCAATATTACATTTTGGCAGAACAAACCATACTTGTTTATGGAGTCGGAACAGGTGCAAGGTACATTCAAAAGATTAATGGCTGGATTTAAGTCAAAAGAATGCGAGCCAGACGGATTCCAAATCAATTATGTGGATGAGAAAAAGACTTTCTCGGATCTTTTGGAGTCTTTGAACTCAAACACTTCTCATTTTGGGGAATATAATGATACAATAATTGCTTACTTGCCTGTCTTACCCACAACAAGCATTGATCATGCCTTGTATCATAATCATGATATGTATACAATACTTCAGAGTCCTGGATATACACTGGTTGTAAATGCGTTGATGCTGACGAAAATGTACAGAATAATCGTATTTGGTTTTTTGGAAAGTGCTACGTTGTTGATTATACTGACTTGCAGTACGTTAGCCTTTGGCGGTATTGTATGGTTCTTGGTAAGTCATTAAGAAGATGTTACTAGAAAAAGTAAATAAATATCTCCTTTTAGATCTATAAGTATATAAATGTAGGTTCTTTCATCAAAGATTTGAAACAAGTAACTAGAAAGCAGTATATGAAGCCGATGTTTCCAGCTTCACTGATTTTCTTATTTCCAGCTTCACTGATTTTCTTTTTGCAAAGCACTCTCTTCTCAACAATTATTACATTAACAGGAAAGAAAGCAGGATAAAAAAGACACAGACTTTGCATACCATTTTGTACCAGGACTCTGGGATGGATTTTGGTGGGCTGCAGTCACTGGAACAACAGTTGGGTAAGGTGTTAATAGATATAAAGCATTGTATTTAGCATTAAAGATTGAAAGAGATTAATAACGTACAAATGAGGGTTTTACGAAATTCATTGTCCGTAACGGACGGACAAACAATAGTTTCATAAGGTCTAAGAAATTAACGGGTAATTCCAAAATTTTCTCCTTTTGTGTCCCTGTGTCCATGAAAGAGCCTAAAGGGTTTAGATTTTCCAAAGAAATTTGAAAAATAATCATTTGTACGTCCATCACAAATAGTTCCATACTCATCTCAAAACCTGCTATAAAAAGGACTGTGTGCTAAAACTGAGAAATGTTTGTATTCTCCATCAATTTAGCTATCACACTCAGGGATAAGATCAATTTTTACATAATATCAAAATTTTCGAACTTTTCTAAAAATGCAACGAATTTCGTAATAGCCCTAAATGTAGACACCTTTAGGTGGCTCAAGAGGGCTTTTTTATTTGAAATCATCGAATCGTTGCATTTTTAACCATGACAATAATTATAAGATATTATTCCTTTTTGACCACGGTGCCCTAAGCACGTGCCTAGTCTGCTGGTTTAATTAAACATAAAGAGCCCAGGTTATGCTTTTAATAGGTCCCGACCAATTTTGGATTCAACGACAGGAGTGGCGGCATGGGGGGGGGGGGCTGTGGAGATTTTTGTACTTTGGAGTATATAAACTTCGGCACCTTGAAGGTTTGTCTCTAGCGCCACCCCTGTAATCAACGATAGGTGTTCGTTTGCTTAGATGTTTCTTTTGCAATTTTACAGGTATGGTGACAAAACACCAAAAACTCTGGCTGGCAAGGCTGTAGGTCTGGTGTGGTTAATAACAAGTTGCATTATTTTGGCGGCATTTGGTGCCATCATGACGAGTTCTGTCACTACGGAAACAATTTCGATAGCTGGGAAAAAAGTACGACAATTTTTTCCAGCATTACTATTAAATTGTTTTTTAATGGATTTTCTTAAACATTGCAAGATAATACGAGGCTCTCTTTATTTGTGTTGCTTTCAACAAATCCAGAACATTTCAATAAGTCTAATTCTCTATTATTGATTAAATTTTTGGATAGTCAATCCTGCCAAGGGGTTGAATGGATTCACAGGCTGAATCTCGAAATGTAGCCCTTGACGACTTTTACTGCTATTGGTAGACCTATAAAATGATAAAAATAATAAAAATAATATTTATAATTTCTTTAACTAAGATCGGCTTATTTTTTAGCTACTGCTAATTACACCAACCACAGCCAAATCACATGTTAATGATAAGATAAAATGAAGCTTGCAAGAACATGATATAATACTAAAAAAATCCTAGATTTTCAACATATTGCTTACATAATTTACAGTTGCTGCTATGATAGTGGGTTTCAATTCTTTTTTTGAAATATGCATGAGCTAGCTTTCTGCAAAACGGCATTAAGCTCTTAAGAACACAGGAACACTTGAAGACAAGTATGTTGTCTGGTGAAAAAGGCAGTGGATGCGCAACACTACCAAATGAGCATGGGGGAGTTTTATTTGCTAAGAAAGTTCTTTCAAGAAAGCACAGATTGAGGATACAGACTCTAGAACTTTGAAATCAGCCAAAACTTGAAACCAATGCAGATTGCTAGATTGAAGGATTTAATTTGAATGACGCATAGTCAAAAATACATGCGCAGATCGAAGTTTTGGATTTGCACATATTACCTTTCGTTAAGCCCTTTTTCCGCCCCGGTATTTGCCGCTACTGCCAACTCCCTAAAAATTGATTCAAGTAGAGATGAATTTGCTATTGAAAACTCTCTTAGGTTTTTAATGGTACGACCTCATTATCGTGTTTATTTACCATTTTAGATAGCATACCTAAACAATACATACTGTATAGAGGCCATAAACGAAAATGCAGGAATTCCAGTGGGTAAGTGTGTCCCTTTTAGTTGAAGTTATTTATGTGTATTTTCAAAATTCATATGCAAGGTCTAGTTTGGAGTTTGTTGGGCAATTGTACTGAAGGAGGCAGGGTGTCCAAGTCACACTGATCTTCAAAATTGGTATCTATCCTTTATTTGCCTCCTGAGAATACATAGACAAAGCGCCCTCATTTTCGATGGCAAAAACGAGATCATTTCTAAAATAGAACGAACCTATTTTGGCAAATTTTTAGGGGAATCGTACCCCTTCGACCTCTTCCAAATTTTGACCATTTTGGGAAGAAAATTGATGCTTTCCAAACTCTAAAATGGAAGAAAAAAACAACTACATCTCTTGAGCTTGAACGTTGTTGATCTCATTAAATACTGTTTGATGTAAGGAGAGCTGATTTTAAAAACAGAAACTTTTACCTTTTCTATAACAAGACAAATTCTAGAAATAAAAACTAGCCTTTCAAAAAAGTTTTGATAGGTGACTTGAGTCACAACCTCCAAATGTATTTTTGACAAGAAGGCGGTAGAAAGTGTAGTGGAGAGAAATGATATATCTGACTATCTGGCTACATTTTTTGAAAATTCAATATCTTATCTGAGGCAAACAACAATTCTCATACATTTAGTTACAAAGACTGTGGAAGAAGCACTGGAATTGGCACGAACCATGAAAGTGTATGGAGCTCTGATAGATACCCACTATATTTCAAGCAGACAGGATGAGCTTTTTGAAAAAGGCATACTCATAGATCAGAGGTTTCACAAAGAAAAACTTGATATCAGAATGTGGTCAAAGAAGATACCCAACGCAAAAATGAACAAATGCTTTCAGGCATTTTTCAATTTTCTTAATAATTCTTTGTCGCAGATGCCACATATAGAGCCACGTCTCAAGGTGCGTGCAAGTTCTGTTTATGGCCATTTCCATATAGCAATAAATTTCATTTTAAATTTCAATCACTTTATTTCATAACATTTTATAAGAGCTTACAATCACTTTTCATTGTGATCGGAACGAAGTTCTTGTTTCAGAGGGTGGAGAATGGGGGATCTTGTGGCCTATTGTACTGCTCTCTATTCAGTACATTTAATAAAGAACATAAAGTAAAGTTTGACAATTATTGGGGGGCTTCCGACGGCCTTGCTTTTATAATCAAGTTGGCTATTTTGTGCGTCTGCATCCAGCATAAAGAGGCAGACAACATATTAAAAAAAACAATTTTCATGTTATCTAGACTGTCATGTGTTCATGAGTGCACAATTTTTCTTTGGTTATTTGTTAAGTTAGCTTTTATGAGGCCTGGGGAGAAAACAAGATGGAGTCCGCGTTGGCGTCATCGGGAAACTGTGATGTTTATTACTGTTGTTGTTGTAAGGGACTTTGTGGTAACTCTTTGGACCCCCTCAGCTTAAGGCCTGTGGTATTCCTGTCCCCCTCTTGGCGTGTTTGCCAATGATGAGCTGAAGCAGAGTCAACAAGCTGATTTGTTTAGTACAGTTTGATTCCTATCTTTATTTGAGGCTATTTTATACCAGTATCAATTTCTGTAACCTTCAAAGAACTTGATATAGGGCTTTGATGCTAAATTTCTTTTTCAGAATAACAGGTACCGGACTTTGAGGGAAAGAATTGCACCCGGTAGTGCGATGGGACAGGGCCTGTTGGTAGTATATTGCCTCATTGCAGGCCTCGTTTTCTTATGGCTGTTAATTGGCCTGATAGACCATCTTAGAGCAAAGAGGAAACAGAGATTGAAAAAGGGTATTTGGCTCTCTGTTACTTTGTCTCTCAAACTCTCTTTCTCTTTAAGAATAAGTTGATTTCCAAGAATTAATTGAACGTTGAGAAAATGTATTTCGTCCATTGGCCCTACATAATCAATGTCGATACTCACTCTCATATCATCACATGACTCTCATAACATTATTACTAACTCTTCAAGAAGCCAACATTGCAAGACAAAGGGAAAAATTGTTTAGCATGAAACTAGAAATTGAAGTTTCTTTTCCAATACTTTTACAGTGACTGATCAGAAATAGGAAGCATGCATAAAAATATGGAATAAGAAGCGACAAAGCTTTCGGAATCATTAATATTTTGATAGATAACACTACATAGCATATAATGGAATTTAACTATGATTTTCGTTGCAAACCTCTAGAACATTGACGGTCTTCTCAATTTCTTATGGCAAGCGCTAGTATTCCACGCATATAGAGTTCTTAAGTGTGACGTCACAGTAATGCTATTTTTAAAATTTTCGAATTTCATCAACATAGCATAAAGGAACACCATGAAATATTTCCAATTATGAAAGATCAATTAAATATGTCTAAAATCGGGTAAGATATGCCCCATACAAGATTTTAAGTTTGCAAACGAATCAATGTTATTTTTTTCCCGTTCAAAAAGTTACAGGTGGCGAAATTATAGGGGCTTGTTGAGGAAAGAGACAATGCACATGTGGCCATATCTCAACAAATTCGAAACACATTTTGATGATTTTGCTTCTGATATCTGATATCTGATGATTCTGGTATATTTTTGTGACGTCATCACTTTAAAACGTTATTGCTGCACGACCGGAAGGAGGGGAGGAGTTGGAGCCTTAATATGACACCCTAGCATTCAAATAGTTTGCAATGTATGTTCTTATTTTGTAACATGACATGTCAGAATGTCTGGTTGTCTGGTTGTCTGGTTGCTCGAAAAACCTGAAATCAGTAAGCTCGAATCAGTAAGCTGTTTGCAACACATTTTCTTGATTGCTGTAAACAATAGTGATTATCTCACTTTTTATCTTTAGTGGATTGTAAAAAGTCCAAGAATGGTAAAAACCCTGATGTGAACGCAGATTTGATTCATCAGAAGCTTGAAAACATCAGTAACGAGCTTGCAGATGTTAAGACATGGTTCAAAAACATGGAACAGAGACAATCTGAATTGAAGCAGGACGAAGAGAAAAATGAATTCAAGATTCACACGTCGTCATCCATGTGTTTTGGTGACACTAACATGAAAAACGAGCAAGAAGAGAACTATTTTCGAGTAGACGAACACAAACTTTAAGGTTTTTCTGGTAAAAGAAGGAGTTGCTAGCATAACTCTTCTGTTATTCGGAATTATCACGTTTTGTTTCCTTCTCTACTTTTTAGACTCACACATGGCGTGCTTAGCACTTTTAAGAATGAAATGTAATATTTGAAGTTTTAGTTCTATTGTCTTTATACGTCTTATATGAAAGCCTGTATCCTTTCGGTAGCTACTGGGAAGGGTACTTCTTCAAAAGATATTGTCTCGTTTTTATAACTAGTGCAAATCTTTGTCTTTCGCTTAGAAACATTTAGTGCTATTCATCCAAAGAATAAAAGGTGTTTTTGAAAAAGTTGTTTTTATTTTTTCTCTTTCTCGCTCAAATATGAAAATGGTTCTAGAGCAAAAGAAATATTTAACCGATTTCAAACTCACACTAGACGGTCTGAAAGTAAAGCAAAAATAGTTTACTTAGGAATATGGGAAAGAAAATGCGAAACCAAAACTAAACGAAAACAAAGAGGAAGAAAATTCTATAATTGATTTAAGCTATACCTGGCAGATTCAAATGCATGCAACGAATTCTCAAGGAAAATCTGCAAAAGAAGAAAAACTAACGAGAAGAGTACGGTATCTATTGTGAAAAACTGTGGCATCAAATAAGCCCACATTTGGCATTATATTATCTAACTGAATTAGCTTCAACTTAATCAAGACAAAAGCCTATGAACAGACCATTAATTGTTGCAAGTGCCATTTTAGTTTTCTTTTTTCTTTCCCCATTCTTTATCCATCATTTTTCCGGCTAAGACACAAAATCCCACGACGCTCGAAGCAATGCCGTGGGGTTTGCAGAGCTGCATAGTTTCATGTCACTTGGTAAAAAACGTGCATTTCACAAACAATGGAACAAGGACAAACGAAGTCAATTCAAAGATGAGGATGCCTGGCTTATTGGGTGACGTGGCCTTTAGAAGTCTTGAAGGTAAGTGGTTTTGAACTCTACTCTCTCTATCAAAGACATTGAACTCAAACCAATCAATATAATTGATGTTATAAGAATTACTTTATTGGTAGGGGCGCGGCGAGCGGGGAGAGTGCAGGAAGGTGCTGCACCCTCCAATTCTTCATGAGTTAGTCAGTAAATTTTCCGTTGGTCCACAAAATCCTTACTTTGTCAACAAAATTGGTATTGCAACGGTTTGAATTGCAACTCTGAGTGTCGCGCTTCATGCGATCCATCATCAGTCAAGTTTTCTGTATATTAAAAGGGGAAATGTCGGTTATGGATGTTCGTTTTACGTTAATAAGTTTTCTAACTCGGGAAAAATACCAAAACGAAATGAAAGGCAAAAAGCTCCCTCAGAAATAATGTCATGGACATTAGAAAATCAGTCATGAGGCTTCGTTCCCACATTATCGAGAGCGAGTTGGGCCGTTGGTGCATCGGCGCAAATCGCTAAATCTACGACCAGCCTAAACAGGAAGTGGTTACTTAGGGATGTTACACAATAACCCCCAAATTTGATTGATAAAGGAGGGAATTGACAAGAAAAGCTTTTTTCGCCACTAAGAGCCGATGCACCAGTCCTACCTTATAGCATACAAAATAAAAATGCTAACAGTATTAAAAATGCCTAAAGGTATGAGAGGTTTCAACGATGACATTAAAAAAAGAGGGAGGGAGGGCTAGGAAAATAAACAACCGGGAGTCTTCAATCGAGAAAAGTGAGACCCACGCCATGCCAAAAACCTTAAATACCCCTACAATAATGAGGGGAATGAAAACGCCACAAGCCATACACTTTACCATAGCAAAAAATCCCCAGGAACAAATCTCATACCCTAGATACAAACCGCCCGGAGGCCAAAGACTACCCCACAATTCCGACGAACTAGTAAAGCAAATACAAGAGAAAGCGTGGCACACAAGAAACCAAAATGCATAGCAAGCAATGATAAACTTAGGCGTAACAGTTAAAGTAAAAGCCCCTCGTGAAATTAACTCTGATTAAATTCATTTAATCATGATTAAACGTTATCCTAGTACAATTTTACTTTAACTCCTAGTTATATAGGATTAACTGCAGTTGCTATAGGGATATTACTAACTTCACGGGCACTTAAACTTCAGTTTATTTAAGATACACTAGTTACACATTTTACTAAACACAATAGGATATTTCACATTGCGATAAGACCATAGATGTTGCTTCTTCTTTGACATCCCACGCTTGGAATCGTTAGAGCAAAAAAATCGGTAGTGAATGATCAGAGACAGGGACACCTGCAGGACAATTAACAGACCGGAGGCCGGAGGGGCATTGTTAGTGTTTGGAAGGGCGTAATATGGAGGGGTGTTTAGAGGGCATTATTGACAAACTATATTTAACAACTTAATCTATTCGAGTGTTCGCTGCAATCGAAGGATGTTGCGGGCATGATTTTGATGAATCTATTAAGACATTTGGTTGAATGGTATACGATATGTTTATTAATCATTGCAGTGTCAAGAGATTTCGGTCTGTAAAGCTTTTGCAAACATTTGCGTGTTCTGTCGTCTATAACGTCGACTTTTGGTCTAGAAGTAAAGAAATTTGTTTTGATTGCAAATCAACTCATATACAGGAAACAAAGACTGAAAATTGAACTAATATCGCGCGATTGGTTGTATATAAGAAAACGATGTATCACAAGGATCTGTTCTAGTGTCGGTATTACTCAAAGTACGCAATGTTGTTGACGACAATTCGATTTTGCTTCAAGCCCCGGCAATGTCTGGACTTTGATCAAATAAACGGTTTCGTTATAGAAAATTAAATCTGGGGCAGATTTTAAACTTTTTTGCCCAAAGTGAAAACGAAAACCGTCTTTTATCACACTCCTGAGGCGTTGTTGTCGTTGAACGTTCATGGCAGACGTGCTTTAGCTTGCTCCTGCCAGCGGCTTAAAATAAAATTTTTAATGGTTCTAATTTGCTTTAAATGAATACTTTTTAAAAGCTGTCTAAGGCTAATAATATCTAGCAATTCAAAACAATGACGAAACCCAGAAAAGAGAAATCAGCTGCTGCTACACCCACAGACCCTGAATTTACTGTGGAGAGTCTATACAAACTAATGAAGGAAAAATTGGATGATCTGGATCAAAAAGTGGCGACGAAATCATGTATTGACAAGTTGCTAAATATAATTGAAGAACAAAAGCAGAAAATGAGTGAAATGGAAGATAAAATTGCCGTACTCGAAAGCCACATCACTCATTTACAAAAATCAAGGGACAGTGTTGAACAATACCAGCGAAGGTTATGCCTTCGAATCAATGGTATTGATTTGCAACAAGGAGGTCAAATAGAAACTGGGGAAGAGTGCCTTCAAAAAGTCAAGAATGTTTTCAACGAATTAAAGATCGAGATTCCCGATACAGTTGTCGATCGCGCGCACAGGATTGGCAAGGTCATAAAGGTCAACGGCGTAAACGTTCGGCAGATGATAGTGCGTTTTACCACATGGCGGCACAGAACCATGGTGTATAATGCCCGGAAAAACAGTGGTAAATATAAAATAAAACTCGATCTCACAAAGCATCGAGTAGATTTGTTAAAGAAAGCAAATGAGCTGTTGAAATCGGATCAACACTCGTTTGCTTTCTGTAACATAAATTGCCAGCCCTGTTGGTATAATAATGGAAAATACCACTTCTTCAATGATTTACATGAACTCGAGAGGCTTTTTAATAATCGTAATTATTAGTAATGTTTTGAGTTTGTTTCTTTTTTATTTTTAAAATAAACATGTTTTGTTAAGAAGCATTTCTATCTGCTTTTTCATACACGAAACAATACTTTCTCACTTTTAATAAGAACCCTTTGTAACTGCTATTCATACGCTAAACAATAATTTCTCAAGTTTTGTCAAGAACCATTTGTATTTGCTAGTAATGGACAATAATTCTCACATGTTGACAACAGCCTTTGGCTCAACACAGCCTACAGCTACAGAACTAAATAGAATCAAAACAAATTATTTGGTGTCAAATTAAAATTGCCGCTTGGTACAAGCAGGCTAGTTTTTTTGACATTCTTGTGTAACTACCAGTCAGCTATACGCAGCTGCAGTAATTAATTGCGTTCATTAATCACCACAAGTTTACATAGTTATTTTCTATTGTTATTAATCAGTTGAGTTCTTTATTTAATCTATAATTCAGTTTAGTTTACAGTATCGGAATAATGACATATTCGCATAACCTGGGACTGCCCTCAAATATCGATGGACTTCCAACCTTCGAGTCAACTTCAAATCTAACTGAAATGCCAAATCTAAGTGATTTTGATGTTGATGAGCAAATGCCTCAAACAATCGAGTCCCGCTATTTTACTATTCCTGAACTTGCCTCTCTTAGCTCTAATTATCAGGACCTCTCTATTCTCCATACAAATATTAGGAGCCTTTCTCTTCATCACGATGAATTAGTCTCTCTTACTGATCTTTCTAAAAAGTCCTTTGATGTTATTGGAGTATCTGAGATGTGGCACTCGGTACAAAACCCAATAATGACCAATATAGATATTGAAGGATATAAATTTTACGAAACTAAATCATTGAGTCAGAATGGGGGTGTCGGACTATATGTTAAGACATCTCTTATCTCCACCCCTTGTAAAGAATTGAGCTTCAAATGTAAGGAATTTGAAACTATATGGGTTGAAATAGAAGTAAAAGATAAAAAAAAACCTCTTCTTCTGTTGCACTTATAGACATCCCAATTCCGATATTGATATTTTTACTGCTCATTTCAAATCTCTTCTTCCAAATCTAATTAACAAACGGGTTTTCATCATGGGTGACTTTAACATAAATCTTTTGAATTATGATTCCCACATACCTACCAATGAATTTACTAACACCTTATTCACCAACAACTTCTTACCATGTATACATCACCCTACTAGAGTCTCGGACCACTCTGCAACAATTATTGATAATATATTCACAAACTTAGGAAATTCTAACGTTACCTGTGGGAATATTTTAACTCAAATATCTGACCACTTTCCTCAATTTCTGTTTCTAAAAAACGCTAAGCTATCGTGTACTAAACCAAAGATACTGAAATACGATTATTCAAGATTTGATGAAAGAAAATTTGTTGAAGACTTTGGAAAAATTGATCTGACTTATTTAAATTGCTCGTCTGATGCTGAAACTAACTATAACAAATTTCTTGAAGATGTTACCTTTTTGGTTGAAAAACATGTGCCAATTAAAAAGTGCACGAAACGAGAAATAAAACTTAGAACCAAACCATGGATCAATAGCAAAATCCAAAAAATGATGCGAATTCGAGATCGCATTTTAAGGAAGACTACGAAAGATAGATCAAAGACTAATCATGATCTCTACAAAAAATTTAGAAACCGTGTGGCTAATGAGTTGAAGAAATCTCGAGTCAATTATTTTCGAAGCTACTTTTCTATAAACAGTCAAAATATGAAAAAGCTGTGGTCAGGAATTAAATCAATTATTTCCAATAAAGCCTTTACTGCTTCTAGCATAAATAAAATTAAAGACGAAAACGGAAATACAACGTCTGACCCAGTTAAAGTGTCTAATATTCTAAATAACTTTTTTGTAAAAATTGCAGACAATATTACCAGAAACATGCCAAGAACACCAAAATCGCCTCTAGACTATATTACTAATACAAATCAAAATTCAATATTTCTTTCTCCTGTGACCTACATAGAAGTAGAGGAAATAATTCTAAACCTTGACCCATCAAAATCTGTAGGACCACACAGTATTCCAATTGACTTATTGAAAATTCTAGGCCCTCACATCTCTGAAGCTCTAGCCAAACTGGTCAATCAATCTTTTCTTGAAGGTATCTTTCCCTCTAAACTCAAGCTGGCTAAAGTGATCTCCCTTTACAAAAAAGATGATCCTGAAATAGCCTCTAATTACAGACCTATCTCTCTATTACCTCTATTCAATAAGTTGTATGAACGATTAATGTACAGAAGACTTTACTCCTTTCTCATCTACCACAAAATAATATATCCCTTGCAATTTGGATTCCAGGAAAATCATTCAGTTGAACATACGCTTATTAGTATGACTGAAGTCGTGAAGTCAACTCTTGACAATAAAAAATATGGCTGTGGTATATTTATCGATTTACAAAAAGCCTTCGATACGGTTAATCACAATATTTTGCTCTCTAAACTTGAATGCTATGGTATCAGAGGAAATGCCCTTAGATGGTTTGATTCATATCTATCAGATAGAACCCAATATGTTTCAAATAATGGAACCAACTCTGATTGTATGAATGTTACTTGTGGTGTACCTCAGGGATCTGTACTTGGACCTCTTCTCTTTCTAATTTTCATTAATGACTTGCCTAATGTTTCAAGAAAATTGAAATTTTATCTCTTTGCCGATGACACCAACATTTACTATGATACGGAAACTCTTGATAAACTTGTTAAAACAGTTAATATTGAGCTTAAATTCGTAAAAAGATGGCTTGATGCCAATAAGCTATCATTGAACATAGACAAAACTAATTATGTTATCTTCCATTCTACTTCATTGTCAATACCTCCAGACACTGTAATTAAAATAGGGAAAAAACACATCACCAGAGTCAAATATGTTAAGTTTCTAGGTCTTTTGCTTGATGAAAACCTAAGCTGGAAGTATCATCTCAGTGAACTTTCCAAAAAATTGGCAAGAACGTGTGGCATTCTCTTCAGAATTCGAAATCTTCTTACATCTGAATCACTGATATGTATCTACAATGCTTTATTCATGTCATTTCTACAATATGGCATCACTGTCTGGGGACAAACATATGACTCATACCTGGAGCCAATATTCAAGCTGCAAAAAAAGGTTGTCAGAGCTATTTCTCATCAATCCTTTCGTTCTCCCTCTCTTCCCATTTTTAAAAAGCTTAAACTTCTCAGACTTCAAGACATCTTTCAGCTAAGACTATTAACATTTGTGTATGAATCTATAAACAAGAAAAATCCCTCTTGCTTTCATGATTACTTCTCTTTCAATGCAAATATTCACCAACACTCTACTAGGCAATCTAATCGCGGTAATTTGTTTTTGACTCATAGGAACAGTTTTCGGTATGGCCTGAAGTCTATTCGATATATGGGGGCAAAAATGTGGAATGACCTACCAGTAGAAATTAGAAATTCTCCTTCAAAATATTCTTTTAAAAACAATCTTAAAATATTTTTACAAAACAACATAGTAGTCAATGATGGTTTTTAAACTTAGTCTATAAATAGATGATATTTTTCTGTGGATGACTGATAGCAACTTACAGATGATTCTTTTACATTTAGAACTAAAAAATAAGCAGAACGCATCTAATTTACTAGGGGGTGCTTTCTCCTCGATTAGTTTATAAACTACTGAGAAAGTTTCCTCCTTTAAATAATTCCCTGTTTACAATACTAGCTTGTTTCTCCTCTACTCTGTATTTGTTATGTTACGTTTATATTATTTAACTTCCTTTTACATTGTTTATACTTTAAAGCTTCGATTATTTCTAATTTGTAACAAGTGTATGTATCCAGTGGAATTTAAAATAATACTGAACTGAACTGAACTGAACTCCTGGCTTGGCCTGTTTGATGTCTTTTCAATACATGTATATTTGCAATAAAAAGGGAAAAAGTTCGCACTTCACTACTGCATTGAACAACATATTGTCGCATGGCAGTTTCGCAATTTTTAGTTTATCTGTTGGGAACTCTTATAGTTTCGCCATTTTTGGTTTTTTTGTTGGGTTCCCCTAGAATTTTTATGAAACTCCTACCATGGAAATACATACAAGAATTCAAAACAACAAAAAGGAATATTCCGCATTCCAATTTTACAAATTCAGGGAGTTCTGATATATATTAAGAATGTAGATGATTAGTTTAATCTTAAACAAAATAGCTTCTTGATACTATATTTTGCAGTTTATGCATTTACCTGAGCAGGGTCACTGTGGAACCAAAATCACAGTATTAACAAACAAACAAGCACGAACTTCTCGATTAAAAGAGACTGAACTTCTCAAACTTCTGAGAAAACTGAATCCCTTGCCCTGAGACAAGTCCAAACCCTTGGTTTCCAATTCACACATCCTCCCTTTCGATACTCTTGCCTGATCATTACTAAGGTTCTTGAAAATGATCTTATGGTGATCTTCTAATCAATCATTGTTTGCATTTCCATCCAGCATTTCCACTAACCTAGTCCTCTATCAACCTAGTCAATTTTCAACATGTTTTTTCAAACGTAGTTAATTTGCACGCACCCAAAAAAGGCTAGTTTCTTTACATTGACACTTAATGTCCTGCCCTAGGCGTCCATGCGATCGGAAGTATTGTACACCAGTTTCTTAATAACGCTAAGGCAAATAATTCATAACAGTTAATCAAACAAGAAAGCACAATTTTGTGGGAAAAAAAATTGAGCTAGGCAAATTATAGAAACTACTTCAATGTTTACATTCATTTTCTTTACTATCTCTGGAATATAATCTAAATTAATTCTATTGCAAATGTTTCAAGTCCTTCTCTTGTGGCAGCAGCGAAATACAACATTGCCCCTGCGAAAATATGTAAGTTCTGTCACTCATCCTTTCCTCTTTTTTGACGCACTTAGGATATATACAGACTGCCCATGCAGATATTACCACAGCTAATGCGGACATCCAAACAATTTCAATCATGCTCTGTTTGTGGCAAGCATCGGTTATGAAATTAATATTGCACAGGAAATACTCCAAGAAAATTACTTCGTCTTGAGTTCTTTTAATATACACTTTTCATTTACAGCAAAACTGTGAAAAATACAAATTACGGTAGAAAATTTTTGCTTGTGGCTATTTTCATTAATTAATAATAAAACTTTGGATGCGGGTAGGCCTATTGTAAATATGAATCGACTATTGTCCTGTTAAATGGAATGATTACACGGAAGAATCAAATACAGAGGACTACAGTGGAGGAGCAAATGACTTTTGGGCATTGTTTACAAGGAGTGCCAACACCCTGCTGACTTTACAAGGCAGGTCAAAGATTGATGGGCTTGAAAAACAGAACGCAAGTTAATAATAAACGGGTTTAGCTTGTTACTTTTGTAAGCATTTTGAGATAAAAAAGTTACAAAATGGTAAAATGTTGCAGCACTTAGGGATCAATCTTGAAAAATTTTGTCAAATTTGTCATCAATATCATAAAAATACACGAGCATAAAATACTAAACTCTTTGCATTTAAATGTCACCGTTTGTCCTTTCGATCTAATAGATTCGCTTTTCTATATCATCCCTCAGTCTTTTGCTTGCAATACCGTGAATATATGTTAACCTTTTACAACAGATAAACACATTATAATTAGTTTTATTTGCACTGCAACGATGAAATTATATAGATACTATATACAGTCAACCAGGATTTATTCATTTCTTCTTGTCATCCTTTTTCTTTTTTAGGCTCTTTTCTCTTTCTTTCTTGGGTGGTGGTTGTTTGTTTTCAGCTACGAAGCGTTTGTAGCGACTATAAGAGAGGTTTTTGAAATCGATAAGCATTCTCATACATTCCTACGAATACATACGAATCTCACATTTGATAACAGTGGAGTTTTAGCAAACCTGATGGTAAAATAGAAAATTAGGTGACACTCACATCATGTAGTCATCTGTTTTAAGATACGTCATGACATGGTAAACACCGAGTGCAAACTGGTCCGCGATTTCTGAAATCCATGGATTATTCTCGCCTTTCAGAACCCTCTTATTGCTGACGAGATCAAGGGAAACTTGTAGGAAGAAAAAGTAAACAGAGTTCAGTCACATTTATCATGACAAAAGTACATTTATATACGTTGAAAAGATTTTATACATCATAGGATATTCAGGATGTGTTTGAGATCTTCATATCGCAGATCTACAAAATCTAGCAAGGAAATTGCGCAGTTAGTTAAAAGTTAAATGAAAACTGCATTCTTATTTTTCTCAATATCTGACGGCGATTCTTTTGGTAAGACAATGATGCAAGTCCTAATATTCGCGTAGCCCTGGCAATAAGCCATTTCCCCTCCACTCAAGTGTACCAAAACGTCTGTCATATCACCAACCTATTTTGTTCCACCACTAGCGTCACCAGATTCACAATTTCTTATAATTAAGGAATAAAAATCCCACCTGCTTACCGCCATCCACCAAAACTTTCGTGGAAAAAATACAAGAAAATCATCGTATAAATCGCCGTGCAGTGTTGTTCTTTGACAACATCTTCAAAATATTTATGTTTCACGTTCGATTTTATCGATTTCTGCTGTATTTGCTTCTGTTAAAAAATAGGGTTCAGAACGACGATTTTAGATGAAATTATCTATATCAACTACAAAGGAAGCCTCGCTTCATCGCTTAAGTTTGACAGGAACATTAGATGGTGATATAACCGATTTCAACTCTAAGCTTGCCTACATACCAATTTCTGGAGGTAAAACCTGTAGTCTGTTATTTTGTATGTGGAGTTCTTTCAGTCTCGATAGCTCTCCAACCTCAGGGGGTAGCTCAATGAGATCATTATCTCGAAGGACAAGCTATATAGAAAAGAGGAGTTTTAATAGTTGTTGTAGCTTGTATATCAGAGAGCAGATAATTAGAGGCACTAAAAGATTCTCTAATCTTAGTGAAAACAAAAACAATTAAGGTGACAAACTGATTGATAATTGAAAATTAACATGGAATGGAACTCTGGCAGCAGCAACAAAATAAACTAGAAGCAGTAATTGTAAGCAGTAATTAGAAGCAGTAATTAGAAGCAGTAGTTGGAAGCAGTAATTAGAAGCAGTAATTAGAAGCAGTAATTTGAAGCAGTAATTAAAAGCAGTAATTAGAAGCAGTAATTGGAAGCAGTAATTAGAAGCAGTAATTAAAAGCAGTAATTAGAAGAAGTAATTGGAAGCAGTAATTAGAAGCAGTAATTAGAAGCAGTAATTGGAAGCAGTAATTAGAAGCAGTAATTAGAAGCAGTAGTTGGAAGCAGTAATTAGAAGCAGTAATTAGAAGCAGTAATTTGAAGCAGTAATTAAAAGCAGTAATTAGAAGCAGTAATTGGAAGCAGTAATTAGAAGCAGTAATTAGAAGCAGTAATTAGAAGAAGTAATTGGAAGCAGTAATTAGAAGCAGTAATTAGAAGCAGTAATTGGAAGCAGTAATTAGAAGCAGTAATTAGAAGCAGTAATTAGAAGCAGTAATTTGAAGCAGTAATTAGAAGCAGTAATTAGAAGCGGTAATTTGAGGCAGTAATTGGAAGCAGTAATTGGAAGCAGTAATTAGAAGCAGTAATTGGAAGCAGTAATTGGAAGCAGTAATTGGAAGCAGTAATTAGAAGCAGTAATTTGAAGCAATAATTGGAAGCAGTAATTAGAAGCAGTAATTAGAAGCAGTAATTGGAAGAAGTAATTGGAAGCAGTAATTAGAAGCAGTAATTAGAAGCAGTAATTGGAAGCATTAATTTGAAGCAGTAAATAGAAGCTGTAATTAGAAGCAGTAATTGGAAGCAGTAATTAGAAGCAGTAATTGGAAGCAGTAATTGGAAGCAGTAATTGGAAGCAGTAATTTGAAGCAGTAATTTGAAGCAATAATTGGAAGCAGTAATTAGAAGCAGTAATTAGAAGCAGTAATTGGAAGAAGTAATTGGAAGCAGTAATTAGAAGCAGTAATTAGAAGCAGTAATTGGAAGCATTAATTTGAAGCAGTAAATAGAAGCTGTAATTAGAAGCAGTAATTGGAAGCAGTAATTAGAAGCAGTAATTGGAAGCAGTAATTGGAAGCAGTAATTGGAAGCAGTAATTTGAAGCAGTAATTTGAAGCAATAATTGGAAGCAGTAATTAGAAGCAGTAATTAGAAGCAGTAATTGGAAGAAGTAATTGGAAGCAGTAATTAGAAGCAGTAATTAGAAGCAGTAATTGGAAGCATTAATTTGAAGCAGTAAATAGAAGCTGTAATTAGAAGCAGTAATTTGAAGCAATAATTGGAAGCAGTAATTAGAAGCAGTAATTGGAAGCAGTAATTAGAAGCAGTAATTGGAAGCAGTAATTGGAAGCAGTAATTAGAAGCAGTAATTGGAAGTAGTAATTGGAAGCAGTAATCAGAAGAAGTAATTAGAAGAAGTAATTGGAAGCAGTAATTGGAAGCAGTAATTTGAAGCAGTAATTAGAAGCAGTAATTAGAAGAAGTTATTGGAAGCATCAATTGGAAGCAGTAATTAGAAGCATTAATTGGAAGCAGTAATTTGAAGCAGTAATTAGAAGCAGTAATTAGAAGAAGTTATTGGAAGCATCAATTGGAAGCAGTAATTAGAAGCATTAATTGGAAGCAGTAATTTGAAGCAGTAATTAGAAGCAGTAATTAGAAGAAGTTATTGGAAGCATCAATTGGAAGCAGTAATTAGAAGCAGTATTTAGAAGCAGTAATTAGAAGCAGTAATAAGAAGCAGTAATTGGAAGCAGTAATTGGAAGCAGTAATTGGAAGTAGTAATTGGAAGCAGTAATTTGAAGCAGTAATTAGAAGCAGTAATTAGAAGAAGTAATTGGAAGCAGTAATTTGAAGCAGTAAATAGAAGCTGTAATTAGAAGCAGTAATTGGAAGCAGTAATTGGAAGCAGTAATTAGAAGCAGTAATTGGAAGCAGTAATTAGAAGCAGTAATTAGAAGCAGTAATTAGAAGCAGTAATCAGAAGAAGTAATTGGAAGCAGTAATTTGAAGCAGTAATTAGAAGCAGTAATTAGAAGAAGTAATTGGAAGCATTAATTGGAAGCAGTAATTTGAAGCAGTAATTAGAAGCAGTAATTAGAAGCAGTAATTGGAAGCAGTAATTGGAAGCAGTAATTAGAAGCAGTAATTAGAAGCAGTAATTAGAAGCAGTAATTAGAAGCAGTGACTAAAATCTTTTGAATGCCTTAAAAAAACTTGATCGACAAGAAAATTCCAATATGATAATTTGAGAAAAAAGCTAAAAATAGAAATATACTTTCAATGCTTACCACTTGTAGGTTTTTTAAATGTTTCACATCCCCTGGGAAAACCTCAAATTCATTGTCACCAAGGTACAATGCCCTTAATGGCTCTGCAGAAAATAAAGAAACAATCTTTTATTGAAACCATAACACTTTTTGGCTAGGGTAGCTACTAACCTAATAATCTGATAACATTTTTCATATTTGCGCTATAAAAAGGTGCCACAGTTTGATATCTATTCTCTCCTACTATTCTCTCCTATTTGATTTTGCAATAATCAAGACACCTATTTTTAATATCATGTTTTTAAGCTTCTAGTTAAACTGATATGCATAGAGACACGCAATAAATGTTAAAAAAATAGTACCTTAAAAGCAAATCATACAGATTAGTATAAGGCAAAACATACCAAGATAAAAGAAATTTGCTGACAGTGATGACTCAGTGAGGTTGTTGTATGTGAGATCAAGAACTTCCAACATTGGGCAAGCACCAAAACCTTTAGGCAATGTCTTCAAATGGTTCAGTCTGTAGGATACAAGATATTTGTTGCTACAAATGCCTTAAGACATTAAATTCATGCTGGTTTAGAGATAAATTTCAATGTGCAAGCACTTACATGTCTTTGTGTTTTACGTAAAGGTATTTGCAAACATCCTGGCAAACTCATTTGTGTTAGTCGATGACTGCTTTTGCAAAGGGATGTACTGCTCGAAAAAGACAGCACAAAACAGATAGCAACTTGGGTCTAACTTGCCAACCCTTTATTTATCTTGAATTCTATTACTTTTGGTTATAAGCTGAGGATATTCATTGATTCAGAAACAAAGGGAGTGCAATCAGACCATCCCACACATTTCTATCTTCATTCAAAAACTGGCCAAAATGTATTCTGCATTTGCCCTGCAATCACATTACCCTTAATAATAAACTTTAAAAATAGCAGTGTAAACATAGCCCAAATAGACATTCCTTATGACTTGGATGGCTTTCAAGGGTTCAAAGTTTATAGAATATCCTCCATCTCTCCATTGATATAGAATCTGGGTTGTGATCCCAATAAAAATGTATACTTACGCGAGGTTCAAGAACTTCAGCTTTGGAAGATTACAAATGGTTGTGGGTATATTCTAAATAAAAAATAAACTAGGAATATATTTTCATGTTTTTTTCCATTCAAAATTACAAAAAATAAAAAGAAGCTTGCTAAGATGAATTGCAAGCAGGTCCTTACAGCATTCAAATACAAATTATAAAATGTGAAAAACTTTTGAACATTAAGTGAGATCTCTTTCCTTTCCGCTCATAGCCCTTCTTTATAACAAAGTGTATAAAAAATGCTAGCAAATGTATTCAAGGGTGCTGAAATGTTAGACATGAAAGCATAAAATTACCTCCAGCTCGTTATTGAACAAATTCAGATTCTCAAGATTTGTAAGATCCGCTAATGATGGTGGTAGAGCTGCAAAACGAGTTTGAAACAAAAATAATGGATGCTAGGTGAAGAAGAATTTAGGTTTAAGTGCAAATTTATCTTATCAATTTTCCCTGCAAAGAATAACATGATGTCAATATTTAATGGAGCTTATTAAAAATAATTTCTTCCAGGCTATTAGCAGACATAACTTAACATTTTCAGGTGGACAATTAAAGGGAATTTTTCCAGACATTGCAATCTTCGCATTTACTATAATAAGAAATCATAAATAATGCAAACAACTCAGTTAGTTTTGTAAACTAACTAAAAAGCATTATTTGATAATTGATATGTTATTAGATCATGTTTTACATTACAAATAATCAATTTCTCAAGCTGTTTTCATTTGGTGAAATTACTGTGGCAGTGTTTTTTTTCAAAATAACTCATTATAGTAACAAATTGATAAAGGAAGGCAAGACAAAATGCTGGTTTACTAATCTTAACTCATTTTATTAGATATCCAAGGTTTGTGTTAACAGGTTTTGATTACCTTTATTCAGTAACACTAAAATTAATTTGTGATAAGAATCCTGATGTATATGTTATGTTGTTTTGGTGTGCTGTGCCACTTCACAAAACTGGAAATCAATAACTGGATAATCTTTCAACAAGTACTCAAGGTAAACCTTCTCAAACTTTGAGACTTTCATCAAAATTTAGTTAGCTATTCATTCTGTTATAGCCTTCTAAAAATAGAATAGATATAATATTATTTTAAAGGGTATAGAATAGAACTAACGCACAACTGGATTATCTAGCAGCTAAGCATGCACTGTATGTAGTCGGCTTTCTGGTTAAATGTTATCTTACTAGCCCAATGCAGAAGCATGTTTAGAACAAAGTTTAAAATATGAAAACATATCCTATGTTTATAAACACATTACACAATAGTATTCAAAATATGAAGATTTCTCAAAAACATTACAAAATAGACCCTCTCATTATTACAACAACTTGTGGAAAAGAGACACAAAGGGGAAAAATAAAAAACAATATTTAAAATACTTACATACAAGCCTATTATGGCTCAAAATTAGACTTGTGACATTTCTCATCCGACCTAAAAAGAGTTTCTCATTTACATGTTATGTTTTTCTAGATACACAAACTACAATATTTGAAGTTTCCAGTAAAAAATTGCAATTCAATGTATGGGTATTTTGCATGTTCAAGAATATATTGATGTTATTTGTCTTGATCTTGTTATTGTTCTGGCAATCTGATCCTCTGGGAAACTTTAAATGTGACAATGTTAGTTATCAATTTGTTGTATAAATGATTCGAAATGATGCAGACTTACTAAGGAATGGGACATCCAGAAGATTTTCAATTCCTCTGTCTTGTAGGTCTAATTCTGTTTCATTCCTGTCTACATATTCTTCCATTACCTTTTTAACTGACTTTCCACGACTTGCCATTTTGTAGTCTTTTCTTAGACAAACTTTTAAGATAAAAGGGTACGATTTATGATGATAATGAATATAAATTTGTTTGCTAATGACAACACTTCTAGTCAAGTTCTTAAAATTTACATACTATCCACTATATATCACTATGAAATATGTATCATTATTACTAGTTTGGTCAACATTTCTACACAGCTACTTTTGGGTATTAAATCGGATTAAGGTTCTTCCCTATGTTTGTATGTATGTTTGATTTGAAAGGTGAGGAAGAAGAATTTTCCAACAGCCAAATACTTGGATTGTTTTCATTTGTAAATATAAAGATAGAATGATAATAAGGCAATCCCCTAGCCCTTTAATTTTTAGCTCTGAAAATTCTAAAAACAAATATAGAATTTGTGTCAGGAAAATCATGAAATGTTAAAGCGAAGGTCGTCAAATTTATGGCCAAGATCATTAAAACTATAGCAGGCCTAAACAAATCACTGATCAAATACGACTTGAAGCAGAGATCTGTTCACCAAAAAAACAAGTTATGACAAGAAAAAGAAGGTACCTTACGAAGCAAAGTCAGCAGCACATGAATTTACAACAGAACTTCTCCTTTATAGCAAACAAGTCTTAACGCTTTTTCATGTCCAGAAACCAACATTGAAGATGGGGTTAGGCCAACCAACCCACCCTGGACGGAAACGGAAGCCACACCTCTAATCTTTTGAAAATGGCGCATTCAGAATACAAGAACCAGAATATGTACTCAAATTATTCCTCGTAATTACTGACGTTCCAAACTATGAATATTTAAAATCGGGAGTTTTTTAACAAATTTCGTGAAATATAGGGATTTAGCTTTTAGCCCGTCTACAAATGTTAATGCCTACGAAAATCGGGAAAAAATTCCACAAAAATCAGCTCTTGCAAAAATTAATTCTCTAAAAGCCCTAGGTAGGTGGTAAACTTGAAAAGTGAAGTATAATTTATCCCTTACATACATCTATTCTAAACAAGGCCGCCGGACGCTGGTTTGAACAGGGGGGGGGGGGGCAAAACGAATAAAAAGGACACGAATATTTTTTTCCTGAAACCTTAGTAAGTGCCAAAAATGGTACAGACCTCGCGGTAATTTAGTCATTTATAATAATTACAATTACATACGTTGGATATAGTGAAATTTATCTTTGCTAAAAGCAGACATGGCTATGTACTCCATTTAGAGACCACGCACTCTTAATCATGATTAATTGTAAGCTTCCCATCTCATGGCCTTCAAAGTTTTTTGAGATTGTAAATCTCTCTTCCATGTATGATTTATACTTCTATTACAATACGTTGTACTTATTTTTCTTATAATTTGCATTGTAAGTGGACTTGGTCCTGGGTAAGAAGCAGGCACACATCCTTCTTTCATACTTGTGGCAGGCGCATTATACTCAACAAATGTTCAGATTTATTGCAACATACCAACGAATCCAACCCAAAATATGAACTGAATGGAATTTTTGAATTCTTAGTCTCTATGTACTTCAAAGCGAGTTCCAGTCCCTATCTCTTTCTAAACAAAGTTTCAGCCCCATTCGAATAATGATTTTGATTTTCTTACTTATATATTTAAAAATTTAGTCCTCCTTGGTATTCGTACCCTCCCATCCCCATTTAAACACAAATTTGTTCGCCTCCATGGAATATTTTTCAAAAGCTACAAATTTTATGAATTAGTCATCTTCACGCAATCGGCTGAAGGTGCGGACACATTCTTCACTGCCATAGCAAATTCAATTTGTAACTGATTAGGTTTATCTCATCAGTCTTATGAATGAAACAAGTTTTTAACTCTCCTTAAAATTTATCTGGGCGGCTCAGTCAGTTGGTCAAACGTATAACATGTGAGTCCTGAAAATTTGAAAAAAGCTAGAATTCAGAGACATAGAATCTTGAAAATAGGGTTCCATTCGTAATCAGTCAGAGGAAGCACAAAAAGGGCAGGAATTTACTGATATGATGTTGCAGACGATTTTTTAGGTAAATAAATGGCATATCGAAGTACAACAAATTTTGCAGTACGTCTAGTCTTGTATATTGTTCTAATCCTAGATAAGAAATTTAAGTCTTTGTTTAAGTCTTTTTTAGCATGTAATCATTGCAGGGACATAACTTTTTCACTTCTTCATAAAAAACATTGAACAAAATGTTGTGAAGCAAGCAATATGTCGCAGCTATAGTTTAACAGATGTCTGATTTTGTTCATATATATGTCAAGAACCATAAGGGATTGTTGTTAAAATCAAATTTAGTGAACTCTGCTTTTTAACATGCCTAGACATAAGTTTAAGAAAAAGAATGACTTTAACATGCTCAGTGAAAAGTAGAGTTCACTAAATTTGATTTTAACAAAAATTCCTGTTCAAGCTTGAATATTCTCAGTGAAATAAGTTACACAATTTTGGCAAAGGCACATAATAGGGTACATTTTACTAAACCCAGAATCAGAGATAGGGGTCCAGTTTTAACTTTCAAGAACACACACGATATACATTGGACCAACTGACTGTGCCCACCGGAAACTTGATCGGACCTTTCACTAGTGATTTTGTTGCTGAAGACATACTAAGGAAATTTTCTCGTGAAACTGGCAGTCTCCTTCGCAGTTGATATTGTTCATCACAGGAGCTTGCGCTTCTTGCATCAAGAACAAGTAAAAATTTGAGGAATTTTTAGTGAATGGTCCTCCAACAACGTCCAGAGTTATGTTATTTTACTTAGTTTCTAAAAGCAGAATATCTGGCAGTGAAAAAATACACCCAATATATTTTTCGAAAAGGGGCACTTGTTTATACTTTTCGCAAACAGGGGGGTCTGTGCCCCCGTGGCCCCCTGGCTCCGGCGACCCTGTAATATGTCCTTTTTAATTCGTTTTCAAGTCTTTTCTAACACGATTCAATTTTCTTTAAAAATTTAAAGAACAACTTTATATAAAAAGAAGATGACAAAAACATTTGCAGGTCCCCACACCATATCTATGAATCCATCTCCTTCCACAGCCCCCTTTGTTTTTACTTTCATAATGGAAGCGGGGATGAGACAGGAGCTTTCTCTTTTTTATCAACGTTTTCACACCGGGTCCTTGACCGTTTTGGAAATATATTTGACTGAAATATATAATGACAGATCTGTCCTTGCTCATGGCATTTTGCATAAAATCGTCACATAGCCTTTTCAAAGGGGATTTACCTGCGGGGGTAAGCCTTTGTTTGTGCAAAGAGGAGGACTATAGCCTATTGTTTAAGAAATGAAAAGTTCCCGGGGCTAGTGGGGCACTTACCCTCCCCTTATTTAGTATGTTTAAAAAGGCCCTGCATCGTCAGATTCTGAAATTTTGCTTTAAACGTTGATTGTACAATTTCCAAGATTAGAAATCTAGCAAGATGACTGAAAAATTTACATTTCTGAGAAATTTTCAACAAAAACCCCTCAAAGCATATTGAAAACAACCATTTTTGAATGGGCGATCTTTATATTGTGGCTCTTCCTCATTGCGAGAAGACATACTGACTAAGATTCTTGTCCATTTTCCAAAACGTTCACCTTCTGAAAGTATTGGATTAACGCTACCCATATTCTTGATTTTGCTTGCTCCTTCTAGGTTCAGTTTTGCAAAACCTACTAACAAAACGGTATACAGTTACTTAATGAAGAAAATAATCAAAAGCCCATTGCCCTTTGCCGATGAAAACATATTTCAAGACATGCAATTTGAATATTAGAAAATGGGAAATCGTAATATGGTTTAGTTACATTTTTACAAGACTTCAAGGCATCGATACTCATCTTGAAAAACCCAACAAAACCAAACGAACAGGCTTGATTCACTACAAACAGTTGAGTTAGCGGTTTAAATTCAAACATTAGCCGCTTACTCAACAAAGTATCCAATTAAACATTACACTCATTTTTTATAAGAAACTGGCTATAAGAAACGAATACTGGACAGTCAGAAAATATTAAGAAACTCAGTACTTGAAGCAAAAAATTAAAAAACTATTAAATAGTGATAAAACTGAGAACAACGAAATTTTGTAAAATCCAAGAACATGATTGCCCTGTTGGCTTAGAATTTAAGACACAAGGGATAAAAATAAACTTCCCACATCTAAATACAGCATCGGAACGGAAAGTGAATCTCTTGACGTGATAAAAAGGTCACGAACATTTCATAATATCATTTATGACGTCATAATTAAGAAACTCCTAAGAAACAACGAGCATTGAAATTTCCATAACATTGAGAAACTAGTGTACTCAACACCGAACTTTGTTTCTTATAAAAAAATGAGTGTACACTTACAAATCATTGCGTTTAAAAAAAATTCACTCTTGCGTGATTTGTGATTTTGTGATGTTTGCATTTTGAATTACAACATTATCGTTGCCGTCTAAACAGGTGGTAAAACCAAAATAAATGATTGCCTTTTAATTTGAAAACGTAATCGTGCAAGACTGGCAAGACTGAAAGCTACAAAAAATGGACTAGTGGATCTTGAAGATAGACTCGTGAAATAGCCCATTGACAATGATTGGAGAAAAGGTTCCAACGGTTTTCAAAACATGGCTGCAAATAGAGTAATTTTACTTATCTAATGTTCTCTAACATTTTCTAACATCCAGTAGAGCAGTGGTTTTTACTCTTTGACCGTAAACGTATTGATGGATGAGAAATCCCATCTGGTCAGATCCCTATAGCGGTGCGCAGTGCTTAGTGTAGTATAGTTTGTTGCGAGGTCAAGTAACCTGCTTAAGATTGCTGGTGGCAAATCAACACACCCTCAGAATGATTTGAAATTTTAGATCTATTAATTTTCTAACTTCAATCTATATCTGGTCTTCTTCAACAGAAAAAGAAAAAATTAAGCAGGCAATCCAAAGAGGCGATACTTTACAATGGTATGTATGGTGTTAATTCGTAGTCTTGTGTATAAGAGTAACTGGCGTACCCAAGTGTCCTTACTGTTGAGGAGCTGTGAGTTGTCCACCATTTGCCAATCACAGAAAGTTGGACGCCAGAGAGACATGAATCAAATTATTCTTAAAGGGACTCATCGATCTTGTATCAAAGACGCCCAAAAGTGGAACGGAAAGATTGTTATCCAGCCAATTAGCTTTTACTGCTATTCGACAGTTCTGATTTGGATAATTGGTTTTGGGGTTGCAGGTTTTGGGATAGGAATGGGTACAATGCCATTGGTGGAGAAAGTAATGGAAATCGAATTGGATGAATAGACATCTGATGGACCAACTTGGGAAGAACCATGTACCATCGTTTGTTATTGTTTGTCATATTTCTAAAGTTGCGTTGAGTATTTAACTTCAATTATGAATAGCAGGTTATTGTAGTTTATTGCTTAAAAGCTTTATCTAGAATGCAATATCGATCTTATCAGGGCAGGACAATATAAGATTAGGATGACAAGAAGCACTCCTATTTACTTAGACAATCATGGTTGCATTACTGAATCTATTAAAAGGTTGCCAATTTTATACCTCTCATTATATTCGCATTGAATTAGATTACAATTGCAGTCGACACGTAATAGTATTATTTCAATTTTTATACATATTTGATTTATACATCACATTTGAATTCTTCAAAATTACTAACGGCACATTTCCAGTAAGGCAATTTGCAAAAAGAGGCAGAAAAAAGAACAACAGTACTGATTTCCTAAGAAATTTGAAAAGAACACGAGAATCGAAAAGTGATTTTCCTTGTTTATTCGATTTTTCAGGGTCGTAGCTGCAATAAATGGCAAAAACTGACCTTCAGTGTCTCGTTTGATAGTGTTGATGTCGACTGCTAATCTTGCCTTGAAAACTGGCGCGCAATTTTGTTCTTTGCAAAATCGCAATTTACGGGCATAACGATCAAAATACAATAAATAACTAAAAACACGCAAGAGGAAAAAGCAAACACGCAAAAACGCAATTTTTATAATAAAACGGCTAGTAAGAAACTTACTAGTTAAGGCTCTGAAGAATTATCTAAACTTCCATATACAGCTTTAAATTTCTAATCAACGTTGTCAATTTACAACCGATTTTTGAGCCATCATCACACCTGTTTTAGAGTTTTGTGTATCATCACACCTGTTTTAAAGCATATCAAAACCTTCGCACATTGAAACAAATCTCGTTTCAAAGTGAAGTATCTCTTTGAATAAAAAATACTTGCTCCCTTGGAAACTCAAAAATAGGTTTCAGTTTTTCTATTAATAGTTTGATAAATTTTCAGCATTTACAGCAAAAGTTTAATTAATTTTGAATATAATGAATTTTATTCTGTCAAAATTAATTAAGGTTTGTTAAAAGTTAAATTATCATAAAATAATATATTGCTATCTGTCATGAATGGCATTAGCTAACTGTGTTAGCTAGAACTGTTTGCTAACATTGAACATATCTACATATCATGTACTATATCTTTAATTAGGTTTATTTGAAGTTTGCTGTTGTTGTATAATATACAAAGCTACTGCTTTCTTTCCTTGAAACAAGTCTGCATATTCGCATGCACCACCCTCGAATTATTTTCCGTTTCTTAATTCGAAAATCGCTAAAAAGCTTTAACTAGCAAAACATTTAATGTTGGTGGTCGAATTCAGTGGAAAATTAACTAAAAGCCGAATAAATCTAAATGTAAGTTGATTTTACTGTCTCCCCTTTGCTTCGTTTGCTTATTCTCCAAACCGTTAGTTCAAATATCTTTAAACAATCCTAGCTTTAGCTTGTTGAAATAAAGCAATGCACTATGTGATCCTTCTTTCGGTGGAAGTCATTTCAAAACCAATTCATTCTCGAGTGTTTGGCTACGTTTCTCTGGCAATCAAAACTTTTTATAATAATATATTGTCTTTTTTTCCATAAAAGTGTTTTTTCGATGTCAACACCACGTCGAGAAAATACACTGTAAACTAAAAATCATCTTTCATTTGAAATTATTTATTATTGTTATTTGGCAATTTCTTTATATTGCAAAGTTCTCTTCATATTTTCATTTTTCTTGAGTTACTTCTTCGCTACATTTTGTTGTGATTTGTTTATACTTGAAATTATGTTCGCAGGGCATAAGGAAATGACTCCGAATTTATGGGTTTTAAAGTCTAGCAAGCAAAGTCAACAGCGTGTGTCTGTGTTGTTTCAGCTAAGAATTGCAATTTCTATTTGTCAGCAGTGGCGGCGCCAGCTATTACAGACTAGAAAGGGTAATGGGCGCGGCCAGTGGGACCACGCCCCTTTCCCTTGTTTCAGTGATTTGCACCAAGTTAACTTTCCTTAAGAAATTTGATCTTCCCCTACTCAGCGTTTTTTATTCCATGTTTAGAAGAATTATGTAAACCATATTTTCAGAAAAGTGGGGAAGGGGTAACTACCCCTCCCTTACCACCCCTTGGCGCCGCCACTGATTGTCAGTAATAAGCTGAGCTGAGTAAGCTGAGTTACAGTCTATAGACATCTAAGATCTAGTCAAATTGACGTTTTTACGAGTCTATAAAGTGATTTTTCAGCTTTACAATCCTAAGATTCCTTTGAAAAGTAACCAGTATAAAGTTTAAGTTGTGAAGCAAAAGTAACGAGCAAATACTTGAAAAGTCACTTACCTCTTAGGTACATCTTTTTATTATGAAAATATGATATGATATCTACTATGTACTAAGATGATAAGATATCAATTTTGAATGAAACTAATTGAATAAAACTAATCGAAAAATAGATTGCAAATTTTTAAATGCATCGAATGTACGAAACAGTTTCGCTACTACCATAAGATCATACCCATTTAAGACTGGTAATAGCTTCATATAGTGTAACAGAAATGTGAAGAGATGGTACTGCGAGCTTATTGTTTTCAGCTAGAGTCGTTGCAACATAGAAGGAGATTGTGATGTGAACATCAAAATTTTCCGACCCGACGTGGCATAAAAAATCATGGGCTCCGACGCAGGTTGGAAAGTGGGGGGGGGGGGCCAAGAGAAAATATAACAATCACAACAAAGGTTTTTAAAAAAAGGTTTATTGTTTTGCAAAAAAGTGAGAGGGCCATGGCCCCCCCGGCCCCCTCTTCGTCGGAGGCCCTGAAAACGGCAGAACACTAGTTCAATGCTTTCATTGCCGAGGGGTACATAGTGTGATCCTTGCACATTTAACCCCCTCTTGTGAATTGTTTTCTGCTAAACAAACCAATCTGCCTTTTGATCAAGTAAATTCAACCTAGCGTATGGTTTTACAGTGGGAATAGCTTTGCGAGAAAATGTTAGCATTTTGATGCTCATTAAAAGATATTTTTACAATCAAATACATTCCTTCCTCTTTCAACCTACGAATGAAATGTAATGTTGAAATGTGATCGTCAGAATGTCAGAATGTTTACGAGAGCCTCGTAATGATGATTTGGGTATGAGGCTGATTATGGCCTAGCCAAACACAGGCAAGTGCAATGCAAGGAGGTACGAAAATTTAAAGTCAACTATCACCAAACCGCAGTATGTCTTCCGAAGAAGAGCTAGAAAGTTTTGAGGTAACAGATAATGATCTCAAAGATGCATTTTACCCAGGGTTTAGACGAAAATTTACAAAAGAACAAGCGATATATGGAATGTGGGCAAATGATGAGGACAGGGCTGGTTCTAGTAAACGCACTAAGAAGGGTGACTACACAACCCCAATGGATTTTGTAAGCGGTGGTTTCACACAGAAGCAAGACGATGAAAGTGACAATAGCAGTATTGATGAAGACAAAGGTGATCTATTTTGTTCACTTTTTCGTTAATTTGATATACGAGATGCTCTATAAAAATTCCACTATTCAATTCAAAATGTTTTAGGTAGTAGTTGGGTAATTACGGACGTTTTGCCATCACGTGATCACATACAAATCGTTTTTTGATGATCATGAATGTTTGTTCTTTATGTTTGTTTGTTTTTCACTATTGTTGCTGGCGTTCAAAAAATGAACACACGCATTGCTCGATCAGGAAGTTAATTTTTCTTGGTATGTACACAACAACCCTTTTAATCTAGGTCATTACCAGATTGGAATTTTTGCCTTGCGCGGGGGATTTATCCCAATTTCTGTTAAAATGATTCATCCTGCTGCACAGGATTTTTCTTTAACTGTAAAACTTATTGTGTATGTCCTTAATAGTTGACGCTTTAATGAAATTTGAATTTCAAGACCCTCAGAGTTGCAGATCATCTAGATCGTCATTACTTTTTGCTTGTGTACACATGAGGCTGGTTTGGTAAATGTTTATCTTTGCTATATTGTTTTTATCACCACTAATGATGTTACTCAATGTTTTTTTTAAATTTATATCCAGAAGTTACACACTGTATTTTTCTGGTAATCAGTCTCAGCTGCAAAAAATTTTGATCTGTGCTATTTGCAAATGTGCAACTTTTATGAACATGAAACAGATCCCCCGTGCATCTTTCAAAGATTCCAATCTGAGGTCATTATTTGGCACTGGAGACCTAAAAGCCAACTATACTCAGATTATCAGATCCCAGACTGGAAACTTTGTTTCACACCCGCAATATATTGCCCACCCACACATTTGTGTGTTTTTGCATATTGGCCAGACAAAATTTCGTAGATAATAACATTTACCAGTATTAACTCTAAAAATTGCTAAGAATGTATGATTTTAGGCGTACAGTCGCAGTTTTTAACATGAACTTGTCTGTGCAAGAAACAAAGTTTACCTGATTATTATGTATGGTCTTTTTTCTTCTAAAGTGTTCAACAAGACTTTGCTAACATTTTTCACCTACCTTTAAGTTTTGTTGCAACACCAACCTTGTATCTACATCAGGATAGATTTTTATTTGCATGTCTTACATTTCATATAGATGTTAAGCATTTTCCACATGATGTTATTGGTGCCATTTTCATTCTCAGAGTCATAACAATCTGCTACAGTTATAAACTTTCACCAGAGACTAAAATTGCTTCATCTGTTATCCACAAAATCCCTACAAGACTTTTTGTAATGTCCTTTCAGAACTATTAAGATGTTGCCATGGGCTGTGTATGAGGGTTTGGGATGGATGGGAATGGCTGTTGTGTGATCTTTGTTTCTTTTCTTTTTAAAGAGAGGGAGTTTTGTATTGTGGTTATTTTATGGGTCCTGTGGCTTAATGCTGTGCAGCATGTGCTATAATTACCAAAATTGATAAGTATGTTTTAACTACAGGGGGTGCTCTATCCTTAATAAGTTTATCTACTGAGAGAACTTCTTTGTAGAGAAATTTATGCATGCAAATCTCCTGGTTTGTTCACAAGCATTTATGCAACATTGTTTTTTATCTTAATGTTTCATTATAAAGATTTTGTTGTTGTAATTTTCAAATGACAGTGAATCGAATTAAACTGTTTCAAAAAAGGAAAGAAGCCATGTGAGTACAAAGTGAAGGTCACTAAACTTCCTGTTTTAGCTATCAACTTTAATGCAACCCTTGAATCATTTAATTCAACATCAGATGTGTTATAGTTTGGTGTGAAGAATGATTTTCCTCCTTTCATGTAGACTTGATATCTGATGAAGATGATGACTCAAACCTACCTGATAATTTTTCGACATCAAAGGCAGCAAAGAAAGAGCAAAGAAAACAAGAGCCAGCGAAACGTAAATCTATTTTATGAAATTCCAATTTATTAATTTTTTATCAGTTTTGTAAATGTTCTTAGATTTTTAGCAACCTTTTTCTTAACAAACTTCTGAATGTTTTTAGTTATTTATAAATTGATATGCTCTTTTTGACCATGGAAAAACAGCTTTTGATTTAATGTGAACATATTTGATATTTCTCAATCACCCCCTGACTTTTGAACATTTGGGAAGCTTATTTCTGTATGGCTTATGTAATTTGAACAGAGATATAATTTGAATCTGATGCCATTCTCCAAGTGGTAGGTGATACTTTATTTCTAAGATATTCTCTCATTCCAAATAATGCTCTTTAGTAAAACTTTAGACATATTAGAAGGTACTTTGTGTTAATTTAAGTTTGTTTTGTAACAGAATTCTTGTTGATGTACTGCATATGAAGAATCTGTTATTTTTTCAGAAAAAAGGAAACCACAAAGTACAAAGCAAGTGTCAAGGTATAGAAAGTATTTTTTTGTAAGTTAATATCAATTGACAATCTTTATTGCACTCTGAATATAGGGTCTGCAGATCAGCCATTAAAACATGTATTTTTAAGAAATTCAGATTTCATGAAAGATGTTAACATTGATAAAACCAAACGCACTTACCTTGATAAAATCAGCTACACTTTGTCTCAATAGTTTTGCCATTTTATGATAGTTCAGTTAGTCATTTAAATAATTTACAAATTCAGTCAATAACCCAGAAATATAAATCAGGAAAGTAACGTTATTGTTTTTATTATAGTAAATTTGGAGCATGGACCAAACATACAAAAGGATTTGGACAAAAACTGATGGAAAAGGTTTGAAGATTGTGTAAATTTTGCAAATAGCTAGTTGGCTACACTTCTTCATAGCTACCTTTTGGTGATAGATTTTTTTATGAGTGTTAAAAGCAAAGCCTTGTGCATTGACTTGTATGTGAATACAAAAAGTTTTCTTTGTGTTTATAACATGATACTATCAATTAGATTATTCATAATTCACAAATTTCTTATTTAAGATTTATCCTAGTTCCCAGTTTCTGTAAAGTTGAATGATATAAAATCTCAACTTTCCTTTTTAGATGGGATATGTTCACGGCAAAGGTCTTGGGAAGAAAGGAGAGGTATGTGCTTGTATTGATAATGCACTTTATTTTGATTAAGCTTTTGCTTTGTTTTATTGAAGCTTGATGTGTTCAAGTAATTTTTATGGATTTGTTATGATACAATTCTGAGAATCTTTGCTGAGTCAAGGACACTAAATGTCATTAAACAGTATTAATAAAATTCTGTTAAATTACATTTTACCTTTTAGGGTATTATAGAACCTGTACAAGCTTTTAAAAGATCAGGAAGAGGTGCAATTGGTGCATATGGGTCAGAAAGACCTGGTGCCACTGATCTGGTATGTGTACCAACTATTTGTGGTGATCTGTTGAACTTAATGTTGTTTGCTGATTTTATATGCTGCATATCTATAAACATAATTGTCTGCGTTTTTTGAAAACAACAATATTGTATCATAAGTAAATTAAAGTTAATCTGTTGTCTCTAAGCCAAGTCCTGATTCAGAAGAAGAGGTTGAGAAGACTATCAAGCAAGAAATAAAACAACTTGGCCAATGGAAAAAGTCAGGCCAGGTATTTGTTAAGTTTTTTGCTTTTAATCTAAAATAGTCACAATGGAAGGAATTCAAAACCAGGAAGTATAAGAAAATAAAACACTGAGTTTAGTTAAGTACCTGTTGTTCGTTACCAATCTGTAAATCATATTTCTATAGCTACCAGTCTCATTTCTACTTTTCATTTTGATTCAAGTCAACATTTGCAAACCAAATATTAGAAATCATGATAAGTAAACAAAGTTTTAAATTTGATGTGTTCAACTGTTTCTTATATTTGCAGTTGTTAATTCCGGGAAGCAGTTACTGTTGGTGCTTTTAGAATGTTTTTAGCTTTCTTTGTAGTATTTTAAATGATATTGTAAAAGAGTTAGAATTGAAAAGAAAAATAAAAATTTTAAAAATATGGCTAGCATTGTGATTTTTCCCACCTTTCAAAGTTTTAGTCATAATAAAAAACAATAGGGAAGCTTTATGTGACCTTTTAGCAGCTTTTATTAGTATTTTGTCTTTTTTGTCAAAGACTTCTAGACTTTCAGTCTTTATCAAATCTGTCAAAATGGTTGCTATATTTCTGTAGTTGTTCATTGTACTACTTTAATCCTTGTTACTTTTTCTCTAGGATTCAAATAAACCAAAATATGTCTACAAAACTGCTGATGAAGTCAAGGTATTTGTTTTTATTTGATTTTATGGAATTCTACTTTTGTCTTTTGTTTTTGCTGATAAGAAAAAACTAAGGCATGCTCTTTGTGAGTTTCTGTGCGTAAGGAGTTTCCGAGAGTATTATATGTTTGATGTCTGTGAGCAATGTTAAGATTTCAAAATCCGTCTTTTCTTTTAGGCATCCGGCCCTTTAAAGAAAAAATTTGCTGGTCTTACCGGCTACAAAGATGTCAAGGTATTATCTTTAGGTTTCTGTTTCTTTAAATATCATCGAGTTTGCTTGCTTAAAAGTATTTCATCATCTCGAGGAATTCAAAAGACGATCGGATTATCACATTCCAAATGGCCAATTGATAGAAAAGGCAAAATAGTCGAAGCTAAGATCAAAATTAACGATTCGATAGCTTAAATCCTGCAATTCTACTGACTTTCAGACCGATAAGTCTATCTGTAGAAGTAGCAGTACGCACTACATACTACAAGGTAGTATTCTCTAAACAAATCAACGCACAGAAAGTTGGTTTATGGAAGCCTATTCTCTAAACCAATCATGTCGCAAGACAGCTGGGTTTATGCAAGCGTGTTTTAAGCAGTTTCAACAGTCGTGCATGCATTATTTACAACTGTTTCAAAGAAAAGGTTTTACTTTATTATCTGTTTTACTTTTACTGTATGTAGTCTTTCCGTGCTATTTTTCTTTATTGTCATATCTTCGGACTGCTTTTTCACAAAGAAATCAGCCATTGTCCTTTTGGTCGATTTATATCATAAATCGATGTTAAACATAGATTGATGATGTGACGTTAAACTCTGATAAGCTGTCAATTTTAGAACTGAGCAGAAGGCAATATTGTACGATTTTTCAGATATGTTGATGAAAGTTTGACATCAATGAGTCTCTTCATCTGTTTTTGTATACGTTTTGACTGCATCCTTTCTATGCTTGATCTCTGTTAATCCAACCAATATATCCTTGTTTTTTAAGGTTGTAGATATGACTGGACCAGAAACCAAAATTCTGTCGGGCTATTCGTCTATTGGTCAGCAGCATGCCAAACCAGAGGAAGTTGGTTCACACCCAGGTTTACAATGCTGTTACTTATTTATATATTACAAATTTATCGTTCATTATTGTTTAGTATCATGTTTGTTTTGCCTTTAAGGCTATTTGGTAAAAAGAAGGTTGGTATAATTGTAGAAAACAATTTCCAGTAGATTGAACATTGTTTCCGGCAATTGGTAGTTTCTTTAGGATCACCGACCTTCTGGGCTGCATTAACTGTTTTTGTTTTTATAAAACAAAAAAATGTGATTTTGTTTTATTGAGTCGTTAGTTATGTTGATGATTCTCGACAATAATATGCAATCTAGCTGAGAAACATTGCACAGTTACTTTTAATTTTTGCTTTTCAAACTGTACTTCGAAATGGCTTAATCCTGTAGCAATTTAATTTTTTTCAAAGATTTCTCCATGAAATTCATAGCATTGCATTATCAAAGTGAGTCAAAATTCATAGCATTGCATGTCAATAACAAGAGAGTGACGCATTTTTTGCTGGGGATGGGGTCTAGCGTTTGTGCAAAATATCGAATTCATTTAATCTCTTTTTATTTGTCTAAATGCGAACCCTCACACTCTGCGCTCACACGAGTCTTCCTTTTTTCATTTTTTATATTCTCATTTCCTCTTTCTATAATTAGAATTGATTATAAGAAAAATTACACCAATAGGAAGAAAGTGAAGATTTTTCAATATAAATTGTAGAAAATATTGTGCTATTTCATTTTAGTCCTTTCAACTGAGCCCGAGCAGCAGAAAGCTTTTACAATTCCTGAGCTTGAATACAACCTCAAATTACTGCTGGATTTATCAGAATCTGACATTGTACAAATTGATCGCCAGTGAGTTGAAACATGTAATTTTCCTATGCTACCACTCTTCAAGACATTGTTCCTTTGTATCCTTCACTACAGAAATACTTAATATGTCTTCAATTTTTTTTTCATCTGAGGTGGATTTCTTTAGCGATCTGTCATATAGTGCTATGTATAAAACAGGATGGTTCTATATTCCAACTGCAAGTTTAACGTTGAGTGCGATGGTCAGGAAACTCTTAAGCTTGGGTTATTCTATTTAGTTGTTATTTTCTTGGAGGTATCGGGAATTCATGTCGCTCGTAAGTTTTGAATTGGGGATCTTTATAGCTGCCGAAAAATAAAATAATTTCCCACAGTGAGAGACAGTAGTTTAACAGTTGTCCGATGATTGAATTAAGCGTGAAACTCAAAGTTAACAGCTTATTGAGCCATTAGTAATAAGCTGTTAGTGTTTAAATGTTTACATCACTGCAGAATCAAGTTGACCAAAAGGAATTGTCTGCGTATTGCAGCTACGTATTTCATAACAAAGAGTTCTCTAAATGGAGAAAAAACTATTATCTTTGTGAAAACTGGAGAAATAATTCTCTAAAGAGCATTTCCTGCCTTTAGTGTTAAGTCTTTATTTCTCAAAAAAATATACACGATGTTTGAAATAAAATAGCAAACTTGGCAAATTGAATACTATTCTTGAGTATTCTTTTTCGTGAATGAAAAATAGAATGGGGATGTAAATTGTATCCTGTAAACACGGGTGTAAATTTTTCTGTAGAGGCATTTTAATCTCAGCTTCATAGGAAAATTGATATATGAAGTTCCTGTAGCAGTTTGCTTTTAATTCATGTTTTTGCTCTAGACTTCATCACGAAAGAGATTTAGTTGTCAACTTAGAGCATGAGTCGGAACGGTTGGAAAAAATCATCAAAGAAGAGGAGTCAGAGATTAATCGTCTAAACAGTGTTACTACAATTCTCGATAGGTAATTTGTGAATATGACCCAAATTTTGTAGAAATGATTTCTTCAATTACATATTTTATTGTATCCAATTATTATAAATTTTACGATGTTACAATTAGAAGCACGTTGCCGTTGAAATGTGAAGCAAAACATATCGACAGTATTCAGTAGACACTTTGGTCTCTGTTCATTGAATATATCAGTTGCGTGTCCTACAATGTCGTGTAACAATTTCAATCTTTCTTCGTACAACTTTGTTACTAACTGAAAGTTATACTGTAGTCTCTGCTTTGGATACCTTTTGAATTACATATCTAGTGAACAATATAGCAACAGTAGATTTGCAAGTTGGTAGAGATAAAGCTATTTGTCTAGATTTGCAAGTTGGTAAAGCACTTTATCTGTTTTTCTTCCTTCAGATGCAAAATGGGTTTGCAGCATAATGTCGACGAGCCATTATCATTAAAGGGACTTGTCGAGCTTTTTCAAATGCTTCAAGATAAATATTATGAAGAATACAAGGTAAATATGTATTTTTGAATTAAAAAATTAGAAAAATTGAAAAAGTGCAATACTGATCATGCGTCCTTTTGTAAGAATGTATCAAATGTTGCAAGGGGCCAGCATGAAGAAATAGATCTATATTTTTGACGATTAACGAGAGCTATATAAAGTCAATAAAATGCACTTAGTTATTCACTTAGCTAATGGCAGTTAGTTATCGATTTGAACGAACGCTGATGAATTTTCCATCTCTTTAATCAGATAAAAAACAGCGATCTTAGATCTGTCCCATGATGCACTTGATATGTTTCAATTCTTATAATTTAACTTTGTTTTCAATTATAAAGTCATTTGTTTCTACCGCTTCTTTGTTTGCATACCCACTTTATTACATAGTTTATTTTTTTTAAATTGTTTACTGATATGTTTTCGGCATCTAGTGTCTTAAATACCTTGAGCTTTCAAAAAAATGGGACCAATTTCTTTAGGGTATATGGCATTGTCCAAAGGCAGTACGAAGAGGCAGATATTTTCATTAAACTGAGCCGCAGGAAGAAGCTTGAATGCATTGGTGAACAGGAACCTCATCTAAGCACTATTTTATCTAACTCACCCGAGATGTGCAGAAAAGCAATTTTCTTTTTTCTTAATTTTCAGATGTATTCTTTAGACAATCTGATTGTACCACTCGGGTTCCCACTTTTTCAAAAGCATTTCGAGACATGGCGTCCATTATCAGAGCAGCATTTTGGCCTCGATGTTGTGCGACTGTGGAAGGAGGTCCTTGAAGAAAAACAGCCTGTAGGCTATAGTAGAGACCAGCAAGGACAGAAAAGGTATGGAGGCGCGACTTTGGCCTTCTTGTTATTTAGTGTGTTAAGATTAAATGATGGCATTTCTCAAAACTATGAGAATTGAAATTCCATGTCACATGATTTTCCCCTTAGCCATTTCTCCCCGTCTTACGCCAGGTGTTCCAGGATTTATTGGCCCAAGATGGATTACTCAGAATTAATTCGAGCAGCGGAAAAAAACCTTTGACCATCACTACATTCGCATTTCCAACTTCCATCATTTTAATGTTTTTTTAGTTGCAATTGCCGTTATCTGTTATTTTATCTCTATACATTCTTCGACAGCATGAACCCATTCGAAAAAATAATTTGGGATGTTTGCATGCCGTACATACGGACAGCAATAAGGTATCGTTTCATCTTTTGTTTATAGCATATTAGAATGCTTAATATATAAGCTTGTCTTTTGCTGTTCACGATTAGGTAGAAACCTAGATGCTCATGTTCCTGAGCTATCTTTCGCAACTACTGCAAAGTGTAACCAGTCTTGCTTCTGATGTAATCAGTTCCATTTTTGTACCATTACCTTTTTAGTCAATTTCCTAGTATTTAAACTACTTACTGTTAATGTTTTTATCAGCTGCATTTCAAAATGTTCATTTGCCCATATTTTGTAATTCTAACATACTGGCACATCACTTTATGCCACGGATGCATTTGTTTTCACGATGGCTTAAATTCTACTTTATGTCTAATTATGATGATGATGTTGCCGAGTCATTCAGAACACAGAATCTGTAAGGCTTGTCTTCCTCCAGGTTTTGATTCAGAACTATGTACTGATTCTCGCCTATTGTTTTTGATCTTATCAGCCAATGGAATCCCAGAGACTCTGATCCACTGATCATGTTGTTAGAGGTTTGGGCACCAGTCTTGCCAGATTGGGTCACAAGCAACATCTTGGATCAACTCGTTCTTCCACGGCTCCAGGTTTGTTTTTCAAAAAAGTCCAGAACACAATTTCTTAAATAAAGAAACGATAAGGATATGGACGAGTGAATGTTATTCACATTCCAAAGAATGCTTAGTTGTTTTCTTAGGCAAGGTGGATTAAATTTTTAAAGCATATTTAAAACGACACAAGGTTGAAATCAACTGCAAACTTTGAGAAAAGAAGGATTTTAAAAAATGACAATTCTTTTGGCTTGTTGACCTTGTTTCAAAAGGCAATAAAAGTCTTTAGATAGTAGTACGTATTTTACAACTAATTTGGTAGTAGTATGTCTTTTACTACCCTTTGTTTGTTTCTGTCTATGTGATCATTACGATACCTGGCATACCTCTTCTTTACTCTAATACACCTAACTTTTTAAGGTTGAAGTTGATATTTGGAATCCCTTAATTGATACGATGCCAATACACACTTGGATCCATCCATGGTTGCCACTGATGGGTATGTAAAATGTTGTACTTTGTTAATACATGCTGTCGTTACTTGTATCATATATCGAGTCTCGATCTCATTTCGAGGCATTTGAGAGATTTTTGCAAACAAAATGTCGGGTCGAGCTTCGGATTTTGCGTTGATTTAATCTTATACCGTTATGTTAAGGCCTTATCGAACTGCTTAGAAGTGCACTCCTAGTGAGTTTGAATGTATTTTCCTTTGTTAAAATTATTGCAAATAGTTAATAGAATTATTAAAACGTTCACCATAGAGTGGCAAAAAACTCTAAAATTGTAGTGCTTGCTTACTTTATTTATTTAGTAATGCAAATGAAATCGTCAGTGCTAATATTATTTTTACACTCTGTACTTTAGTTTTTCAGATAGTAACCTTTTTAGTTGAATGTTTGAATACCTTGGAAATTTATGTTTTTGTTGTTGCTATCGGATTGATCTGTAAATTCAATTTCACGGGAATTTCAACCAACATTTACTTAAAATAAAATTACGCTTTAAACATACATTCGCGCGCTTTCTACTCAGGCTCAAGATTGGAACCAGTTTTCCCGCCAATTCGACAAAAACTTTCGTCTGCTTTGACCAACTGGCACCCATCTGATCCTTCCGCAAAACTAATACTCCAGCCATGGGCAAAGGTAAGCTGAGCAAACAATAAAATTTTCAAGCAATCGTTTTCTGTGTCCACAATGTTTTAGTTTCACGATACGATCATCCGCCTACGGTGCGATCGGATTTTTTATTCAAAATCAATCATATAGATATTTACAGTGGTATTTTGTGTATTTTTTATTCAAAATCAATCATATAGATATTTACAGTGGTATTTTGTGTATTTTTTATTCAAAATCAATCATATAAATATTTACAGTGATTTGTGTATTTTTTATTCAAAATCAATCATATAGATATTTACAATGGTTTTTTTGTATTCTAGGTGTTTTCAAAAGGTACAATGGAAGCATTCCTCCTTCGCAGCATATACCCAAAATTACTCAGCTGTATGGAGAGCTTCACCGTAAATCCACACCAGCAACACCTAGGTAATTCCCCTATCTACAACCATTATTGACTTTAACTATGACTTTAACATAGGACTTTAATAAGCAATAGATGGCTTACTTGTAATGTTCACAATTTTGATTACGGCATCAGACAGCTGATAGCTATAGAAACGCATAGGATCAATATCATGCTAGAAGACTAATTTGCATAGACTAATTTACATTTGCGTAGAAGACTAATTTATAAAATATTGTATTGCGGTTAATGTTTAAAAAGAAACTGGTGAATCACAGCCATCGAACGAAATGAGGAGCATAAATAAATTGTTGATGTTTTTTTGGAATAGTCAAGGAACATTTTCACAATGTTTTGCATTTCTACTTACCTGTGGAGAACGATCTACATCTTGATCATACTGTCAAGAAAATGACTCTGATGTGATATTTGTAACAGACATACGAATCCATTCAAATATATATTGTGTAAAGGAAAAGCTGTATAGTGACACACAAGGGACTAAGGCTACTGTGGTGTCCGTTATCCGTAGTTACTAAAAGTGATTTTTTGGATCAAAGTGTGGTGAAGATATTCACTGTTGGAAGGCTTCTGCTAATGACTGTCTCACTATGCATTACAACCGTGTGAAATAACCTTTTTCTGCAATGAAATATAAACCCTATCGCCCTGCTATCCACATATGTAGACTGAATAAAGCTTCGTTTTCAGTTCAGTATCTGTTTCCTATAAGAGGTTGCATATAACGATGGAATTTATTGTGTGTTCTAAGTAAACTGCGATTCTATTCTTAATATTGTGCCTTGTTAAGCGTTGTATTAGATTAAATCCACGCCAGGGTGTTTAATGAGTAAGTGAGTTGGCGTCTGCTATTCTCATTTCGACATTTTCAGGTTTGTTATAACAGCCTTTTAAATGTTTAAGTGACTTTCTTTTAATTTATCGGTCGAATTACAAGCATTAGTAACATGGCTATAACTAGATTGATTAACATTAAGTTTTCAGCAAATCATTCGTAGACTAATCAGCTACGGAAAACTTGGTTTTCCACTCTGTTTCAACTAGGACCTTATCTTCCTTTTAGTTCCAATTACATTTGTTGCTAATGTTTAAACGTTAATTTTTGCATGGAAATTGATTTACAATTTCGATCTGGATTCAGAATCTTAAGAACTATTGTGGAGCGTAGTGTTACGGAGGTACTGGTTACTTGGTAGAAACGACAAAAAAGTTTTAGTTTTATCTTTGGGTTCCTTAAAAATTAGTTTTACTTATCTGTAAAGACGAATGTTATTCTGATCCATATTCTCTTGGCGTTGTTTTACATCATTTTCATATTATGATTTTTGATATAGGTGGAATTGAAAGGTATGCCAGTTGACTACGCAAACTTCAAAATAACCAATCAATTAATCAATTTGTTTGCAGAATACAAGTTTACATGTAGTTTGTGATAATAATGTATTCTACACGATCCAGTAAAAGCATAGCTTATCGAGAGCGAATCGCAAGTTCTCAATGCCATAGAAATTCGTACAATCAATTTGCAGTAAACTTAAAATTGTACTTTAGCAGTAGTATGAAGTATAGAACAAGCTGTTTTGGTTGCATAGTATGTGCCAGCATGGCCTTTCTTTCTGACGATTCCCGGGCCTAAACCTACTTATTTTTTCTAGAGCCTTTTCATTGGGTTATGAGTTGGAAGGATTTACTGTCTGTTCAGCATATTGTCAGTATCTTAGAGAAGCAATTCTTCCCGAAGTGGCTTAATGTCTTGAGGCAATGGCTTTGTAATGAACCGAACTATGAAGAAATAACCAAATGGTAAGAGCTTGGTATTATCAACCTTGGCGGTCAACAGCAACACGCGACAAACAGATTAGCTGTTGCTTTTCAAATGGTCAAGGCTGTGATGTCACTTTCGAATGTAGAGAAACTAAGATGAAAGGCAGTTAAAAATTCGAAAGATTGACGTTGTTCTTTGATTACTTCTTGCTTTTACGTCCGTGACACTGGCAAGGAAAAAGATTTATTCATCTAATTGTTAGTCAACTGCTCTTCAAGGAAAATAGGTAGATAGATACGTCTAAAGTTTGCAAGATGTGCGTTCTATAAACAAGTATGAGGAAGTGCAGGCTGTCAATGTTACGTAGTTTTGACGAGACATAATCAGATTTAAAAAAGAATAAAGTGATCTATACTTAAAGAAATATGAAATTTTACTGTTTACCAGTCTGTGAAAAAGTGCTAAATGCCGTATAGGCAGAGGCCTACAAGCTTTAAGTCTATCGAACAAGCTGTTACACCAAGATCCACGCTTAATGCGATCAAATGGCGATTGTCCTGGCTACAGAGCGCTCCTTCTCTATACACTGAGAGCATATACTCAACTATATATGTTTCAACAGAACCTTCAGTATTACAGTAGTTGATTAAATTCGTAGAAGTAGAAGTTCAATGCTATAAAGCACATTTTTGTCCTTCAGGTATCTTGGATGGAAGTCAATGTTTTCAGAAGATCTTCTGTCTCATTCGACCATTAAAGGTATTTAAGTTTGTGGTTGGTTTTTTTAAAAAGGGTACTTCAAGTCTTGAGCAGATTGTTTTGGCTCTTTGCACCCATCTACCCAAGGAAAAGTTAATTGCTCAGCTATTTTAATACACTCACTAAACCATCGGATTTGAGGTGGGGTATTTGTTGCTCGAATATCGCTGCAGGGAGCCAGGTTTGTTTGTGTGCATGTTTCCAGTGTCAAAGCATACTTAGTTTGAATAAAACTGAAAAGAGGACAAGCTTCGTTTCATTTATACGTATCAGAATCCTTAGAAAGAAATATATTTGGGATAATGATGATTTTAAATAATTGTGTTCGTGATTTAGATGAAAATGATACTGTTTTTTCGAAAATTTCGTGGCTATTGTGTGGTGAGAGATGAAAAGCCAAATTTATTTCGAAAAAAATCATATCTGTATAGTTTTAATAAAATTTTCTTAAATGTTTATTATCAATATGGTAATTTGTTCAAATTTGAAAGATAAATTAGCACTAGAAAAGAAAAAAACATTGAAAACATCATGCGTTAGATGCTTGCTGTTGGTGATGTTTTGTTTGCCATCTATGTTTAGACAAAATAATACTTAGATAGTCCAGTCTATCTAAAACATGTTTCTAGACATAATCGTTTGGATCATTTCTTTGTTGAAGTTTTCAAAGTAAATCCAATATTCAAAAACCTGTGTTTAATAACTAAGGCAGTGTCTTATGAAATGTGCTAATCACAATATGACATTTGCAGGCTTGAACGACAGTATAGATTATTGTTGAATTAAGAGAGGTCAACTCTGAGAAGGGTTCACCAACTATAAATCTTAGAGCCTGCTTTCAGTTCACAATTAGCACATGTGAGAAAACCCAAAGGCATGTCCCAAGTATTCATTTGTTGTTTCATGTATATCTATGTTAAATAATGATAGTGTATAAGGAACACCGCAACGCGACGAGAATAAACAACAACAAACACACAAACCAGTGATGGCTAATATTTTATCGATTTTTCGCCGCAAGATTTCCTCCGGAGTCTGTCGAGAAGCCTGCTTTCGTGGCCTCTCCTTTATTCGCATAAATAATGATACATCGATTTTACGTAAAAACAGCCTTTACTTATACTTTGTTAATATTGATTTATACATAACGTCTGTCTTGTTGTCCCAAAACTTTCGCCTAAGTAATTTTCTTCATTAGCCAAACAACAAAAACGTTCTTTGTTAATCCAACTTTGATGACTGTCTTTTCTTTAAATATGATGTCGTTTGACGCATACTCATATGGAATTTGGTTTTAGAGCTCAAAGCCCTAATTCAAGTTGTCATTTCAAAGTGTAACGATTTATTAGTATAAATTAGCCCAGAAGACAAGTTGTTAATTGTTAAGTTTGTATTTGTCATTTCTCTTTGTATTTGTCGTTTGTTTTATCTTGGCGGGTGTTCTAGTTTTAGCTTTGAACATACAAGGGTTTTAAAAGGTTGAAAGACTATAATCACTTACTTTTTTCTACCAACACGACCTTTGTGATGCAGACAGATTTTTTACACGTCAACATCCGATATTTGTTACAGATTATCTTATTTTTGCCGCTGTTTTTCTTACAAACTGGAAATTTCAGCATATTGTTTTATATTTTGCAAGACCATTTCTTTATGATTAAAAAAACTATGTTAAATTGATTAGTAATGTGAATATTGCATTCATGCTATTTAGTGTAGATAGGCCTGGCTCAGAGCCGACTATAGCATTTTCAGGCTCCAACTTTGTTTTGAGTTTTTTAGCATATTGATTTCAGAAGTAACATATAGCCTTTATTCTGTACAATATGTCTTTTTGATGGCAAAATGATGAATTTTCTACATCTTCTTTTTTCATGCAGAAATTTTCAACAGGGCGCTCACACTAATGAACCAAGCTGTTTCTGGTACACTCCAACCAGGTGCTAAAGAGAACATTGCATATTTAACGAGTACAGAGCGAAGGTAAAGTACAAATTTCACTGTAGTTCACACATAACACTGTTTTTAACCAAACATTTCAAATTTTTGGTGAGTCAAGGAACAATAAGACAATTAGGGTCCGTTTTTGCATTGTTCTCCTGTCAAAGTGATTCCATTCCACTTCCTCTTAGAATTTTATGATAGTCCTCTTTGCACTTGAACTAGTGTAGAGTCAATGCAGTCTTTTAGGTGTTTTAAATTCTTTTTGGATTCAAAAAGAGAAAACGAACTCCTTTTGTCTACACAATAGCGGCTTTTTCGTTTGTTATTATTAAACTTAGTTATGTTGATCTGATCATTTTTAACTCTAAGTTTTTTTTTTAATTTTTAAAAGAAAGATTTTTAAGATTGGTAGTCTCGACTGATTGCCTCTTTTTGCTTTCGAATAAAATTAAAGTTTTTGCGTTGAATGTTTCCGATTTTACCGATTCAAGATCTCATGCAGATTTCCCAATATAGTAGAAATCGTCTATAACCAGGAATCAAGGTCTTGTTAATTGATATCCAAACTTGTTCAGGATCGAAAAGTGGTCATCACCAATACGGTTGAGGTATTTTAATCATCTCAGCTACTTTTTCATACCTCAAAATTATTTCTGAAACCAACATAAATGCGTTCCATTTGTTTTCTAACATCCTGAGTCCATATGAGCCTCTGAGTCCTTGTGGGCCTTCTTTATTCGAGCGTGTGATTCCTGCCAGATTTAACAAAGCTGTTCTGTCTGACTATAGAAACCCTTAAGCTCTAATGGGATAACTTTCGCATCCAATGATGTATCTTTAATGCCAGCTAGCCCGAAGTGTATCCACCATGGATGACATTGTATTGAAAGGGATCAATGTAGGTTGGATGCTTGTAATTTTAGTCACGTCATATTTCATTTGGAATGAAATTATTAAGCAGCCTATTTAAAGTAGAAACTACAGAACTGGAGCCGCCTTTTTTCTCTGCAGCAAATGTTACCTGAAAATTTTCTGATGAAAAGGGCGACCAGGCTATTAATCAAGTTTTTAGTTAAAATTATCCGAGAACCTATAGCATGCTTTCTGCCTAGCTACAGTGACTTTGATGCCTATACAAGATAGCACAAAGAGATTTCGTGTTTTGAATACTCGGTGGTAACGAACTACACCCATTTTTTATAAGAAACTTGTTATAAGAAAAGGGTAGGCTTAATTTTTCGAAAGTTAAGAAACAACCCTACTCAAATTTAAAAAAGCTAAAAAACTTTTATAATTTGCAGTTTTCATTTTCCGAGTTGACACTCGAAACAGTCTTGGCATTGAACATTACTGTATATTGCAACACTTGACATGCAGTTTGTATTCATTCTCAGAAAATTGCACACTCGAGAAATTTTCATTTAAAATTTTGTTTTGACTTCAACTTGACATTGATGAAGTTCAATTAGCTTAACTGTTTACAGATCTCAACAGAGTTAGTCATTCTAGAAAAACAAAATTCCTTGATCACTATGTTAGTTTATCTCAATGTGAGTGAACTATTTACTTTACCTCGCTGCACGTTTGAAAAATTCATTACCTATGAAATTTAAGAAACATGTACAAAACATTTGATAGCAAAATGGCCAGAAAATTTAAGAAACTGCCTACCAGCACCGGACCTTAGTTTCTTATAAAAAATACGTGTATTTTGATTGAAGGGCACTGTATGCGCTTGTATTTGATTCTCTGAACAGGCAGACTTCTGTTAACTTTTACTTCAATTTCGTTTAAAGGTTAAAACGCAAAATAGCGAAGTGGGAGATTTCTTTGAAAATGTATCTCATATTGCAATGCTTGACTTAAATCTTACTCTGCTATTCATAACCAGTGATATTTTCATGAGCCTTCAATGCTTGTAGAAAATGGGAACGAGTGGACCGGTTTTTATTAAGTTTAATTTCTGAATGATTGAACTGTCTTTTTTATGAATGAATGATCACATTAGATTTGATAATGTCCTTAGTGAAAGTTTAACACGACCGCCATCCTTGATCTCGTGTGATTCCAGCTCAGCTACAGTTGTACTGCACATTCGCGCCACAAAAATGTGGACAGTTAGGTTTAATTCTCTTGGTTTGTTGTGTAATGAGGATTAGTTGCCGTGAGATTAAAAGGACAGCTTTCTTGCTTTATAACCAAGTAACCACAAGGGCTAGAAAACTAGCTTCAGGCCACTGTCTCATATTGGCTAGATTGCGGTGTTTGGATGTTTTGAAGTACATTCATCCGATCAAGTTTACAAACACATTTATGATTGTCCTTGCTTCCAGAACCAGAATCATAACCACAATAAAATATCAAAGCTCATAGCGTTCGGATTAGATTTCGTTGAAGTTAGCAAAGTATGTCAACAGGTGAATGTTATCAGAAAAAAACCCGCACGTTTCTTGTGACTTTATGTTGATATGGAGCGCGATTGTTTTCACTTTCAGTGTTACAGTGCTGGTGGAATCAGCAGTCTTTCTTTCCTTAATTTTATTCCCCAAATTTATGTCAGATCTTCATTTTCAGCTTGGTAGCAGCTTTTTCAGAAGTAACAACAGTTTTGATTTGTGATGTTGACATGGCGTTTGCCTTTTCTATTTATGAGAGTTGCTTCTTAAAATTCCTGGTTACTACTTACTATTTTGCGTAGACAGTTGTTGCGCGCTCGTGTCAATCGCTGCAGGTTTACTTCAAAAAGCAACCTACAATAGCATTTCTAAGAAAAGCCTGGAATTTTTTTTTCTTTACTAATACTATGCTGATTGTAGATGTTCAGTCAGCTTTTTAAGTCGTTTTTGGCTCAAAACTACTTATAGCATACCAGGGTTGTCGGAGGGGGGAGACCCTTGGGTGGCTCTTTCTCCCCCAAATGATAACTCAACAATCATCCATTATTAGTGGGCGAACAGATTTTGCAGCCTTCTCACACCCCTCCCCAAAAATAGAAGATTTTGTCAAAGTAAACTCCATATTGTCATGTAATATAGTCCTGTTAACATCTTTTTACATGTTTACGGAATTCACTCTTTTATATTTAGAACAGAAATTTGCATTTGCAACTCTGAGTTTCAAGCTTAATGTGATACACAAGCTATTGTTACTCTACTCTTCTACTCTTTTACAATTATATTTAAAAAATATTTTTCGAAAGTATTTTTCAAGGATTGGAACATCATCCTTTGGTCACGATCTTTGTTTATGGTGTTTCAAATTTCATCCAAGCAAGTAACCTGAACTTTCAGTATCATTAAAAAGCTGTAATTCTTTAACAGGCCATTGCAACAAACTTATCGAGTATTTTGTTTGTTTTTCAGAAAGTATACAGAAACCAGCCCCCAAGAACAGGTGAGCGCTTTTGCAAATAAATTTCCTCGGAAGTATTACCAGAAGTATTTAGTTTTTGCTCTGTAAGGTTAATCTTGGTTATGTACTAATTCTTCTTGGAACTTTAATGACGATTGTATCATAAATGTAAAGTATTTGATTATTTTACATTTGTAATACAATCTTTATTATGATTAATGACAGTTTAATGAAAAGAAAATTCCTTGAAATTTTCTATTAAAAAGTTTCGCTTGCAATATGGCGAGAATTCTGACAATGGGAACGTTAGCTGAAATGTTTCATTAGTCTAATTTTATGGTCGAGTTTTCTTATTGTGCTTTTTTCGCTTAAAAGACGCAGTAACATCATTAATGTTTTCACAATGAAAGCCCACTGTTTTAATTCAGTCGTTTGAAGAATAAATGCCTTTATATTTAATAAGATCTTTTCCTAAGCCTCAAGGTAAACTGAGTGATCATGGCTTAACATCAATTGCAGTGTTTGTAAATCAAGTATTTGAAGTGCGATTTTCCCCTTTCTGGAGTTTCTGCCGAAATAAAAGTTTCATTCATTCCTTTGACGAAGACTGGAATCTTTCTATGCATTTTTGAATTCTTTGTGCCTATTTGTTGCTAAACTTTGTTAGATAAAAATAATATTGACTCGAGGATTTTCTTGACATTTTCAATCTTTCTAGTAATAATTTTATTTACATATCTCAAGATTCTGTTTTTTGTCATCGTGCTTTTTGACCTCATATTCTCTTGACCTCATAAATTCGCTTATTTTGGTATTTCTTCAGAAGTACTGCCCTAGGAATAGAATTTTTCTAACAATCTTTGTTTCTTTGTATTTTTTCTTGTTACTTTAGATTTTTGGGCCTATGCAAAAATTACCCACTTTAAGCGTGAAATTGTTGCAAGTTCAGAAATGATGAATTGCGATTCTGGTGTTATTAGTAAACTGTTAGTTTTGAATGTTGATGTGTTGTGATAATTAATAGGGTAAAAGCATATGTGGTTGTATTTTGATATTAACTTTTTGCAAGCTCAAGTGACTGTACGTAAAATAATGTCAATATACAATCACATTTTTCTTACATATTATTTCACTTTCTATGTGTGTTAAGATGTGTACCGTATTACCTATATATCCAGCAACGTAAGATTTTTATATATCTAAGGGGGCGTGGCCTTATTTCAATACGAACTGTCAGTTTTTTTTCTCGGGTAACAAGCAAAAATTTCACAGAGTACGATAGATAGCACCCAGTGTTTAAACAGTGTTAACCCAATGTTGAAATCAACCGATTATTACTTGGTTCTCACTGTACCCAAAGTCTTTCTGAATCCTTTATGAAGTAATAACGAAGGTGCACAACTCGGACTTTTCCATTGAACCTAAAATTCTATTCTCAAGGTTTCAACGCCAAGTGGATTTCCTTCAAATTTCAAGGATCTCATCGAAAAAGCGGTGAGCTATATTTCTTTTTCAAATTAATTTTTATATCCTTTAGTGGTTTTTTAGCGATCAAACTTTTTTGTAAGTTTAGAGACAAATTTTCGTGACCGTAGTCTGTAGCTTCAAATTCTGAGAGCGGGCCTGTAGTTTGGGAAACTCATTTAGGTTCACCGGTACAGAACAAGTGTCGATATGTTTTGCAGAAGAAGGCAATCTTTCACTTTTCAATTCCGGTAGAATGTTATTCTTCAATGATTAGTTGAAGCGGCCTCGCAGCTTAGATAGAAGCATATGGGTGCTAGAATTCTTTTTAGGCCCGTTTATATTTTATACACCATTATATTATGTATTATATATTTTCTGCACTTGAGGTCCTATACCAAAGTACGCTGGTATCTGAAAATATATCCTTTTAGATAGGCTACATGAAATTTTATGTCTTGTTGTATATTTTGCACGCAAATTTAGGTCCTTGATAGGCTACATGAAGTACTTGAGATCAAAGAAAGGATCTCATTTTACCAAGAATAGAAAAGCTTAGCCCTTGATTTTCATATGATATTGAAGTTATGGATATCGCTGTCTAGTTGCTAAATGAGAAGCAAGGTTAATCTAGAAAGCAATACTGGCACTCAATACGAAGCTTTTAATCAAATTGTCAGAGAGCTGCTACCCAACCTTGATATCCGAAATATAATACCTTGAGTGATTGCATATGTGAAGTGTCTAGATCTGATTGTGCACAATATGGTTTATCAAAAACCTGTGAAAAGACACAAATAGATTTTGACCAAAGATCTGGAATGCGGGACTTATTAGCCATTTTCAAATTTCATCTCAGCTTTCAAGTGACGTATTGATTTCTTAGTCTAGATTTCCTTACAGAAACAGAGATTTTTCCTTGCTCAGACAACACATTAAGTTTTTCAAACGTAAGACTGTATACAACTTACAAAAGAAACAAAAATATTTCTATAATCTCGGATTCTTTGCTTAAGAGATGTCCTCGTCCCATTTCGTGGCACGCTTTGTCATGTTTGTTCTAAACTGAGATACCCCAGCCTGATAGATAAGCACGATTTTTGTTTGGACTTGATCAATCAATCTTCCTTCCCTTTTTGCCAGTTTTAATACCGACCCTTATAAGTAGCATGTGAGGTGCTGTCCTGTTTGTTTGTTCCATATATAACTAACAATTCTAGTCACATTGCTTGAAGCTGTTGCGTCATCTGAACCACTAGATCTCTTTTTTAATTACTCTGCTGAAATGGGCTTTTGTCGACTATTTTCATTAGTTTAGTTTCTACGGGGTGAATCACCGGTAGTTTGAAAAAACCATCGATGTTTTCAGTGCCTTTGACAAAATTTAAGTAATGATATAAACCCAAATAAACCCATGAACACTTAATGACAGAAATTACATTCTTCAAGAAACAGAAAACCTTTTTATTCTGCTGGTCTAATTTTCCCTATATTTTCATATTAATTTTAGCTGAACAGCTTTTATAATGAAGATACAGACTGCATACTTACAATCAATTCTTGTTCCACAAAACTGGAAACGCTTCACTATAGATAATTAAAATTCTCTTATGATAAATGGTTCTCTGACGAAGAAATTAGTATTTCTTATTAACCTGAAAGCCACAGATGACATCATTTACTGAAGATATGATTTGAAATGAGAAATGAAAGTATCGATCTTTAGCCGAGGAAGCACTTGGGTAACTGATCTGGATAACAAAGTGTGCTTTCAATTGATAGAATCAGTTTGTCGATGCCATCCATATTCTCATTGCATTTGATCTGATGTTACAATACTAATCAGTCTTTGTAAGCCCAACCACATTTCTCCTTTCACTTTTCTATTTGCAAGATCTGCCAATTTTTCTTGCATGCTGATGCTGCTACTCAGTAAAACAAGTTACGTCTCGCTATTTTTCTGACAGCTTATCAGTAGCCGTTCACCCTCTCCCTTAGTTCATACTTGATAAAACAAGACAGTCCTTAACTCTGGTAGAAACAATTCATGTCTTGGATTTTTAACTTTGCCTAAATCGTTAAGCTTTTGAAATGGAGATGCCCATTTTGAGAAAAGTTTGAACTGTTTCTTGCTTTGCAAGCAGTAAACCATGGAAGCTTGGTAAACCGTAACATGTCTATGTTCACACCCCCCTCTCCTCGTTATTTCCATGTGTTATATATTCTATCGTTTATTTCTCTACTTGTCATGCCTGTTTTTCCCTATGCTTGCCATTAAGGGCCCCGGAGATCTTCTAAAACATGTTCTGTTCTGAAGAGGAATGTTTAGCTAAAAAGATACATATAGCTGAAAGGAAATTAGTTTGCTAAGAAGTTAATGTATTTATAAGATCAATACTGCAAACTTTGAGCAATAATGATAGTTCAGGAAAATAAAGAAAATCTCGATTTTCATATAGGTTTAGTTTGCTATCCTTAAATGCTCCTTTTTTAAATAATCTAAATGACACTGTTATAGTGTAGTGTAATCTTTCAATAACAATCTAAATTATTTAAAGAATTTACCTCCTTTTGAATATAATGGTCAAGATTGATGTTTGCTCATTATGATCTTTTTCTTGTTTTTTCAGGCTGAAGAGAACAACATCCTCTTTATGCCCATGCCCAACAAACGCTTCGAAGGTAAAGCAATATATTCATTTGGAAAATCAATGGTTTATTTGGATCGAAATGTGATATTCACGAGTTTTCAAGGCCAGTGGAGACCTACATCGCTGCAAGATCTCATCAACACGTCTCGTTGATTCAAGGTATGATTACACCCTTAAATGTTGAATAAATCAAGTATTTTTGATCAACAAGTTTTTCCTTATTGAGTGATAAAGTAAACTTGCCATGCGTAAATTAAAATCTGTCTTTTCAGCAATCTAAGGTTTCTCATTCTCAAAACGTCTCGCCGTTCTCATCTCAAAGATTTCTTTGAGTTTCGATAGAATTGTGAGCTATTGGGTGTTAGTTATCAGTCTCGGACCTTACCGTGGACAAAGTACATGTTTTGTTTCCAGCTCCAAATGGTTGTCTCGCTGGTTTTATTCTCTTCACTCGGGAACTTCAAGTTTCTGTGAACTATTTAGGTTCTGTCGATTCGCCCATGGAATATAAATGCTGCTAATGATTGCTTGAATTGTTGTAAAACCCAAGTAAATGAGATGGTACGAAAAGTGAACCAATGGCTATTTGGAATTTCCACAAATATGCATTCATAGGATCCGTGCCCAAACAACTTTTATTGGGAAGAAAGGTCGTTTCTCATTTTGTTATCGTTTTTTCGGGTCTATCTTTGTCCCGAATCCCAGGACTTCTCACTTAAACTCTTTAGCATGTGTGGGTTACATGGAAAATGATTGGTGAAACAAATAGCTCGAAGGTTTACAACTTGCGAACGATTAAATTTCGTACGATGACGACGAAAGTAGGCAGTCAAAGGTAGATAGCTCTCGGGTTTTTGTCAATTAACACTACAATATACACCTTTGTTAATTTTCAGCCACTATCCTTCTTTTGATACTTACTGGTGTGTCAACGATTGAATGTCGAAACATTTCTACACAATATTTCGCTTTTTTATGCCATTTTGTTGTGTTGAAGGTCCACCTTATTGCAATACCGCTCTACACATAACTACTCTAGTTGATGTATGCAACCAAAAATGTTATTGTATGCCAAATTGGCTTAAAAATTGTGCTGCAGTTCTAAATTCTAGAAATAAAGGAAATTTCTACTTTTACATTGTAAATTTTATTTAACGTCTTCAAAAAGAAATAAAAAGGCTGATGCCACCCCTATTAACTATGGTTTTTCGTTAACTCGTGAAATTTATTTAGAGCTACAAGAATTGGCATTTGTTACAAGATTATATTTAGTTAAAAATCAAATCGTGGTCTAACTGTGATTGTAGAGATTTACTTAAAAATAATGCTCTATTATCATAGACACTCAATTACCTCTCTAATCATTGGTAAATGTCTTAACTAGATATCGTTGTCACGAGGAAAACTGCTGAACTCATTTACTTCTAAGCTTATTATTTTGTTATGTTGAAGGCCAAATCAATCCTTCAAAGATAATTTATCAGGGGTTAACTTAATTATTAAGGAAATTCCGAAATATTAATGTGTTATCTTATCCAAATCATTTCCTGTGAATAAATCCATAGCGAAAGTTTTCCGAAAGCATCTTTGAATTTCATTTGTTTTCTCCTATGCAACCACTACCAATACTGCATTTTTCATAATACTGTTTAACGTGAGGTGAAAGGCAACCGACAGATACCTTGTCTTGAAGTGTCCTAAACCATCTTTCAACCAAACAATCGGCCAATCAGTGAGCCTCATACCACTCATACGCTTTTTGATTCGCTTATATTGATTTGCATATGGCTTATGTCACCTTATTATCTGTCCATTGTGATAATTTAGGAAGATATTTCGCGTTTTTTTATCAACAGATAGACTTTCCCATTCCACTAAACCCTTTCCCGGCCTTCGACTACCGAGAACCTCTCTATGCTAGGTCCTATACTCTTTTTGCTTGTATTTCCTCATGCTCTTCCTCTTTATAATATGCCACGTTCTAGAATAGATAACCTTTGTTTCTCTTCACAGACATCCTTCTGAATGCCGGTCTGTTTCCCAGTTAAGACCACTAATTTGACGTTACGTCAGCTGCCCGGTTTAATATTGGATGCTTAAAGTGTTTTGCGATCAACGAGCATTGTTAATGAGGATACCCGCTGCTTAATCGTGGATTTTACGGTAATCGTGTTTGTGATGAATTTTCTCGAGGTCTTAAATGCATTATACTTGACGTAAAACTCGTAAACTGCAAGAATAACATTGATACCAGAAAATGAGCCGTGAATAAATCTGCAAGTGATATTTGATTTTATAAAGTCAAGAAACGCTGGGAATTTTACTAAGTGCACTGAAAGGAACTGATATGTAGCTGTTCTTGGTGACGTCAGCATAACTCAATCGATTTGCGAACACTGATGTTGGTCATGGCTAGTACAGAGTGCACAGATCCTGTAAAGATTAAATCCAAAAGAACTTTGGCCTGGAAAAGACCTGCTACTATGCTTGAGGCTAAAGACAAGATAGACTTTTTCTAGAGTTCACTTTTGGATTTTATGATGAACAGCAATGAGTTATTCAAGTTGTATAAAGGTTCCAGAAAAAAGTGGGGACGTTGAGGTTGTTGTATGGGTCACAAGACGAACTGAACCAGAAAGGTCCGCTGCCGAAGATCAGTACACTGTTAGAAAATTTTAGGCTGCCTCTTCCATTGTCATTTCCTGAGCGCAAATACTACTTAAACTGTCTAGACTTCGAATATTTTGTTTGTTAAGATATTTTTTGTTGACCATGTTTTGATAAAGTGCCTAGCTGTATCTATGAAATTCTTTCTAATCTGACCCTTCTATTGACTACGCTTAACCTATGTTTAGATATCAGATTCATTGCAAGTGTATTTTCAGCCTATTTTCACTCACTAATCTCATTTTCCACCTTGTTTGCCAGACAAGCTCTCTTAAACAGACAAACGCAAGAAATAGACACAGTAATTTCTCTTAAAGGGATGTGTTTGATGTAGCTAGGTAGCACAGCTTCTCTTTCGTCGTATACATATTTATATAGTAAATCATCAAATCTATCCATGGATTACACGGTCATATATTTTGTACATGGTTTATCGGTTCATATATTTTCCAATCAACTTAAAAAGCCTGTCTGCCCGTTTTATTTTGCGTAAACGTACATAGTGTTAGTTGCGTAAACGGGTTTCCAAGCTCGTGTATCAATTGTACGTTTGATAAAAGTAATGTGCGCCTAAACAAAGTTACAAATGCAAAAAAATAGATTTAAACCATGCTACTATAATGGATTTAACCAAAATGAAAAAAGTGCATATCGCGTCTTTCTTACACATGAGGAGCAGTTTATAACAATGCTGAAGAGCTACGGGGCGAAGTAAAGTCAATCTTACAAGGCATCCTTATAAGGCATCCTTCCAAGGCATTCTTTCGAGGCATTGAATAATTTTCAAAGGACAGGGTATACCCATATACATCAAGTTGTGATTGTTAACCTGCATTACTATTTGTGGACTTGATGAAGTTATCTGGTAGTGATTTTGTAACAGGTTTTTTCAAAGCCTGCCCTTTTCAAATGGTATGATGGTCGGGAAGAAAGCCAAAGTTAGTGGCAAGATCTAATTAGTTTTGAACTTGAATGCTTCTCGATGAAGGAGACTAGCTGGCAAACCGAAGCATATGTAACTGTTAAAAATAGCTGTCTCACAATGGTTGATAAACGGGGAATCCATTTTTTCCTTATGTGAATTAATTTACATATAAAGGGCATTCACACTGGTTGATATTGAGTTTAGACTTATTCAATAAAATATTTTCACGGTGGCTATGTTATTTGTAAGAAAACCACATTTTCGAATCTACATAAGCATTGACTGTGAATTAAGCAATTCGCGGAAACAGAAAATAGTTTTAAAGCTCTTAACAAAGTTGAAAATTGCAATTGTGTGTCCTGAACATAGTACATTTCTATTATACAGTGGTTAAAATAATGATATACTTTTTAAAAAAGTAACGAATATAAACTGTACAGCTTTTGTCGTTGTCAACTTAATTTTTTCATATCGTCTTTACTAGAAGACCCATATCTATCTGGTGCTCTGCACACTTTGCCCGTAATCGATGATTTAACTTAATATATGCTTCTATAACTGCTATACAAAATGTTCTTGTCCTACTCTCCGTTTTTATAGTTCGAATTCGTTGCTGCAACATTGCAATATGTTGCATGTGTGTTGCAGCAAAGTTGCAGTTGCAGCAACATTGCATGAGCTCTAAATGTCTGAGTGTGGTCTTCTAAACTTCAGCTGCGGATAAAAGCCCTTGTTCATGTTTACTGTCCAGCCAATGAGAGTTGCTCTGTCCATTTTGGTGTTGATGGCTTACAAAGGATACTTCAGTTAGCAAGTCTCTCTGGTGCCCTTGTCTCTTCTGACAACAGCACAGTTTCTTTATAACTTTCCGGTCTTTTGTGAATTCTTGGTAGAATTCATATTTGTAAAGAATGTACAAGCAAGGATTTAAGATTGATGTAAGATATTTGATGATGATCAACGCGTGAACTACTCGCATCGGTATTTGTATGAAAATTTTCGGGAAAACCGACGCTAACAGGCGAAATATGACTAGCGGTGTCCAACATAAGATGAAAGCAAAGAACATCACAGCAAAAAGAATGACCGCTTTAGTCTCGCGTTTCAGCATCTCCTTGTCCCGCCTCTCCGTTGTGAATTCGCGTTCATCTCTCCCCAATCGTCGTATGGAATGAAACATCAGGACGAAGAGTATCACCAATGTTATCACAACGAGGAGATATGTGGAACTGCCGACAATATAGAAGATCCTGTCGTACCGCAAAGCAGTTTTTCTTTTCTCGTTGTATAGCGTAAAGTTTTTTATATGCGTTGGTTTGACGCTCAAAAGTGGCGCAAGCCATACAAGGCGTACGAAGCTGACAATCAGCGGCAGCGTCCAACTGGCAATGATAAACATTATGATTTTACGTTTCGTGACGATGCTCATATACTTAAAAGGAAAGCAGATCATTAAGTATCGATCGATGATGATGCCGCATAAAGTCATCATCGTTGTTGCAGCGCACATAATTGTTATTATATCAGCTGTCAGTAGAAATGTAATACTCTCCATCATGTGTTTAGCATTCACCCTTTCTGCGTGCACCATCGAGGGTATGTTTACTGCGCCCGTCATAAATTCCGATAATGCCAAGCTAAGTAGCATGAAGTTTACCTTTGACAGCAGGTTTTTGTACCTCATGAAGAGTGAGAGTGAATACGAGTTTGCAAATATGATGAGAATAGAAACTGTAATGAGAAGGCCATGGTATATGTTGGTTTCCTGTTCCATATCTGCTCATCTAACGCCTTGTTTTACGACCTGCAACAATAGATAACGTAGGTAGAATGTAACTCATGGTCTTTTTCAACAGTTATCAACCAACCAGAAGCAAGCCAAGAACAAAGAAACCCACAACAGTTTTATTCAAAGTTATCAATCTGAAGTGTCTGCGTTTATTCTGCAACGAGATGGTATTATTTCACCGCCAGGAGTCTTCCTCGGTTAATACACGCTTTCTTTTTTACAGAAAAACCGTCTATAAAAGGTTGAGCCTTAAGATAACTTAGAAATTAGGAAACCATTGTACTAATTTCCCACAACCTTTGGTAACTGCTTAAAAATCCTTCTTTTAAAGATAGGATGAAAATTATTTGTTTTCACGATTGGGCAGCTACATCCTCTTAAACTGACATAAATAAAAAGAAAGATAAACTCTTTGCGACTTATTATGTGTTCTACCTCATGTTAGTCTTATGTTACCATTTTGTGTTTCTAAAAAGTAGCTTTTCAGTAATTGGTATTAAAGAAATCTTAAAGAAATTTTTAGCACTAGAATCAACAACACAATACAGTAAAGCGAATCATGTTTAAGAGAAAGAAATGTCAGTTAAGATTGACATGAACCATTCACTATTCATTGGAGATGTCTCGGCAGATTTTGTACGTGAAACCGCTAGCTGAACTTTCAATTTACTGATTTAATATAAGGTGGACCCTGCAGTTTAGAAAGCGGCGACATAAATGTATAGATGATATCTTTTAGAATGGGACAGCATGCTGGCACGTTCGCACTCTTTGCTGACTTATGTAAGATATTCGATAGATTGTGCCTTTTTTGGTTTCTATTGCAAAAAGTTGAAATTGAAAAAGAAAATGTCTTTATGCTTATTTTCATCATCATTATCTCTGTTGTCGTTGTAATCATCGCAATGATCCATTTGCAATCATCAATCATCATTGACATATCATTCTTAACCACTAATCACAAATCCTCTTCATTCCCTAACACCGTTCAAAGGCACATTTTTTATCATTTTAGAGCATCAAATGAAGAGATTTCTAAGAAAATTTGTCTCTGAATTTGTCCCCAGCAAGACCAATGTTTTTCACAATGGCGGCGTCAGTGGTCAATGTGTAGCGGTGATGGGTTATGGCTGGGCAAAGTAAATTGCCAGAAAACTTTTAGCCAGCAGTAAACAAATGAAGACAGACACTCGTGACTTATTCTTGGTTACGTAGATGTAGATGCAGTTTGGAACCATGGAATAACATCACGAAATTCATTAAAGTATTACCTCGCCTCAAACATTTTCTAACTGCATAATAGGAATTAAAAAACCTTTCTGCCAAGAGCTGGGAGGGACGTGCTCATCCCCAGGCACCCTCTCCCCCCTGTAGCACTGAGATTTGAACTTCAACTACTCTAGCTATCGAGGATTCCGATGGTAAGAAGATCGGAGGTCTGTAAAATCATAAAAATTTCTTGTGTATGATAGCATCAAAATAAAACAAGGTAAAGCGAAAATTTCCAAACCCGAAACTTGGAAAACGTAGTATTTCAGAACTGAGCTTAAAGTCGACTGATATTATCAAGCGACAAAATTTTATATTATCAGACGTTCCATGATCAATACGAGTTGTCTTTTGTCACAGCTTTTAAATCTCACCGCAAGTTTCTTATAGCTGTTGAGTTGCGTATCAAACATAAGTTGAGTTGCTATAACACCTTTGTAATACTTATCCTTCACAATGCTTAATATCTTAATACGCTATGTTATATAAAAAAATGCATAACTCATTAAGTTTCGAAGCACATACCTTTTGAATCGTTGGTTCTCCAAATCTAACTTGGGAAATCGTCGAATTTGAGTTGCAAACTGAAATGATCAAGAGAGGAAATAAGCGCAATGGATTTCCAGCCTCCTGAAGTTGCAAGTTTAAAGTGGAACCATACACAAGAAAGTCAGTGCATCCAGCAGCATGTAAATAGTATATATCGCATACGGCGAAGGTTATTAAGAAAACCTGTTTAACCCACCCCTGCGTCTGCTTTAAACAGAGCCGTTTCATAACCAATCCATTAATCCAGTGGTCTCACTAGATCTACCGTTCATAAGACTGTTGTTATGCGTCGCCGCTCCGGGATTACTTGGCCAATCAATCACTTTCACGATTTAAGAACATTTTGAAGAATTAAAATTGATTTTGAATGCCCTGAAACTGCTGGTCTACCCAAGTGTATACATACCAACCCGACGCTATTGTCAGTTTATCTTCAATTGAAACCGTATGAGCTACTTAAGTAATGCGCATTGCCATATAAGTAATGTGCAGGAGGATACACAAAACATACTGGAAAGAGCTCACAACAGTCAAGTTTCCGGTCAAATGATTAAATATTTTTCCCATGGAGTGTCAATGTTTTATCTTGTAAGGATTCAACATTCGTCTGATCACGAGTTGGAAAAACTGGAAGCAGGGGCTGTTACCCGGGGGAGGGGGGGATTGGTCGGTAAGCACAGTTGTCTGCTTTCAGCATGTGAAATTTTTGAAGATATTCTGATTTATGGACTCCCCACCCTACCACGAAGTTCAAGAAGCCGCTCCTTTTAACCCTTTTTGACTGATTTCTTTAACGAGCGTTATCGTGTGCGAAAGGCAGCAACTTCTAACTTTTTGTCCTGGTCTCTCTATTGCCAACATCTTTTATGTACAAAAGAGATACCAGATACTGCAAAGCCAAACCAAACGAAACCTAACGACCACGCCTCTGATTGATATTCAGTAGCAGTGCCGTCGGAACGAAATTCATATTGGGGGAGGGGGGGCTGCCCATTGTATTCCCTCTCATTTAGTACACATTTATAAAGGAAATATACTACAGTCTGACCCCCATTCCAACGGGCCTGAGTAGAGTTAAAGAACTATTGAAAAGCAAAGGACGGAGAAAGATGAGCATTGAAGGCAAAAGTGGGAGCGACTGCCCTAACGATCTATGATGCTGATGATATCTAGAAGTTGAAGTATTTTCAGTTTTCTTTATAAATTCATAGGTCGGTAAGCACAGTATCTATCTACAATGCCTGCCAAAAGTACTTGGAACACCCGGCTATTTACGTTGTATTTGATATCTTTCATTCCTTTCATGAAAAAAAATTACTACTTCCGCCCTCGCCCTCTAAAACAATGTTGATAATTTAAAGAAATATCATAAAAGAAACGCAAAAAAAGTGCTTCCTAAAATCCTAACCCATTTCATAGTAAACTAACATTGTTTTGTAGGGGAGAGGGGGATGATTGATTATGACCTTAGAAATTGACATCAATGTCCCACGACTTTTGGCAGGCATTGTAGATAACCGTAAGAAGCTAGGCATTTCTCAAAATGCCAGTGGCAGAAATCATGGGGGTAGGGGGGGGGGGCTCGAGCCTCTCGTCGGAAAATTCAGGCTTTCGTCAGATAATTGACAACCGTTTAACGTGTCGGAATTACTGCAAGAAATCGTTCTGAAATGTATTTTAAGCTAATCTAGGGTGCATGTTCGCCAAATTTTCTGCTCGCTTCGCTCGCAGGTGATCCGTATTTTCCCTTTTTACCACAGGGGGCTCTATAACCTCTTTGTGCCCTTTTTGCAAAATTTGAACATAGCATAGCTGATAAAATAGCACTTAGTACTTAGTAATAAAACAAACAATATATGACCGAAATAAAAAATGCTTGTGAATTGTATATTTAACTTCAGTTCCGTAAAGATTAGCCGAAGTTTCCATCGGATTCTTCTAAATAAAAGTTATTTTCAAACGTATTTCCAACTGAAGAAAACATGATAAAATGCAGAAAATGAACATTACAATTACAATCATCTTATTATCATGAACGACTTGTAAATAGTGTAATCGGTTGGCCTCGTGTATCATCAATTGACTTAGATGAGATGTCAATCTTGATATCAAAAATCATAATGGATTTTTCTTCTTGATACCTAATTTCGGCTTGGTTTGCAAAGATTTCTGAAGGGTCCCGCCAAAAATCACCTATTTTAATCAAAAGGTGCAGTTTCCTTAAAATTAGACATGACCCAAGATGATATCTTGTCGGAAAATCGTAACTGCCCCCCCTCCCCGAATTAAAGCCTCAATTTCCGCCACTGCAAAATACACAGTTGAATCGCATCCTCTAAGTAAAGCTTCTTGGTCGAAACCTGCTGCAAAGCTTTGGGATAAACTCTAGTTCCATTTAAAGTACGGTCCGTTACATAACACAAGCATGCTTCTTGAAATAATGAAACTTGCTGTAAAGCACTGGCAAAGCGACTAAACGTTTCACTAAACTTACTCAACATTATTGAACTTCGATCTGTGAAGGACACTGTGGGGTTGTAGGGGATCTTGCATAGGATTTTTTTTTCTGTTTCTTATGTTGTATGTTAGCATAAAAAACTTCAAGTATAAGAAGTGGATAAAAATAAGAATTTGATGGAACGAAGGGAAAAGAAAATACTTTTTAGCACATTGATAACAAAGTTGACTGTTGAAGAAAACACAGTAGTGTACAAGGAGATGAAGCAGATGTCTCACGAAGGCATTCTAGATATTTTGGGTCACGTAGAAAACAGAGAAAATCCATGGAAAACCTTTGGATTCCCACAACTACGGCGCCTGCGCTGGCACAACAAATGTTTAACTGGTGACAAAAAGACTGGACATTGGCTAAACAACACTAAACAACGCTAAACATGTTGACCAGAATCAAACTTTGCTCAACAACACGACTAAACAACACTAAAAAGGGTGGCAAAACGAATAAACTTTCCACGAAACAAAAGTTGAGTGAAATGCTTAGTGAAATGTTTAGTCGTTTCGCCAGGGCCTAAAGCCAGTAACCCTGTTTCTGTGAAGTGAGAGCTGAAAAAGCACCTTGCCTAAATAGGTGGTCTGATTGATATATGCTTTTTCTGATACCCAAAAAGCGATTTTAAAACAAAAGATATTTTACCAATGTTTCTCCCTTTTTTTCTGTGAGGCACATTTAGGCTTGCTAAATGGAAAGTTGTGTGAAACCACGCGGGGCAATTCATTTTTGCAAATAGCGTACGAGATTATAAAGAAAATATAGGTACTTAAAATGATTTTCTGATAAAACAACAAGAGTTTCACTGAAGTGACTTGCCTCTAGAGAAATAATTTTTTCCCTGCGCTTGTTAAAATAGTTAAACCACTCCCTTGATGTACTATTGTATAACCGTCGATCTAAAAAACAGGTACCACAAAAGGGACCTTAATTTTAGGGTACTGTATCAATTTGGCTTTAAAAATATTATCTAGAGTGGAAAATAAACATTACTAAAAAAGGTTGGAAGAGTGTTTGCTCATTTTGGTGTAAATCTTCGTCACGTAAGTTTGTGAACTGGGAAGTCAATGAAAACTTATATCATTCAAGAACCTCTCTTATGTACCAAATAATTAAACAATAATCTTTAGAAAAACAGTTAGAAAATAGAGGGATAAAATTTGTATCTCTGTTTAACTATCCAGGGAAGAATGAAGATTTGAATGATTGTTTTATTTGTAATTGGAAGGTTTTTGAATAAATAAAGTAATTTGAATCAAAATAATTATAAGAGGTTTAAAATGAATTTTTAAGCTGAGAGTGATCAACAGTTTACAAATACTCTTGTCGTCATGTTACAGTTGGCGTTTGATGTTAGCGAATTCAGACCTGACCTACTTTATGGACAATTTTCTGTAATTTGAGAGCATTTCTATTTCAAAACCAGGGATGTGTCGATGGCGGGTGTTTTGGGGGGCGTCACGCCCCCGCCCCACCCCAATGTCTGCAAACTTTAAGATAGTTGATTATGCAGCGGAACCTTAGCATTGATTAGAAAGTTTGACCAAATTTCAACCTGTAATTCATTTATTTTGTTAGTCGTGGGATGTCGTGGTCAATTTTTTTTTGTAATACACTCTTTTTTTAAGAGCAATTTTTTTCAAGAACACGAGTCTCAAAGTTGGTCGAAAGTTAAGAACAAATTAAGAACGAGCTGAGGCTAAGCTACTGTAAAATGCAATTTTGAACAACGTTTTATCTAAAAAATGAGGATATTTAGCCATGTGTGGGTGTTTTTTCTGTGATTATTCAAACTTGTCGGCAAATAAAGGTTGTCTCACTCATTATGTTGGAAAATGAGGCCTGAACACCTCACAGAGCGAAAAGGCTAGCTATTGCACTGCTTACAACCTATTAATTTAAAACAAATTAAGAACAATCCAGCCTCAGAATTTCGAAAAAAAGGTAAGCCATAACTTAAATTTACTGGTTCGTAAAAAAAGAGTGCATTGCAAATAATAACTGCCTGCAAAAACGACTGCAAAAAATGACTGCGAGAAACTTTTTGAGAAGCATTTTAAGCTAATCTGAAAGGTGTGGTCGAAAAAAATTTCTGCTCGTTCCGCTCGCGGGGGCCTCATCTTACCATTTTGCTCCAGAGCCTCTGAAACCCCTTGAACTGTAGTTCATTTTTTCAGATAAACCAACATTAGATTTTTGCAAAATAATGCTCATGGATTCACCTAAAAACGCGAACTCCGGGAAAATTAGTTTCCGCAAACTTAATTTCCTTATACTTTCATGCCATCATTTGCTCTTACTTTGTTATTATTGAATGTATATATGATAATCTCTTTCATTGTTAAAATATGGAGAAAAAGTCGGTCAAAAAAGTAAAGTTGGCCACTTTTTTCTTAACGCCCCCCCCCCCCAAGCAAAATTGTCTAGGCACATCACTGGTCAAAACTAACTTTTTTTCTAATTCTTAGAACAGAACAGGAGGGATCGTTTCAAGCCCTTTGGTTTTCCAGAAGCTTGTCTATAAAATCAGGTTAATCTGTAGTTGAGAAAGATATACAGGAACAAAGCAATACGACGACGAGAATCCAATGTCACGAAATAAAATTTTCAAAATGAATTAAATCTAAAGTATATTCTTTAAATCTAATTAATTTTGAAAATTTTATTTTGTGACATTGGATTCTCGTCGTCGTATTGCTTTGTTCCTTAATATCTTTCGTAACGTCACCCATTGCAAGATTCACAGAATCCGGCGGACAGCCTATCCTGCGGTTCTTCCTTCTCACACATTATAATCTGTAGTTGCCAGGCGAAATATTATGTTGGTCAATTAAATTGCTTTGCAGTAAAAAGAAAATAATCTACATTTATTTGTCTTCGCCAGGTAATTCGATTTTGCGTAACCCTGCAAGTCAGAAAGGTCAGGTAACGCCCCTGCTAGGCAAACTCTCTTCTAGCAGCAACCTGTCTGCCGATACTGTTTCTTCACGCAGATAACATTTGTAAAATTAAAATCTCGACTACTTGAGCACCTCTCTGAGCACTTATCCCATCTTTACTTGTCGGTTTAAGAAAAACCGTTTGATATTCATTGTTCGAGCATAATTGCTCCCATCTGCATAAAAAATGCAATCGAAAAGCACATTGTGGTATGGGAACCTCCGAGGGTAAGTAACATATGTCCCCTCATCTCCTCACCCAGTTGCTTCAGTTACAGTCAATAGGCAATGCGAGATCTGGTCTATTATTTATCAAGTAATAGGGAATTGTTTGTGAGTTTTTCAGATAATTCTGGGAGCTTTCTAATAGTGGCTTTTAAGGACCATCTACTCACATCAATGGGGAAACATGTTTGGTTCTATCCGTGAATTAAAAAAACGAAAACAAAGTCATCTGAAGATCAAGAACGACACATTTGATGTTGGAAATCATCTAAAACTTAATATGCTTGGTGTTTGTTTAGAGCTAACAGAAATCAAATTCAAGGATAAAGTATAAGAAATAATTTACTGTACCATTGCATAAAACTATGATGGCGAAATGCAGCTTGCTGTCACTCTTCGATCACAGGGATGAAAGTTTCATAACGAAAAGATTTACATCAAGTGTCTGTACCTTCTTTTGACCAACAGGCTACCGCTTCTTGAAAAACTGTTTACTTGCTGCTGTAAGATACTTAATAGGACCGCTTTGGTATTGTTGTAAAATTCTGATTACTTTTGCAGCTGAAGGAAGTGAAAAAGCTTATTCAATATAGCGTGTTATCAGCCACTGAAGGATTTTTGTTTTGTAATGATAAGAAAAAGAAAGTGGCGTTGTACCCACGAAATCTACTTTTCTTTCTACGACATCTAATGGTCAAAGAAGGTCAGTTTCCTATTTTCCGTCTGAAAGCATAATTATAGCTACAAGCTTTTCAGTGACATTGAAGGTTTTTGTCGACTCTCCACAGTTGCTTATGCACAGTTTCAATAAAAGACCTCGGTTTAGAATATGTCTGGCCTCGGTTTAGTGTATGTTTCACAACTTAGTGTATGGAAATTTAGCTCACCGATACATAAAAGCGTAAATACAACAAATTTATATTTTGCTGGTGATTCTCTTGTTTATTAAGTGGACATTGCAAATTTGATTATGAATTTCGAACGTTTTAATATATAATTGAATACATTATATATTTCATATATATATATATAAAAGACAATTTGATATAAAGTTTATACAATATATCAATATATTGTATGAATAGAACAATTTGGATGTAATATTTGAACAAACAAAGGTATCCTGTCGCTGTGTACGAAGAATGCCGGTACTCTTTTGGTGCTTTGTAGGTAGCTTCATAGTATCCGCTACGCAAAGATTTGAATTTTATAGTATCATTAAAAATCATGAACAACAGCAAATGAAAACGTCACCGCGTACTTTTTTACAAGAAATATTGCTCGTGTGGCAAGGTTCTTTTAATTTAGGACGCAATTTATCTAGAAGGTTCTTAGATTGTTTTATCGAAAGTAAGAATTTCTGAATAACATACAAAAACCTCCCAGATGATTTAGAGCTTTCAGGGCCAGAAATATACTACAAAAAGTTATGTTCATGACTATCTTTATCACCTTGACCTGACAGTGTCCAGAAATGCCGTCAACCTCCCTCCGGCCAAGAAAATCGTGCTATAAAACTTCCCTTGTCTTTAATGGGTCTAAAATGGACGTGGTCAGGAAATCGGGGTACTCAACTAGTCTTGATCCTCTTTCCTGGCACCTGTTTTTCCAAACCTTTTTTGAAAATGTGTAGCTTGTTTTCAGTTAGAGATACTTTTGAGACAGATGTAAAGTTACATGCTTTATTGATTAATTACAAAAGCGTGTCATAATTTAAATACATGACTTAAAAAAAATTAACTCCTAAATTTTACAGTGCAACGCAGATCTGCGAACACATTCAGCTTTTGAATAATATTTGTTTTTTTGTCTGATTGTAATTTGTAAACCAAAAGGATTTCTTCAATTTTCGCAACTTTCCATTTTTTGGACACCTTCCTTGATTTCTTTTTGTCTCTATAACCCTCCTCCGGCTGGTTTTTTTACAACCCTCGTCCAGCTGGTTGTTTCTACAACCCTCCGCCTCCTGAACTGCTATGATGACGTATAAGTAGTTTGTATTTTGTTCAGCATGGTACTGCATGGTACTGTACTGGGCTGTATTGTGCTGTATTGTACTTTATTGTGTATTTATGGTGTATTTTGTAAAGTATAGGAATATTTGTAATGTTGGGTGTGGAGGCAACTCGCTAAAGTTATGTTTTTTGTCCTCACCTAAACAATAATTATATTTGAGTTTTAATTGGTTTTTAATGCTATAAAAAATATCGTTTTTCACACCCTCTGGCCATTGAAATGAGGTATTGCAGTTTATCGGTCTCATAGGGACCAAGACGTTATCTTGCCTTCCCCTGGGACGAGGAAACTGAGCCAACGTGAAAGATGCATTTCTTCCTGTGAAAAGGTTAGGCCATTTTTTGCAATGTCCATGTACTCTACTAACTGGTGTCAAACAACTAGGGTAGTGACTATTTAAGTTACCCAAGAGCTGAAACTAAAAATACTCGTTACTGTAGATATAATAACTCTGTTATTCATACTTGCGAATGTGAATATAAGCAAATTGCAGGTTGCAGTTATTAGTCAACTCGATGCTGTCGAGGTTTATGGCTAAATGACCCTTGGCGCAAAATCCTCAACCAACGTGAAGAAATATTACAGTGTAGGGCCATTTTAAAGAAGAGCAGCAAAGCGGGCCTAGAGTTGGCATTACAACATGTTCTTGATGTCGATGAGGTTTATTCAAGTATTGCCATTTTGATCTTTTAAGGAACGTAACCATTTGAACAGATGTAACTGTGCCAATTTAACAACAAATATTGATGAAGAAGCAAATTAATTATCGTGGTATTTGGGGCCAGGAGTACAAGACCACCCACAAGGATAATACTGGAGCTAAATTCATGAACTCTTTGACCAGGTGACGGGGTAAGCGAGAGAGGAGGAGCAAAGATGAAATGGTAAGTGCAATACTACATCCCTCGTTTAATTTTGCAAGCTTTCAAAGTAAGAGAATTTCTCAAGGTTTGACACAATACTGCTCGTTATACGTTCATCTGTAGCTAGCATAGCATATCATTTATGGCATATGGTATGGTATGGTTTGGTATGATATGGTATGTTATGTTATGTTATGTTATGTTATGTTATGTTATGGTATGGTATGTATGTTATGTTATGTTATGTTATGTTATGTTATGTTATGTTATGTTATGTTATGTTATGTTATGTTATGTTATGTTATGTTATGGTATGGTATGGTATGGTATGGTATGGTATGGTATGGTATGGTATGGTATGGTATGGTATGGTATGGTATGGTATGGTATGGTATGGTATGGTATGGTATGGTACGGTATGGTACGGTTTGGTACGGTTTGGTACGGTTTGGTACGGTATGGTGTGGTATGGTGTGGTATGGTGTGGTATGGTATGGTGTGGTATGGTGTGGTATGGTGTGGTATGGTATGGTGTGGTATGGTGTGGTATGGTGTGGTGTGGTATGGTGTGGTATGGTGTGGTGTGGTATGGTGTGGTATGGTGTGGTGTGGTATGGTGTGGTATGGTGTGGTATGGTATGCATAGGCACAATACTGTTCGTTATACGTTTATTGGTAGATAGCATAGTGTATCATTTATAGCATATTGAGTGCAGAATGTATACTATAGTATTCAGTACCTTGACGATTTTGAGTAGGGGGGGGGGGGTGTAAAAGGGTGATTTTACCGACCGATTTCAACTCTTGCTAATCAATGTATAATTTTAAAGTCACATACTGTGAATTTTAACCGTTTTATCAATATGATCTTGTCAATTACGAGCAAATGAGTTCCTTCCACGTGCTATCAAGACACGCATCTACCGACAATTCATACCATTTACCGACCATCCGTAAAATTTACCGACCAACTTTCCAAAAGTGGGGGTGTACCACGCCCCTCCCCCACACTCCCCCCGGTAGGTACGCCCCTGATAATATTATACAAGGTGTGATGAATATGGCATGCTACGCATAGGCGCAACTACGTGCAGCTCCATTCGAGAAATTACAAAAAACAGGTTCCTTTGAAGTCGAGATTCTCTATCAGTTCTGGTAATTTTTCTATCTAATTGTACTAACATCAAGAAATTAAGATGAAAAAGCCTGTTGCTAATTTGTGTTTTGGATTCATTTAGTCTATAGTTTTTATCCAATTTCCCATACGGATTAATTTGTTTCAGTGAAGGACTGCCACCTACAAATTAGAAATTTGATTGTCTTAAAGTTGCTCTTTAGTGATGGGGCGAAGCTGCTTTAGTGATGGGGCAAAGCTGTTCCTTTACCGCCAAAGGGTACCCTTAGAGGATTCGATTTCATTTTCAAAGGGCATTAAATGATAACCTATGAGACAGATATCGGATTACTCTCAGCCGGGCTTATAATTTAAGCACAAAGAACATCATAATCAGACCACATCAAGTAGTCAGGAGTTGATATCAAATCGATTTAAGTATCAAGTCAAAATCATTACCAGTGTTTCTTGCAGGATAACACGGGTCAGATGTACACAAACTTTGACCTTATTGTTATTGTGATCAAACAGAACCGCATGCGATAAACTTCTAACGAGAGTTCTACGTCACAAATAGAAGTTTTCTTTTACCAACGATTTTCTTTTGCGCTGTATCTTCATAGACATAACAACGAAGAATGGGTTTTCACTAAGAAAAGCACGGCGCTAGTAGCATTGGTTTTTTTACAGTCAATATCCTACAGAGGCCTCCGTTCAATCAAATAAAAAATTCGCCACCGATTGAGTTCCATACAGGCACTAAAAATAGCGTTAAACATCCACTGTCCTTCTTTACGAATAAGACGATCCAATATAGGTTTTTCAGAATTACAATGTTTTCTTTAATTATCCTTATTTTCAAGGCGCCTTTATGATAAGGCCCGTAAACGACGCGTGGTCGTATTCTGTTTTTTCAAATGATTATGTACTTTACTATATCTTAATTGCCAGACTTGTCGAGGAGGGTAGATAGATGTGCTGATAATGAGCTAATAGCTATTAATTTATAATTTGTACACGATATCTTCTGTTTTTCAAAAAAAGTAGGCCATAGATTTTGTGCGACATACTCGTTATTCTATTATAAATTATACTTATAGTTATAGTATACTCGACATACTTAAAGTATAAAGTCTTCATTAGCTATAGTACGTTGTTATTGACCATGGTCTTCCAAAGTGCAAAAAGATGTTGAGAATCTTCTTAACATGCAAAGTTTAGTTTGGTTCTTTGATCGTGAAGCGTAGCTTATTCGCGTATTTACATCGTTCGCCGTATACCTTTGAGTCATCGCTCTACTAATATTCTTGGTTTTCACGCTTTCATTGGTATCTTTACAAGCGCTTAAACAAATTGCTGAGCAAATGAATCCAGTACAGAAGGCTCTGAGTCAGGAGTGATGGATCGCAGTACATATTTCTTCAGCAACAAATTTGAAGATCTTATCGTTATGGACGATTTCAATACACCAATTCGACTTACGGCCTCGTTTTGAAAATTTCTCCTAACCTAATTATACGACTTTCTAAAGCTCAGATTTGATTCTATCACCATAATTTTAGGCCGGATGAAATTTTTCATATTGTGTTTGTGCTTGTATTTTAGATTTTACGGAGAAATGAAGTTTGAAAACTTGTAAGGGATTTGACCGCAAAAAAACATTCGGGGGAAAACTTTACCCCCCTAGTCGCCAATCACGGTCAAATCCCTTATAAAATTTTTATTTTTTTGTCGTCATAAAATCAATATCGTGAGCAATACCATAATAAAAACTTCGAAGTATACTAAAATCATGAGGTCGAATCTGAGGTCAAAAACTTTGTACAAAATAATTTGAAATTTTTTTCAAAATGAGGCCGTAAGTCGAATTGGTCTATTGCGAAGTGGGTGACAGCGCAATTAAGGCTTACATGGACACTTATAAATTAGTTAACTTGATCAAGAATCCAACCTGTCACAAGTCAGACAACCCACGATGTATAGATTTGATACTGACAAACTGTAAAAGTCACTTTTAAAACACGACTAATGTTGAAACAGGGTTGTCTGACTTCCACGTAATGATACTGAGCATACTCGAAGGTTATTTCACCAAGAGAGCTCCCAAAATACTTACATATAGAGACTACAAAAATTCGATATTCCGAGCTTCAGATCTGAAATTTTGAATCATCGAATACTAAACTTTAGAGACTACGGAAGTGTTGATATCTCAGTCAAAAGTCTTCTTAATAAACATGCCCCCATTAAGAGAAATTATGTTCGTGCAAACGACGGGCCATTTATGACGAAAGAATTACGTAAGGCAATAATGCATCGTAGCAAATTGAAAAATAGATATACTAATAACAAAAATGAGGAAAATCATAAAGCACATAAAGGGCAAAGGAACAAATGTCTAAAGTTATTACGTAATGCTAAAAGCAATTATTTTAGGAACCTAGACTTAAGTAATCTTACAGATAATCGCAAATTCTGGAGAGCGATCAAACCGGTCTTTGCAGAAACGATAAAAACAACATCCTCCATTACATTGGAAGAAAATGGAGGATTAATTAGTGATGACCGCAAGATTGCAGAATTATTTAACAACTACTTTATAAACATAACACAGGATCTAGGAATTTAAAAAGATATACAATCCTTGCCAAAATTGTTGGAACACTTGCGCAAAGCTGAAGCTTTTCTTGAAATATCCCCCACTACCCCCCATTACAATGTTGTTTAATAGGGCTGTTTTGATCCTGAAGGAAAAAAAATTTTCACTGAAAGCTGTATGAAAGTATTGAGAAAATAAATCAACATTGTACGGGGGGAGGGGGTCGAAATTTTTGAAGCGGCAGCGATATTTTGGTAAG